CTAATCAATATTTCTTTCCTATGTCTACTATAACAAAAGACAGATGTAATTAGTTATTTTTATTTATATATTTTGTTATATAATTCTAATAAATTCTCTAATCATAATTTCAAAATTTTGTTAAGCCTTTCTTGGAAATAATAAATAGTCTACATTAATATGTATTTGTAACAATAGTAAGGGATTAAACACTAGTGTACACAATATCAAAACCCCAGTGACTACTCCTATATGTAAAAGTATTTATAGGCATGAATGGTTAAGTGTGACGCACGACTCTGATGGAATATCAAGTAGTCTAAATATACAGGGTGGCCCCAATCGATTCAGCCACACTTCCACATCTTATAGGAAATTGAACGCTGAGTAAAAAAAGGTCCTATGAACCTGTGTCTGCAAACCCTTCAGTTCCTAGCTACAGGCAAAAAACTATAAAAAACCACGTTTTTTACCTTATTCGTGAAATTGTTAGTAAACCGTTAGCCTGACCGTAAAACAGCTCGAAACAACATCTGTAGAGGATAAATTTCTGCGTCGAATGAGATTAAAACCAGCCTGATCGGCCAAAAATTTCATTTTTGGCAATTTTCACCCAAATCGAATGTTACTGTTTTCTGATGGGTACCCCCTACTGAATGAAATAATGTATGAAAAATCTGAACGGCTTACTTAACAATTTTAGAAAGTGTACGCTTCTTTTAATGAACATTACATTTTATTTATTTATTATGGGTGAAAAGCAGTAAATTAGCCAAAATTTGAATGTTTCATGAATCGGACTGGGGTTGGTCTAATGTGATGGAGAGTTCCCCAGGATAAAATGGTCCACAATCCTGGGGTTTGTGAATAGGTCCAATAGGTTTATGCAGGACTCGTGAGCCGACCAGGTCCCGGACCTTTTAGGGATGAGATACGACCCTACCCAGGCATTTAACCCCTCGGGTCCTGGTCGCCCGCCCTGTGTAATATATATAATGTGATGGAGAATTCGATCACCAACAAACGAGGTTTGTAACGGAGAATTTTTTGATAGGATGTTCAAGTTGTGAATTTGCAATAAAAATGTCAGAAATGGTGAATTTTGTGTACTCCTTCACCCCTACCTTCGAAAAATTGCCAAAAATGAAATTTTCGGCCGATCAGGCTGGTTTTAATCTCATTCGACGCAGAAATTAATCCTCTACAGATGTTGTTTCGAGCTGTTTTACGGTCAGGCTAACGGTTTAATAACAATTTCACGAATAAGGTCAAAAATGTGGTTTTTCATGGTTTTTTGCCTGTAGCTCGGAACTGAAGGGTTTGCGGACACATGTTCATAGGTCCTTTTTTACTCAGTGTTCAATTTTCTATAAGAACTGGAAGTGTGACTGAATCGATTGGGGCCACCCTGTATATGCAGCCTTTCATGTGCCATTATTTAAGTGTGTGCGCGCGCGCGCGTGTGTGTGTGTGTGTGTGTGTGTGTGTGTGTGTGTGTGTGTTTGTGNGAGAGAGAGAGAGAGAGAGAGAGAGAGAGAGAGAGAGAGAGGAGAGAGAGAGAGAGAGAGAATAAAACATAGTTTGAAAAGTCTACCAGTCTACCCTATTTGAATGTATTTATTAGCATTAATGATGGAATATTGAGGTTAAAACCCTGTTGGCCTCCCAACAGTAATTTGCATATAAAATTTATACTAGTTTTAGGGGGTCCTCAGTAGTATTTTGAATAATGTGAGTCCCACAAAACTTAGATAAGTTATTGTTTATAACAGGATGAATATGTTAAGACTAATTGTTTATATCCCTGATTGGGAGGGTTAAATATTACAGAGAGCAAAAAATTCATGTCTCATCCAGAAGGGATGGATCAGCTGGCTGTTCATGAACGTCATTCAGCAGATATTTATAATAAGGAAAAAACGTGTTAAACCGAATATGAAAGTAGGTAAATAAATATAGTTAACTTATCCTAGCACAATAGTAGAATTGAGCTCAAATGTGGCAAAGATGGCAAAAAGCAGAAACACACCTTAACATACAAAACCTACCAAGAATAGACAAAATGAAATGTCTAACCTATTTATTGATAAGTTTTTGATTTGACTACCAAAGCTTATATAGCCCTGATGATTATTGCTACTACTTCTCACCCACCAAACACATCTATTCAAGACATAAATTCAATATATATCAAAATTGAAACATTAGCAATTACATTGTTGTATTTGGTTGTTACCGATCACATTAGTCTCCCTATATTCAATGGGTTTTAGCATCTTCCGTGGGACTGATAAGCACACCAAGATTTGACCATTTCATAATTGATGATAAGAAGCAAATCATTTCAATTAGCAAACTTTCAATGATTGAATAAGTTTATACAACCCTGATGACGATTAATAGTACAACTGACCTACCAAACCATACACTCATGGATTTTAATGCCACTCAAATGCATTTCAGCAAATAAAGTAGGAACTCAAAAGTCCACCACCGATGTACTATATACAATAAAACAACCGTTTCCTCCAAAAATCGGAACAGGTGACCCAAATACTTGCTGCCCTACACCAGACACATTAAGCAACCTTTCTCTGCATGCCAGGCACATTCGCAGGCTTTGGCCCAAAAGTAATCTCTAAGTGACAACCTCAATTGGCCTATTCTGGTTTAAAAATATATTTTATAATAACAATAATCTTCACTGTTTTTGAATATTTAATGTGTGCTATTATCCACCTGTTTATGCCAGCTACAAGAGAGGTTTGGACTCATATGAACCCACCGGTCAGTGGCGAAAACCTGCTTGTCCTCATGACTTCACCGGTGCTATATATATTACGCAGGGCGGGCGACCAATTCCGAGGGGTTAAATGCCTGGGTAGACTCGTACCCCATCTTCACCAGTGCTAAGTATGTTTATATTATACAAAGTCTATCAAGCCCAAATAATTACTGGAATGTGCACTTATCTATTTGGCCAAAATTCAAGTTATCCAGTTTCACCCCTACGGTTCAGATTTATTCTAATCAATTATGAACTTACTGATTACTCATTTAATTATTATCAATTCTGCATATACATATGTTCAATATGAACAGGTTTTGGAAGAAAGGGATCAGACCTTGTTCTTATCCATCCTGCTGCTGAGCCGATGAGCTGTAAGACAGCTAGGCCATTTCAGCCTCCAAAGCATCAGAGTTTTAAATCTAAATTCACTCTCTTAAATACATTCTTTCATATTTATATATCATTTACTCAATAGGATGGTTAGTAATATCGAGGAACACAAAGTGAAATATCTGTCAGTACTACATACAATAAAACAACCCTGTTTCCTCCAAGAATCAGAACAGGCTCTGTTTAGAGCCAAAGAATTTCAACCTTCAGTAAGTATTAAGCAACCTTTCTCTGCATGCTGGAGACCTACGCACTCGGTTTAAACTATCAGGAACCTTTCCTGTTTTATTATACAAATTTTTAATTTGTAAACTTTGTATATATATTAAATAATAAAGATGTATGTTAGTAGTGGTTGAACTCATTTATATAAGATCAAATCTGCACATGTACACAAGTTGATGACGTGTAGACAGTTAGGGCATTTCAACCCCCAACGCATCAGAGTTTTTAAATTTAAACCAACACTCTCTTACATACATTTGTTCATATTTATATATCATTTACTCAATGGAGTGGTGTAGTAATATCAAATGCTCTACCATTCTTTACACACTTATAACTAATCTAATTGAGGGTTGATGAGATGTTCAATATTCAGCCATCGACTACACATTTCCCACTAATAAATACATTCATTCACACAGAAGACTATATACAATAAAACAACTCCAAAAATAAGACAGGCCCTATTTGGAGCCAAGGAATTGCATCCTTCAACTGAGTGAGACACATCAAGCAACCTTTCTCAGCAAGCCAGACACTTATGTAGTCGGTTTAAACTATGAGGATTGTCTTTCCTGTTTTCAAATTGCAAACTTTGTACTTATATTAAAGAATAAAGACATATAGTAGTGATAACATTCATTTATATAAGATCTACACGTATATGTTCAATATGCACAGAATGGCATGGTTTTGAGTCTGGTGTCAGATCTTGCCCTTACCCATTAAAATGATAAATGGTGAAGTGAGTGTGTTATTCAATATTTTTAAAAGGATAGCTCCTAATCGCAGTTAGTTGTTTTCAACGATCCTGATTTCAAGCATATAGCTTATCATCAGGTGAAAGAATTTAAAACTACGAAAAGAACTAACTGTGAGCAGGAACTATCTCTTCAAAAAGATTGCTCTTATCCATCCTGCTGCCGAATTTGACGAACTGTAGTCATCTAGGCCATTTCAGCCCCCAATGCATCAGTGTGTTAACGGGGTACTCAATATTCCACCATTGGCCCTCTCACGGTATACATTCGCACTAATAATAAATACATCCACTCTCGATATACACACGAGGGAACATAAAGTGAAATATCTATACTAGGACTATAAACAGTAAAACAACCCTGTTTCCTCTAAGAATTAAGGTACCCAAATACTTGCTGTCGTGCTCAAGCACAATTCTCATGTGGTGGCATTCCTACATGCTCTCTATATGGAACCAAAGAAATGCACCCTTTGAGCAAACCTCGCATGGCCTATTCTGGTTTTAAAATATATTGGTTGTATTTGTATATCTATTAAGAGTATTATTTCGTCTAAATATGTACCTGTTTATGATTTGGGCATTTTGACTACTCTATAATTTTTGCCGGTTTATAAAAACACAAAAAGAGAAAAAAAAAATGTAACGTAAAACTGTACGGAATTATTTTAAAACTTGAAAATCGGATGGGAAGAAACCTTAAAATCCGTGTAGTAATTTATACATTTAACAATAAATTCTTATAGATAAAACAATTCTAAAAAATACAACACAATTTTCTAATGTCTACAAATATTGTCAACAATTTATCCGGAAGAGTTCGATCAAAACAAAATTACTATATTGAATATTTACCTTGAATCACGGTACGAAAAATAGAAAGGCGCCTCAGATATGGCCAATGATTGACTAAATGGTCGCCTACTTTTTAATATAACGGTCCGCTTTTCGCCACTGGAATCTCCAACAAGAAAGGAAAATGTACCATTTGTTCAACCCTCCAGCACCACTCCAGTTCTCCAGCCAGACCAGTTCCAGTCAAGCTCCGGGGAGTCAATAGCTTTGGTTACAACCCCACTTCAACCAACACAACATAACTTTCGGATCAACTCTACCCTGCAAATTTGTGTATATAACCGTTCATTAGAGGCATTAAATATTAATAAATTTATTAATTGCTAGTTAATATAAAGGGGAAATAGTCATAACGTTTCATTCCTAGAAGGAAATTATTAATAATAAAACCAATTAAAAATTGCTAATTTAATTAAATCTGCACCCTGATAAAATAGTAGACTATTTCTATCCGTCAAATCCTTATTTAAATAATAATAATAGCATTAATAACTATGAACAACTTCAATTTCGGTTTTCCTGGGGGATGTGATGCAATTTCACTATTTTCTACCCCTTGCATATTTTCGTTAGATTTAACACACAAATAGTTCTTGTTACTGAAATGGACTAATTGTTTACCTTAAAAAATACTTTAAATTTCACTCTGTTCAAGAAAGAGGACATTAATTTTTTTTAATCATGAGTAACAACATCTGCAATAGCATCGACTTCTTCAATAGTTCTGTGCAATTGCTAATTTTAAATTTATGTTGAGGTGAGCGGCCCCAGAAGAATCTTCTGGGGCTGCTCACCTCAACATAAGTTTAAAATTAGCAATTGATTATCCAACAGCCAACTAAAACAAGGACACGTTCTGTGCAATCTGTAAAAAACCAAATCCTTCAACCCTACTTTAGTCAACTTTTATATTTTTTAAATGCTTTTATATTTCATATTGTTAAAAGTTTATTACAATTTATTTCATTTACTGGTTCACCTAAATCTTGCACTCTAGTTTTATTATAAATCTACAAAGAGCATTATTTTCATTAAATATGTACCTAAATATTGTAGTTTCAATTGTCTTTCAGCTTTATTTTATTTCCTTTGCCTTAATTTGGTTAGTAATTATGTCTTTTATTTTTGTTGTTGTTCAGTTTTTACTCTTTAATTGTATTTTTATATTTACCATTTATAACAATTACCATGTATATATGTCCTTATTCTTTTTGTATATATCATTTGTAATTTTTGCATATATTATTTTGCACATTATTTTTATTTTTTGTTATTATAAAATGTCTTTTTATAGTGGATTTCGATCTGTAAATAAATAAATAAAATATTTTCTGATTTCTGAGGTGGAAAAGAGGTACGTAAAATTGGAGTTCACCAAGGATTTTTGGGGAATCTATACAATTATTAATTAATTTGGAAATAAAAATAATCTCAAAATATTTTCTTCTGCAGCTAAAATTAGAAATATTAAAATAAGATATAACAGGAGCATGAGAGGAATTATCATTGTGACAGTTTAATTTAAAATATAATGTATGAAGAATTTGAATTGAATGAATTTATTTTGAACAGTTTGAAGACGTTTTATATCAGCATAGTAGTGCAGATTCCAGATGATTGAGGCATATTCAAGAGTAGGTCGAAGAAGTGAATTATATAGATGGACATAGCAAGAAGGATTTTTGAACTGATAGGTGCTTCGGATAATGAAGCCAAGCATGTTAAAGGAGCGATTTTTGATTTCTTGTACTGTAGCTTAAAGGTAAGATTACTATCAAAGATGATGCAAGTTGATGTTACTGAGGACATTAATTTGATTTAATTTTTGTTAAGGTTGCTGAAGACGACAATAGGAAGAAATATAATCCCTTGGTTTAAGATCATAACAGTATCTAATGCAGGGATGATAAGCAATTTGAAGACGATGAGCAGATTGAGAGGGTAAGGAAAGAGAAAAAATAGCGCTACAGTAAGAGAATAAATGAATTATTAGGGATTTATTAAGGAGAATTCTAGATTTTTGTGAAGTGAAAAACCTAAGGCTTATTAGGGTTTAAAAGAATGTAGTTATTTCTTAACCATTGGTTGAGAGAATGAAGATCACGGTTGAGCAGAGAGATAACTTCAGAGATGTTGCTTGTAGGACATTGAATGTAAATCTCAGTGTCATCTGCATAAAGATGAAATTTGAAGAAATTAAAAACTAATCACATGGAAAAGAGTAAAGTGTCCAAGAATAGCGCCTTGGAGAACACCGTTGAAATTGAGAGAGGAGATAGAATTTGAAGCTTTAACTCTCTGAGTTCTGTTAGGCACATAGGAGGAAATGAGATTAGAAGCAGTAGAAGAAAAACCAAAAACGTGTCAGTTTCCAAATATGCAAATTATGAATTACGGAACCAAATGCATTGGAAAAATCAAATAGAACAATAATGGTACACTTATTATCATCAATGCCTAAGCAAATATCTGAGATTTTGAGAAGGGCTGTCTCACAACTATGAAATTTTAGGAAGCCACATTGAAAAGGGGATATAAGGGCATGGGAGTCAATAATAAGTATATTTGTTTAAATAAAATCTTCTCAAATGTTTTGGAGAGTGATGGAAGAATATTAATAAGACGATAATCATTAGCAAGGGTGGGTTTAGGTTTCTTTGGTAATGCAACTATTAGGGCTTCCTTCCAGGCTGGAGAAAAACAGTATGAGGCGAGAGAGAAGTTCAAAATGTGGGTTGTATATGTTATAGTGACAGGAAGGGAAAAAATTATGAGTTTAATAGTAATAATATTGGATTTGTTCTCTAGTTTCACTTCATTTTTTGATATAAACGTTTCTTTTATTTTTCCAGAAAATCATTTAGAGATATAATAAATATTGTTAGTTAAATTTTAATTACCACTAAATGATTTTCCGTTTTGTCGTGAATTTTCTTACAAACCATCATAATTAAATATTTTTTTATTAAAACTCATGAATTTCTGCTCTCATTTAATTTGGTTTATATTACAAAAATGTTGTAATTAATATAATAATAAAAATACATATAGTTTGAAATAAACAACAAAAGACAAGTGTCCATTTTTTAATTTTTGCCTGAGTGTATATAAGTTTTAATTTGTACCCAGACAAGTGTCGCAGATGAGCATTATAAAAAATCCAGGTGGGAATCAAACTGACAACTGTGTGATCTATGATAAACCAAAGCTGACACCTAACCACATGATCACAATGGTCTTACTTTCACTAGAAGCGCTCCTCTCATAAATTTGTCGCTAATTAATTAAATTAGTACAATAATAAAAAAGCATTACATGATTACTTCGTGAGGTCTGTATGAATGAATATGAACCTGTGAGACGGTATTTTCTGGTCATCCTGGTCGCTTATGCTCGCTTTTCTGAATATAGAGTTAATAAAGAAAAATAAACTAGTTTCAAAGAAAATTAAAATGACCAATAGAAAGTTAATTTAGTATAATAATGTATTGTTGCTGCTTAAATTTGGGCTATCTTGATTAGTCTATCAACAGATGCCGACAAGTCAGTAAAGATGTAAGGATATTCGAAACCAGGAAGATAAGACTAGTCATACGTATTTTATTAAATACTTTAAGTAGTTTTTTTTTGTTTTTTTTTAACCATCCCTAAATGTATTAATATAATGCGTATTCATTTTGGGGGGGGAAGGGAAAAAAAAGGCCAGAGGCGACGGCGGGAATTGAACCCACAACCGCGGGGTCTACGAGCTGAGAGTCTCTCACGCTAACCACTCGGCTACCGCAGCCCCCAAGTAATGTTAGTTAATAAACAAATTAATTTTAATAGAAACAGAGGTCTCTATTATGAGTTTTGGAGTTAATAGGATTGTTTTGTATCCTGAGCATGTGTCGATTGAGAGTGAATGTATTTATTGGCATGAATGTGTAGTGTGAGAAGGCCAATGGTGAAATATCGAGTACTCTATTAACCCTCAATTAGGTTAGTTAAAAGTGTAAAGAATGATAGAGAAATATCATCAGCTCCACCACCCTTGGTATGTAAATAAGAAAGAATGAACTTAAGTTAGAGAGTGAATGGGTTTGGTTTTAAGAACTGACTTCATGACCTAGCTATCAGTAGGCCCTGAAGCCCAACCCCCTTTGGACAGATAAGATCGAGATCTGACCCCATACTGCCAACATCTGGGATGGGCGATTCTCAAGGGCTGCTAGTAATTTATTGTAAATTACAAAAGCGCTAGAATTGCCAGCGAGCAGCAAGAAGTGATAGGCTCAACTCTGTAGATGTGTGTACTGTACATAAACGCAAGTACAGATTTTAGCCTATATAATTCAGTCATCTAACTATAACAATAAAAGGACGATATAATGTAAAATTGCAAAAGTATCAACATTAAGAGAATTGCTGAGTGATGTTCTTACCAGTACTTCATTTATTTACTAAAGAGGAACCAAGAAGCGAGCGTAAAAAGTTGAAATAAAAAATTCAGGAATTACACGTTTAATAAACCATATATTTCCTCTGTATAGTAAAACAAAAATAACATGACACCTTTTTTTAAAACATATATTACATATATAATATTTAAAACAGTACCTCATTTTGATAACACAACTAAAATATTTTATGCCACATTTGAATTTTACTAGTTCACACTTTTCAAGAGAACTATGATAATAATTCTTGTAACATTTAAAAACTGTTTATCGCACATAATGCACTTAAATCATAGGTTCGTGAAATGGAAATTACTGTAAAAATAAAAATTTAAAAAAATTAAACAATAAGATACCACAGACCATGATAAGTTTTAATTATCACGCAACAGTACAGCAAAAGAGGGTGTAACATTTTATAGGATTTTCCTCTTTCTTTCTCCCTTAACGCCTAACTACAATTTTCAATGAAAGCAACCAACATGTGAGATTTAATGGAGCTCGAATAATATACTTCATTCTAAAATAGTCTAGAAATTCAATGTTTTTAAAGACTAGTCAAATGTAAGTGGTACCTAGAAATAAGCACATATGAACGGAAATTAAAATGATCACAATCTAAATTAAGCTAAAATAAGGGTTTCAGAAATAACTAATTTCTTCACAATAATTAGTGTAGACCCTTTGTGTTAACTACACATAAATAACAGTTGTTACTTTTTACTATTATCCTGTCATATCACGGATTGGTTTACACAGTTCATTTATACAAAACTGACATGTGTTAAACTTTGCGATTCAGTTTATGCAATGTCATCTCTGTCAATGTAGTTATCCTATAATTTGATACACTATAATTATCTTGTAAAAAGGCAAATAACACACAATTCTTTAACTTTTTTTCCTACCTAAGTATTTATAATTACAAGTGATGATAAGGAACAGTTCCACGTGGTTAAATTGAGAACTATGTGAGCACAATTGAAATTATTCTCTAGAATAATATCACTTTCAACTAAAAATAAACAAAAAAATGTGTTCCTTAAGCATTTCTTAAAATACTTTTGTGCATTATTTGACGATAAGTTCTCAACCTTTATTCTCATTAACTGTGTTATTTTTTGAAAAATGAGATACTGTTCGTCTTGATGTGATAGTTCATACATTATTTAAGATATTTATACAGGGGTAAACATAGGAAGCAAGGAATTGGTATTAATTTCAATAACACTTCCTCTAATATGTCGAACAAAAGAAATAGAACTTAAAGAGTAATACAATGAAAATTAAAGTTGGAACTTTAAACCCGTCAAAATAAAATGTACATTGTTTTTTATTACATGGAAAATAAGTTTCCCAATGGTACTAGTGTTATTGTGCTTGTGTAAATTACATTTATTTTTGCGATCATGCCCACATTAGTAAATTATTGACTCCTATAGTTATTTACAATTTTAAACAACTAATGTTACAAACAAAATGTTTATATAAGATGATAAAGATGTTGTCAAAATAAGGCTACACATACACATTTAACAATTTACCATCATTCAATTTTAACAAGGTGGCTCGAGATCTGAATGCCTTTTATCATGAAAAAGTAGCAAAACAGAACTATTGCACATAATCTATCTTTATACTGAATTAATGATAAACATCAAATTAAATTAAATAATTAAGTAATGTTTTGATCACTGGTATAAACTTGGGACAATCTAACACTAAGTACTTATAAAATTGATACTTAAAAAAAGAAAAAAAACACAGCCCTTTGAAAGCAAGAATAGACCATGAAATGTTTAAATAGAAGGAAAATATGAGTAAGCATTGCACACAATGTGTAATATTTATTTATAGAGTAATAAAATTCTTGTTTAAGTATTGAGTCACATTACATGCATTAACATTACTCAACAAGTATTTTATTGTTTAACATTTTTTTTTCAAAGGAAAAATTATTAACCCAAAGTCAAAGATTTTTTTATTTACAACTTGCATCATTATTTCACACAATTTAAAAAAATGTATATTATCATGTGAGCTTGTTATTATTGTAAATTCAAAATGATAACATAAAGTTTACTGTAGTAAGTAAAAAATGGGGTAATTTTTTTTTCTAAAACGAAATCAGAAAAGTCTCCAAATTAAATACTTTCAAAATTCTGTATCTACATACACTTTTGAACATAGAAATAGTTACACTAAATAAAAGCAAAAGAACCATTAGTTTAAAAGTAAAATTAAAATGCATTTACTTTGAACAATAATTTAAAATGAAAATCTGGTGACCTGACCTGGAAAATAAAAATATATAATTCAAAATGTAAATGTATTTAAACGTTTATAAAAAAATTAAGCCAGCTACTATTAACATGATATCAGGCCCTTGAAAGAGCTTTTTGCCAACCCTGAATATTTCAACAAGGGAAATGAAAATTGTTATTTGACTTATCTAATGTTAAAATGTTTGGGATAAAGATTTTTCAGGCTGTGGAGCCAGTTTTGGAAAAAAGCACGAGAAAATCTTTTTTGTAAATTGAATTATTTGAATTAGCATAAGCTGCCAGTATGGCTTATAACCTTTTTTTTTTTTTACTTAGAACAACTGACATAAATTTTAGGGAAATAATTTTTTATAGTTTAAGTAGAACATTGTATAAACATTTATATGAAACATTTATAATCAGAATGATAAGAAACATTTTAGTCCATAAAATTGTAAGATATCAGTAATTTGGTTTGAAAATAACTGAAATTAATAACAATTTCTAAATAGTTAACATAATTACCTATATAATAACACATAATTAAATATAATAAATATATATATAAAAAATTGTAATATATATATATTTATATTTAATTATGTTTGTTCAAGTGATAAACATTGAACTTCATCCAATTTTGAATAGCATTAATGTTTTGTTTTCAAAATAAAAATAAAAATCTATCAATCACATTTTTTTCATACTTGACTAAATGTTCCCTTCTAATATGTTAAGTGTTTATATGATAATTGTCAATAAAAAGAAAATCCATTTACCAGTAACCAGTGGGGGATAAGATTTTCTTTTCAAAAAACCTGGCCCACATTACAAATATTTTAGAAACAAAACTGCTTTCTGTCAGAGAAAAATAAAACTTTTTTGATAAAGTTGGGTCAGTGAACACAGTTCTTCTTTCTTATTTAAGAACAAAAACTAACTTTTTTCACATTTTCAAAGAAATAAATATTTAAACTAATATAATTTCTTGATATTACTTTATTTAAAATCTGATTTTTTTACTCATAAAAAAATAATAAACTATACATAAAAAGTCATAATAATGGTAACACTTAAAATAGCCTTGTCTTGACTTTTCAAGTTGCTTTTTAAAATATTCATCTGAATGAAGACCATTTTAACAAGGAAATTGTGTTCTATTTCCCCCTAATTTAATATATCTTGGTTTATCCAATAGAAGGTAAGAAACAAAATTTTGGTGATGATCCATTACCTTCAGCCGCTTCAATTTATTTTAAAATTAGTAAATCCTGTAAAAAAAAAAAAAAAAAGAACAAATCAGTGAGATTAGAAACTCAACAATATTATTTTAAAGATGTTTTACAACATTCATCAATATTTTATAAACACATCCCTTACAATTAGACAATTCTGTTATTATTAATGTGTGGTGTTTAGTGTCCGTTACTTAATGATTATTTGGAGGTCGTGTGGTCTGGTGTGACGTAGATTTTAGAAAAACATTTTCTTTACCGTGCCAATGTTTCGATCTTTATTCAGATTATCTTCAGGGCCTGGGATTTATAAACATTGTTTAAATTTTACAAATACTTGAAGGATATGAAAAAATGAATTTATACAAGGCTAGAAAATTTTAGATTTAAAAAATTAATTAATAAAAAATGAATTTATACAATGCTAGAAAATGTTTATAAATCTCAGATGATCTCAATAAAGATCGAAACATTGGCACGATAAAGAAAATGTTTTTCTAAAACCTATGACACTATAACCATAAAGGTCAATATAACAATATATCAAAGAATTAGTACCGAGTACTGCTGAGTGATATTTAAAAAATTGAAGCAAAAAATAACAAGCAATAAATAAAAAACTGTTTAAATAAGAAAAACATGAAGGACCAAAAAATTTTAGATAAAATAATTATTCACATATGTAATAACACATAATGATGATGCTAAAAAATTTCTGTAACTTTTTCTACATTCTCATCCTTCAATACATTTTTTTAAACTACTCACCATTAATTTAAGGTGCTTCAAGACTTTCGTCATCCCTCCGAAGTTTTTTAGAATCTTCCTGGTCGATATCATGTTCATCTGCTGGTCGCTTCATTGAACCATTATTTTCATTATTTTCACTTATATATGAGTTTCTAAATAAAATTGTAAAAATAACATTTATAATTTTTTTTTTAATTTATCACACAAGTATAGACTTACGAATAATTAGAATAAGTTGCTTGGACTATGACTGGGGCTTGAGAGTAAGCTGGAATAACATTAGATTGGTCTTCTGATAAACTAATCAAATTGTTTGCCGCTATCGTGGTTGCTCCTGGGTTTTGATTGCTAACTATGTATTTCTCTGAAAAATTAATTTACACGACATATAAGCATTTCACGCATCAATAATAAACAAACATGATCATTTATAATTTCATAACAAACCTTGCCTATCATGACTGTTAACTACTGTAATATGAGGGGTAGGTAGTAACAGCCGAGGTTTCCCAGAGATATGTTGAATATTATTACCTCCACCTCCTACTCCACCACCACCACCACCACTATTATTATTGACCATAGACCCTACAGAACCAAATAACAATTTCTAAAGAATATAAAAGAAATTTTCTTCAAAAAACAATGGCCAAGGATAAAAACCAGTGCAAAAGATTTAGACAACTGTTATTAGTACTGTGACAAAACCTTGGTTGTCATTTTGTATAGCCCATTGTTTTACAAAGGGTCAGAATTAGCCGGTGGCTCATGGACAGTGGAGGTCGATTAGATAAAATTAAATAGCATGATCAATGCTGACCTTCTTGTCTCTGTCTAGGTGATCCGGGTGCCGATTGACTATTTAGACCAGGAGATCCAGCTGAAGTTTCTAGTGTGGGCGATCCTTCTCGGGATAAGCTTTCAGGTGTCATAAGACCACTCATACCGACATGACTTGGAGATGCTGGAGCACTCCTAATGAAAAACAAATACAATTAGTATAGTTTAGTCTTAAATTTATTAAAACATGGTTTAAGTTGAACTTACCTAGATGAAAGCCCAAATGGGACTCTAAAACAAGGCACACCCCGCTGCCTTCTTCTCCTAAAAGCTTGTTCTATAAGTTTGCTCTCAGATGCAGGATCTATTCTCCAAAAAGAACCTTTACCCGGTTCTTCTTGCGACCGTGGAACTTTGATAAAATAACGATTAAGAGAAAGGTTATGTCGAATTGAATTCTGAAAATAACATGATTATGGAAAAAAAAGGCTAAAAATGAAAGAAACATAAGCTATCAAACTGTCTACTAATTTACCTGCCATCCTTTGTCAGCAGTTCTATAATATGGGTAATTTTTAGTTATATATGAATATATTCCACTAAGTGTTAGTTGTTTATCTGGTGCAGAAGCAATAGCTTGAACTATAAGTTGTGCGTAGGAATATGGAGGCTTTGAGTCATCCTGTACAAAAATGTAATTCATTAAAAAAAAAAAAAAAAAAGGTTAAAATATTAGATCAACGACTTGTACCTTTGGTGGACTGTAGCTATCAGATTGTTGGCATCCATTACTTGATCTATAAATTTTATTATGCGAATTGCTTCCTTCTGCTCCTTCCAAAATGTCATTCCTGCATTCAGTTATTTATTTAGAAATATATTTAACAGCAATTAATACATTTTTGTAAACATTGGCTAACTCCCTTGAATCGTGTGTGTGCCTGTGTGTGTTTGAAGTAATGCAGATGCAACTAATAGATGGCTGCATTTAAGAAAAATTAGGTTTCTTACAGTAACACAAATATACATGCTTCATGCTTTAACATATATATGATACAACCATATTCTAATAAGCATACTAATGAAAAGCACTGGATTCTGTTTTCTGGCTATTTATACCTCTGTTCACATAATTATGTTTACTTCTAAAAACACTGAAGGTGAGTTTGGAACACTATTATTAATTAATAAAACCTTCCTTTTATTAATTATATTACTAATTATATTATTAGTAAACAATTATATATTGGGGTTACAAGAAAGTTTTTAAAGGATTGGGCCTAATCACCTTCAAGTTAAAGCGTCATAATTAAGCTTTAGTTTTTGGAGTGTCCTTTTGTCGTACATTCAGCATATTCAAAATATGTCGATTTTTATGCCAACAAAATGCAATTTGAGGGAAGCTTTACTTTTCTGCTTTTGTTTGAAAAAAAGAAAAAACAGGGAAAGGGGCACCACACTCCATCAAGTTGAGTACCAATTTAGACAGTTAAAAAGTGGTGATTTGACACAAAGGATTAAAAAAGGATGGCCAGAAATATATGATTAAGTAAAAAAAAAAAAAAAAAAAAAAAAAAAAAAAAAAAAAAAAAAAAAAACGGGATAAATCTTCAATTTATTAGTAAAAAGGCTAGAAAAGGTTGGAGATAACGAATTGGAGGCATTATTGAACAAAGACTCGTGTCAAACACATGAATATCTTGCAGAATCCTTGGGGAGTGATTCAATGAGCAAATTCATTACGCCTCAGAGCCATGATAATGCCCAAAAGCAAGGGAATTTTATGTTTACAAATTAAAGCCAAGAGATATGGAAAACAGATTTTTCCCCTGGAAACATCTGCTCAAGGGAAGGTTTTATTTGCATCAAATTGTAACTGGTGATGAAAAGTGGATTCATTACAACAATCTCTTAAGAAATCGTAAGATGATAAGTCTGGCCATGCATTAACGTCAACAGCGAAGCAAAATATTCATGGACAAAGCTCATGCTCAGTATTGGACTGAATATTGGACACTCAAATTGGATATCCTACTTCACCCTCCTATTCTCCTGAAATTGCTCATTCTAACTACCACTTGTTTTGTCTGAATAGCACTTCTGTTCTTATGAGGAATGTAAAAAATGGGTCAATTCTTTCGTTGCCTCTAAAGACCAGTTATTCTTTCAATGCAAAATTGGAAGGAGATGGAAAAAGGTAGTGGCAAGAGATGGACCATACTTTGAATAATCAATCTGTTACATTTTTGCACAATAAAGCTACAATTCTCACATATTTTTTTTTAACTTACATGTAACCCCATAAAATAATGAAAACAAAAATACATGGACAAAAATACAATATAAAATGTTCTCATTTTGTGAGAGAGAAATGGCGATTTAAAGTGACTTTTGTCTTGTAACAAAAACAACAATGTTGTTTATAAACATATTATTGTATGTTATAAAGTTATAAAAAATACAGCATCATAAAGCATAAATGCATATCAAGAAGACATTAAAAATGATAACAATATTGGCCTATATGATATGATAATGGTAAAACAAGAGAATAAACATCCTTTCATTTTTATTCTATTTTTAATAATGTAGTAACCCATTTAATATAACCATTTCCCTGATGCTCTAAATTGTTTTATTCTTCACTTTGTCTGTTAATTTTTTATTTAATAAAATATAAGTACTATACTTTGTAAACATCACATTTAAAAAAAATTATATCAAACATATTGCATTATGTAATTAATTGTACCATAAATAATAATTACATGTAAACAAATTATAATTCAATTAATATCCGATCGTTGATGAAAAATGTAGCGACTCAAGTGTAAAACTAATAAGTACTTGTTTTTTTTCACACAAAGTACTGCTTTTGAAGAAAAAGGTCTAGAAGAAGTATTACAAATGATGCAGCAAACTCTTTGCAAAAACCCATCAAATTCATGCAATGAGACGAACTATTCAGGCTGTTTATCAAATGAACAAATAACCAAAGGTTATCATTTCGTAGGGACATTTTACAAGTGAAATGTTTACGAACAGTTATTACATAATTTTTGAGGTAAGCTGTTACAGCGATTCAATTCAATTGAAATGTTCTTTAACAATTAGTAAGACTGAGTACAGCAACACACACTAAAAATGTTTTTTTTTTAATTTCTGTATAAAAATGAAAAGCTTGAAATCGTTGATAAAGCATTAATGGCACAATTACAAGATGAACACAAAAAAAACTAGTATGTTTTAATTAAAAAGAAGGGTTTTCTAGTGTTATTTGTTTTATTTTTTAGCTTTTAATAAAAACAATGAATTTGGTTAAATTAAATGTTAATCGTAAAAACATAAGAGTTAGAAATTATGTTATGACATAAAATATAATATGAAATAAAAGAAAAACTTTGTAGAGTCAAATTATATTTTGTTGAAGGAACCAACACCCATCGCTTGTTTGTGATATTTTATGAAAAAAAATCAAGGGAGCAGCTTTTCTCTTATTTTTTGTTCTCGTCTTTTTAGAATATATTAAATGTACAACCACAACTTTATCACATAAACTTCGCTCAAAAATAGATCCCTTAATGATTTTATTTAACCAAATAAAGCAAAAGGATTAAAAGGAAAAGAAAGATCAGAAATGTCCAATAAAACAAAAAACGTGCGTGATAAGATATTTGTATCTACTGTAATTAAAAAAGGACACAATTGTAAAAATAATAATTGGCTTGGTTAGTGCCAAAAAAAAAAAACCAGCTATAAGTATCTTTCTTACTAGAGTAGTTCTAAACTTTAAATTTGTATTAATTTATTTTTCAGGAGAAAATATCAGTAAGACATCAAAGTTATTATGTTCAAGATAATTGTGAAGGAAATTGTTAATAAAGTGTGTACACTTTTTTTAACAGGGCCCATTTGTAAATCTCAGGGTATGAATTCAGGACCACAAAGATTTGAACCCCGAACTCATACAGTAAGGTAGGGCCAAGTCAATGCCTTAACCAAAGCAGCCCCCCTCCCCACTACTAAATTAATCTTAACAACTGTCATCTTATAATCAAATCATAACTTTTGATAGATAACTTTTTATAATGATAATAATTTAATCATAAAAGTTGAAGTACTGTTTATAAGTTTATAACTATCTATACCACACAACACTTAATATTCTTAAGTGAGGTATAATTTTATAAATAGACGTATAAAATGTGCTCTTTTAAATATTTAAAAATGAAAGTTCTTGTGTGCATCATTTATGTACTATGTATATTTTATGAATATACTTGAAATTGTGTACAAAGTGGAATATTATGAATGGTGGTAAACTTATCCATTGCAAATGTAATAGTATATGGAGTAAAAATAATAAATAGTAAACCAACTCACACCCACACATACAAACACAACATACTCCCACAAACAAACACATACACATACATACAATATTATCAACTCTAATTTGTTGAGAAAACTCAAATTTTATGGAAAACACAATTTAACAAATCATCATTTTTATTAATAAATATTTAACTATGGGTCTTAATTGTCGCTGACCGAAATGAATTTTAGTGATAAGCTTTAGTAGAAAATTGGACAAAAAGCAATATTTTAAAATGATAACAAATTCAGTTTTGATGTCTTAGTGGTATTTTTATAAAAATATTATTTGTTTATATTTAAAAAATAAAATATTAAAAAATTGTGGTTGCTGGAGAGAAAAAAAAAAGTATTCATAACATTATGCAAAACAATTCAATGTCGGAAAACAAAATTGTATAAATGAACAGCATTTAAGACATTCTGCAAATACATTTCTGTGCAGTATCTAAATTACAATATTAACAAAAAATTAGGGAGGGTAAATAGTAGTGCTATCGGGAACGAGTCAGTTTTAGTTTACCTGTCATCGTGTGATGTAGAAACAGTGACAGTATTGACAATGGAATTTGGCCCTGCTACAACAGCAGCATAGGCGGCTGCCATTTGCAGATCAGCACTAACATTGTGCCTAGAACTTTGACTACCTCCCCTTGGGCTTGCAGGACATGAATTTGCTGCGCTACAATTTATAAATTACAAATGTCACATGGCTTATATCGACTTTTTAATTTTTTTAAAATATATTTTTATTAATTTTTCAAGGAGAAAATAACAAGCCATTTCACAATTAATTACAAGGGAATATGTGAAAATAAATTTATTAGTCATCACCTAAAACAAATAACACAGAAATTGTTTAAATATATAAATATTGTTTAAATTTCAACAAGAGATTATTAACTGAGGGCCAGTTTTTATTAGAGATTTATAACAATCCTGACAAAATTTTAGCGTCAGTTTAACATAAACATTTTAGATCATGGGCATTCATAACTACCATTTTAACTATAATTTTCCCAATTACTAATATTAATTAAGTCTTTTATGGATATTTCCAATCAGCACAGTTGTAGTTCTATTCACAATTAAGAAGCATAAAGTTCTAAGTAGTGTCAATAACAGTGCACAATTAGTGGCAAAGTGCTTACAATATGACTTGGTCTAGTATTTATGTTTTCCTATTGCAAAATCATACTTGACTGTAAATCAAAATAACAATCTTGTGCATAACTTCTACTAAAAAATTGCTTGAAATTAATACTATCCAACTTTGATAAATATAAACTAATATCATTTATAATATTTCTGAAATATTGCTTAAAAATTAATTACACTTTTAGATTAGATTAGATTATTAGATTTGACTTTTTATGAAAAAAAAAAAAAAATTACTTTAGGAGGCAAACTGGATGGTTTTATTTTTATTCCTTTTAACCATTGAAGAAGCATGTATTGTACAATCAAACAGATTGTTTATTTTTACATTACATAAATCCCTTCATAGTAAATGATAAATTTATTTTAATGATTCTATCCATGATATTTATGGAAATGACCATACTGCATACTGATAACGAACAATATTTCTCCTCATTAAATTAAAAGCATTTTAGTACTTGCCTTTGACTTCACATAACTAGAATTTTTCTATCAACAAAAAAATGATATGAATGTTATATTTATATTCATCAATATATGTATTTAGCAGTCATAATTGATCATATTAATTATTTTAAGTTATATTTATAAGAGAAATTATGATATATAGTTAGTATTTATCTTAAATTTTCAACCAAAAACCTTACATAAAAAGATTAATTAATTTATCATAAAGTTCTATTATCCAGGAGGTCTTTGATAGAAAATAAGTCAAGTATTTAAGTATGAATAGTCTTTAGAAAATAAAATTTGCATCTTGAATTTTTACTATTCAAATATTTATTCCGATGACTTTTAACTACTCGATTTCACTTTCTAGCCTTGTTTATCAATTTTTTTTAAAATATTCTATACATAGTAAAAGAAAAATATTTACATTTCATATCTGAATATGCGATAACAAGCAATTTAAATAGTGAAAGGCCAAAATAATATAATTTTCCTTTATTTCTTCTAATACTTTAAATAAAAATTTAATATCATGGGGTGAATCACCTGGTAATTCCAACTTGGCAGGTCATTTAACAAAGGAACATGTAATAATAATGTTTAAAATAATATTTATTTATAATCTCAAACAAGACCTAGATAAAAAGTATAATTATCTAAAATAATAATAATACCTGAATTAAACATTAAGCCTCAACACTTTGATAAAAATGAATAACAGATGAAACAATATATCAATCTATGTCATCAACCAATAAAAATAAAAATAGGGTAAGAAAAGAAAAGATAAAAATAGGGTAAGTTAAGTTCAAAAAATTATTTCCTTGATTAGAGTGATATTGTTAGACAACTAACATTAAGAAAATCTAAACAAACAATATAAAAATAAATACGGCATAAATTATCAAACGAAAATACAATGCAGCGTCTAATTCCCGTCCTAATTATGTTAAATTAATGCATATATTTTTGTTTAAAACAAAATCAAATTTTAATCAGGGATTTATTTCAACCGTCAACTAGTTAGTAAAAGCCGTAAAAACAAAAGGTAAATAGATAGTCCCAAAAATTGTTCCTTTGAAGCTAAAGCTCATTAAAGGGGTGAGGCTTTTTTGCCAGGATATTGACACTATAATGAAATTTATGCTCAGTAAAAACTTTCAGTATTCATTTTAAACAAAAAGCATATTACCTTATCGTACCAGTCGGAGAAGGAAAAGGACTAGTAAAATTTGTATCTGGATCTGGAATGTTGATTCTCAATGGTGGTAGTGGTGCCCTCTGCTTAACAATCATTGGCGGTACTCCCTCATCGACCAAGGATTGAAATGTTAACCTAATGGTTGTGCTTGGAAATCGTAAGGTACACCTGGAAACCAACATGCACAAAATTTTTAGTATAAGATTCAGGTCGCATTTACAGAGACAAAGTACTGAAATATAAATAGTGAGATTATAAATAAATAATATAATACAATAAAAACAGATTGTGCAAGGATTATCTGGATAATAAAATAAAAATATTATTGTTATTTGTGTTATGAATTGTTCTGCATTGCAAACAAAAATATTTTTCAGTACAAACAAAAGGGCCAAGATTGTAAGCTAAGGGAACGCCGGTTACAATCACTTTCTCCAGTTGCTATTTATATTTTACAAATGTATTTTGTTTACTTGGCTGTAATTCAGCATGACAAGTCAACCTTGAGAAAACATCTGAGAGAGAGGAAAAAATGTAATACAAGTATAAATAACAAATTAGAACTGTTAAAATCCTTTTAAGTGAAATTTATTTAGGATGAGATAAACTTGAATACTAAATTCTTATCAAACTACTGGAATAATAAACAATTTGTTATATAATACATTCGCATACGCTTTTAATCCTATCTGTCGCCTAGATTAATGGCATTTATATTTCCCAGTGAATCACGAATAAAACTTCAAAAGTAACTAATTAAAGTGAACTAATCAAAGGGACCGTTTAAAATAATAAATACTCTGTACTTTCTAAAATCATTGCAAATAACAAACAAACAAGAGCATTGTACTGTTATTAAAATGTGCTGACATTTGAGAAATTTCTACTGATAAATCTTGTCAATGATTAATTAATTTAGTGAATTCTGGACACAAAAAATTGTCTGCTGTTTTCACTGCTGATGACAATATTTAAAAAGGATTTATAATAAAAATATAAAAATGTACAATAGTCCTTATCAATTAATACAAATATATTTGCAAATGTCCTTGCAATCAATATAATTATATTGCCAATCTGTTACATAAGGAAAGAGAAAGGAGTTTTTTTTTTCTAATAACTCAATTTGCATAAAATACTGCATTAACGTGGGCAAATTAATAAAAATTAAAATTTCTGTAAATGTGCAGAATAAGAGACTATTTGAAAAGCAAAAAATCTCTTTCTAGTTATGATTCATTACTACACAAGTGATTTAAATGTGAATAAATTGAAAGAAACAGATAATAGATTACAATTAATTAAGGTTTTTAGTTGAGATAAAAAAGTCAATGGCACGAGCGGGATTCGAACCCACGATCTTCGGCTAGATACGCCGCTGCTCTACCACTTGAGCTATCGTGCCCTCGATCCACTCGGACACCAACTTCCCACCTCAACCACACCTTTTGAATTATCCCTCCTTTTTGCCATTTTTCATACATAATAGACTTGAAATTTTACATCAAACTGGTTTAGTTAAAAAGCGGTCTGATGCCAGAGAAAATAGTAATTATAAAAAACTATACAAGCTTGTATGTATCACGAGCACAGAATCTTACAGCTAGTATGGAGGATGTTTAGAACATTGCGTGATCTCTCTCCATATAATAACAAGGATTGCAAATAAAATTATACTCAATATAAGCCGAAAAGAATTCAGGAGGGATTACAACATAAATGAAAGGGACTGATGTGTAGTTTAAAAAAAAAATACCTCTCAACTTAGACTCAAAGACTCTCTAAATAATAAATGTGTGGGAATACAGAGAAAATACTCTATACCAAGAAAGGTATGTAATCTGCTGTACCTTGAAGGTACAGGAACTGGAATGTTTAGTCTCAAAAACCAAATACTCAGAACTCATGGGTAATGAACTTATTTGCAAGTTGTGTTCAATTCAATCTGAACTGATGATCAAAAAGACACAGAAACCATTGGCACCACAGTGTGACTGTTTGGATGAGGGGTATAATTGTTCAGATAACGACTGAGGTTGGCCAAATGTTGAAATGCAACTGACAGACAAAATAAGCATGAATTATGAAGACCATAATGATTGGGGGGGGGGTGATCAAGCTACAACCGTTAGAACATTGAATTCACATTCTGGTATGCAAGACCAAACTAAAGGCGGAAATGAGAAAAAAAGCCACTCTCCGTCAGGCTCCAAGTCACAATGGGATTGATGGAAATGAATGAGCATAATCCGAAAATAATGCAACTGCCCCAATTCTGTCAGGATCCTTTTCTGTCACCCAACCGTTCTGTGGGATAGAAAATTTCACTATCAAAGACATTTTAAGAACATACCAAATGATTAATCACTAGGTCTTGCATACCTAAGAATGCACCATCTTGTACGATACAAAAAGAAATTTCAGAATGAATTAGAGACAGCATTTCTTGACAGTGCACTGCCTACTCCATGGAATCTGAAAAAGATTAGCGCCAATGAAAACAAGTGTACTCATTTATTTGAAAAAAAATCAGGTCAAATTTTAGTTTCCTGAAATGAAAAGGTGAACGTTCTTATAAGGAAAAGAATCAACTGATAAGAACTGAACCTCTCTATGGGCAAGGAACACACTATCAGAGAATTAAAAAAATAATGATTGAATACCAAAAACATTGTAAGATTGAAAAAGAAAGGACTATTCAGGAAGCATAAGAGAAAGCCGAAAGAAAAATGCCACAATGACATCTACAAAACAATAAAAATAAATAAAATATTGGTTTCAATGAAAATTGTAGATACTGAGATTTCTTGTTGAGATATGTGAAGTTATGAACTTGTAGTTTCCGGTCATGTTAATCTGCCTTCTCGTACATCATCAAACCACACCAGATTATATTTATGAACATAAGAAGCCACAATATATTTACTATCAGACTAGGGAGCTATGGGAGAAATTGTGAAGGGACCATTGCAACAGAGCAAGTTATAAATTTCATTCATTAACTCACTCATAGTATGATTCAACACCTCCAATCTACCAAACCATTACCACACATTCTAATTACATGCAAATAATAACTTATATACATTAATCTTACCCATCAATTATTCTTTTTATCTAAGGTGTTTGGTTGAGATGAAAAATTAGTGACAAGAGCAGGATTTGAACCCACGACCTTCGGTTCAATACACCGCTACTCTAACCACTTGACCTATCGTGACCAAGTGGTTCGAGCAGCAGCGTATTGATCCGAAGTTCATGGGTTCAAATCCCACTCGTGACACTCATTTTCCAACCAAACCTTAGATAAAAAGAATAATTAATTAAAATAATTAATACGGTCAATTATGACTACTAAACAAATACGGAATAACGTACAAAGTTCAAAACAATGTTTGTTGGAAATAATTTAATATTAATAATCAAAAATATAAAGCTCTTAATCATATTATTTTTTAAGTCTTTTACAAAGGAAATTAATTTGGAAATTCTAAATAAATTACAATTAATTAAAGTTTTTAGTTGAGATAAAAAAGTCAATGGCACGAGCGGGATTCGAACCCACGATCTTCGGCTAGATACGCCGCTGCTCTACCACTTGAGCTATCGTGACCTCGATCCACTCGGACACCAACTTCCCATCTCAACCCCACCTTTTGAATTTTCCCTCCTTTTTGGCCGAAGATCGTGGGTTCGAATCCCGCTCGTGCCATTGACTTTTTTATCTCAACTAAAAACCTTAATTAATTGTAATATATTAATTGGTCAAGCGGACCACGAAATTAGTGAACTTATAAATAAACTTGAAAACAAATCAATCGCATAATTCCAAAGCGTAAGTGTAAGTAAAATAGTTATAATTCTTGCATAAGTTATGTACAATAAAAAAAATATTCTGTTACTGCAAATTTTGTTTGGTTGAGTTTAGCACCTGCTAAACCCCAAAATATCTATCCAATTAATTCATGTCCTAAGGTATTCAAAATAATCTCAAAATTTATTTTTCACAAATTGCACAATTTGTTGAAAAACATCTTAAGTGTTTGGTGGGGGGGGGGGGGCAGTAGCTGAGTGATTAAGGCATCAGACTCTGAGCTAGTAGATCCCGCGGTCGTGGGTTCGATCCCCACTGTTACCTCTGGACTTTTTTCTGACGCCTAAGGGGACTGGTGGCCGCAACTGAAAGAAATTGACACGGTACTCATCAATGGAAGGGGCAGGATCAGATCTCAGAGACTGAATTTGGTCCCAACACTCACTTCAAACATGAGTTTCTTCGATGGAAGAACACTGGCACACCGGGGGCTCAAATTCACACTCGTGTTGCGAGCCCCCAAAAATGGAGCCAGGGATAAAGTACAATGAGCTGAACAGCTGCAGTGCTCAGGGGGAACTCTTCCAGTTCCTGGTATCCATTGAAAAAAAGGAAAAAGTGTTTGGTGGCATAATGTAATATACAAAAATTTAATTATACATCATGGAAGTTTATGAGGGTTAACAAGTAAAAACAAATTTAATTTAAAAAATAAATAAAAATTATCTTCATGATTACTAACAGTGAAAAAGTCCTGATTACAATCATGGGCAAGTGAAATGAGGGTTTGCTCCAAGACAAATTGACATTAATCACTTCAACCCAGTAATTTTAAGTAGTCTGTGTTCAGGTAATGAGCGGGTCCTACCTAAATAGAAGAGATGAAGCTTTACGCTATACAAGAGAGATCAGTTGATCCTTCCAGTAGAACATGTAGTTCAAAGTAAGAGTCAGTAGGTGAAATAATTTTGTAATAAATAAATTTTGAAAGGATTCGATTAAATCAAAACGTCAGTGTCTCAAACCTGAAGCATGGCTCAACATCAATCAACACACTACATTAAATACTGTAAACTTCAAATGGGTGGAATTGAGGGGTTTGAGAGCAGGCTGTTTTTAAAGGTTTTGCTGGTCTGTTGTTTCAACGCAAACAATTGTTTGTGAAAAGAATATTTTAAGCGTATTTCAATCCGGATTTAGGAGAGATCGATAGTTGACCATATCTTCTCACTCACAAATATTTTTAACCTAGAAACCTCGAAAAGAGTAAATAAAATTTTTGCGTTTTCTTATTGACTTTAAAGAGGCCTTTGACTCAGTATACTGATGGCATTTTAGTCAAAAGATTGCAAACCTCAGTTTCTCATCTGCAATCGTCAATATGCCAACAGCTTCTTTCAAGACTGCTGTTAAAATTAATAATACTGTCTTATCTATTTAATCCTGGCATTAGAAAGGGAGCCTCCTCAGCCCCTTGTTTCATCTTTATAGACGTTCCTGATGTCCTAGAATTTAGTATTCATTGCTCTAATGTTTTAATTAGCGTCTTCTCTTTGCTGCGGTGTAGCCATCCTGGCTAATTCTGTTGCTTTACAAAGGAATGTAGTTGCATTGGAAAATTATGGCTCTCGTAATTAAGTAAATAAAAAAATGTAGCTTTTCGTAGGGGAAAAGGCAGGCACGTAGGGATCGCTGGTCCTCCCAGGGTAAACGAATCGAAATTGTAAAGAGTATAAATATCCGGGTGTCATCATCATGCGAAAACTCTGTCCCATCTCAAAAAACAAATTTTACAAGTCCAAACTAGCGATTAATTTGGTTTTGTCCAACCTGATCTCAAACTTCAAAAACCTTTAGGCAAAGCCAATAAGTAACCTCGTGCCAGTTGAACATGTACTATTGAGTTCTTTTTTTGATTTTTATATATATTTTTTGTGTTCATTTTGTTTTGTAGTATACATACTACCATCTTAAAGTCCAAAGGTTCTAAGTTAAGAGTGGATGTAGAGAAGATAAATTAAAAAAAAAAGTTTAATTGCATTTTAATTTTTGATTGATGAAACTTTATTTATTTCTCTTTATTTTTTAACGTTCTAAAATTAAAACAATTATCTTTGAGTTAAAGCCAAGCGTAGGTTCAATGTTATACATTCTTGCCATAAATAAACATGGACGGGAGATTTCTAAAACTATCGGAAGGGAAGAAAACACGAAAATGGGACGAGGAAGAAGAAGGAGAAGAAGAAGTAGAAGAAAAAGAAAGAAATTAGCAGAAATAAAACGCCGACACGACTGCAATTTATTTACATGTAAAACTGTAATATCGTCGAATTGGGGTGGGGTGCGGAAAACGGAATATCGCGGATCCTGGTGCGATCACATTCTTCCTCTCGGCGTAAAAATAATAAAAAGAAAGAAGTCGGATAAAAAAACAAAAACAACAACACTACAAATAAAGGAAGAGAGAGAAAAAAAGCCTTAAAAGGTCAAAGGCGCGACAAAACATGCGACGGGCGTATATTCCATTGTCCCGTGATCCGATTTGTTTATTGCGTTAAGAAATTACAAAATGCAACATTTTTCTGTTATTTTAAGTTTGCGTATAAAAAGAATGATTAATTGGATTTTTCTCCAAGTGACGTAGCGACGAGTTGCAGATCAATAGAATAATAAATGAGGTAGAAGAGACAATTAAGACACCGCGGACTTTACGCCCCTGTGAAGGGTTTTAAGCCGTTTATCGCCTTAAATTGAGAATTAAAATAATATTAAGAAGAATATAGAAAGAATGGTGGATAGAAGGGCGATCGTTGGTTTTATAACGAAAGAGCTCTCCTATGGCCTTCGAGTTGGTAAACAAGCTTGTTATAAACATGACCCTACCCACTCTCTTCAATATTTACACGAGTTCGTTAGAATAAAAAATATTGTTCCACTCACGTTTTAGGTAACTGAAATGAGGGTGCCCCTTTCCTTTGGAAGACACCGTCGACGAAAACGCCGTTTTTCCCGTTGCACACCATAAAAAAATGCGGATGTTCGAAAACCAATTCCAAGTGTTTACGCGAGATAAAACTCGAATGTCCCATATTAACGTCGACATCGCCTCGTGAGCTGTTCCTCCCGATGATGATCCTCTTCTGTCTCACGAAGTACTCGAACTCGCGCCCTTCCAGCCTCGCGATCGCGGTGTCTTTGGTGTCGGGACTCCATTGGATTTTCGTCGGGCTGGCTGGTGCGGATTTGAGGGCGAGAAGTGCCCAGGCATCGCTTTCCTGTGAGCGCGACACGGACATCCCGTCTGCCGGTCTTTTCCGATCCTTCCCCGATCCCCTTCCAACCGGGGGCGAAAAACGGCGAGTATTCGATTAAAAAAAACTGTGGGTATTGTTTACCCACGGAACCGAAACGTGGGTGGCCGAGAAAAGAAACCACGTGACGATAGGAGCTGCGCGATTGTGTCAAAACAAAACACCACTGCCCTAGAGGGCGTTCTCTCTCTCACCACAGTCCACGGATCTTCCGTTCTTTCCCGTCACATCCCCTCCAAAAGAGGAACGTTTCACATTCGCCATTACGGCCACTTTCCCTCTTCCCATTCGCCGCCAACTTCGATTTGAACGGATCTACGCCAACTGGATAAAACTACATCTATTATTACCACTTGAAACAAATTTTTCAAGTTGATTCGGTCTACACAGACTTCTCCAAAGCATGTACCACTGTTCATCGTTTTGTTTTGATCGCTAAATTAAAATGTCATGGAGTATATAGAACCTGTAGAATACAGGTTGAAAAACTAAAATCGTTTTAATCAAATCCAATTTCAGTTACATCTGGAGACCCACAAGGATCACAAGCCTTTTATTATTATTTTTAATTTTTGTAAATGACAAGTCCTTTCTTTTGACAAGGTCAAACAAAAGAAATATTTGGCTTTACACAAGGTGACAATGGTTAATGGCTGTCTGTCAAATTGATGTAAAATAACATGAATTGTAATAAATAAAATATAAAAACAAACCAAAATATAGTTACAATGTTTATAATTGAAAAACAAACAAGTATCTATAACATCATTATTCGAAAAAGAAACAAGTAAAAATAAAAATGATAACTATTATATTTAAACTAAATCAAGTAAAATAAAATGAAAGTTACTAAATTCTTCTTAGTTTCAGTAAACTAAAGCATATTTTGTGGATATATACAGTTTCAATTATATTTGAAGTTCCCCAGGGATCACTTTTAGGCCCTTTATTATTTTTAATTTTTATAAATGACCTTAAGTCCTTTCTTTCAACAAGGTAAAACAAAAAGAAATATTTGCCTTTACACCAAGTGACAATGGTTAATGGCCATCTGGTGAATTGATCTAAAATAACATGAATCGAAATAATGTATATAAAGAAAATATAAAAACAAACCAAAATATAGTTACAATTTCAATAAATAATTGTAAAACAAACAAGTATCTATAATATCATTATTCAAAAAAGAAACAGGGAATAGACAAACCTGATAACTATTATATTTAAATTAAATCATGTAACATAAAATGAAACTTATTAAATTCTTCTATTACTTAGTTTCGGTAAGTTAAAGCTTATTTTACGAATAAATACATCAGGTTCCGGTTTTATCCATTTAATATTTTTTGCAAGGACCACGATGTACTGAATTCATAATCTGTAAGCCTTGTCCTTTCTTTCTGCTACAGCATTTCCATTATATGCTGATGGTCTTAAAATTTTCCTCTCTATAAAATCAACATGCGTCTTCTTTTGCAGCAATCTCTCTATTGATAAACTTAGTTTGTGGTGTCATATTAATTATTAGCTAAATGCTTATTAATTTCCTTTAATCTTTCTTCCAACACCATTCCTTTTAATTTTCTCTCAATAATACCACACTAAACAGAATATCCTTTGTCGAAGACTTGGTTTAATAGCAAGTTGGAATTTAAGGAGCACATTATTAATGTTAATAAAAATCTCTTAAAATTCTGAGGGGATTACAATTATAAGAAACCCTCATAATTAACATAATCCAATTCATCATTGAAATTGTACAGAAATCTCTTTAAAAAAACTTTTCTTCTCATTCTGAATTTTTAGGTAAAGTTCAAAATAAATTTATTAGAATCCTTCATTTTCAATTTCCTCTTCTTTCATCTTCAGAACTGTTTTTTTTTCTCTTTATAATCTTCCAGCGTTAGCTGACAGAAGGCGTTTTTTGATCTATTATTTCTTCACAATATAATCAATGGGCGACTAAATTGTACTGACCTCATTTCATGTGTCACTTTCAATGTCCCAATACAAGCTACGGCATTCATCTACTTTTAGTGTACCGTTTCGTAAAACAAATTCATATTTTATTCACCAATAATAATGAGAGAAGGAAATAAGATTTGTCCAAATATTGATTTTTTCATCTAAATTTTAATTGTGTACCGACCGATATTCCCATCACACACCGATACAAATATCACAATTATAATTCTACAGCCATCAAAAGTTACACTAAATTTTAATATTTTTTAAATTTTTTTTAATATTTTGATTTTTTCATTGATAAAAGTACAAAAAAATTTAAATTCACTTCGACATTGCATCTAGTCATAGTTGGAGTGGATATTTTTATATCCACTTATATTTGTGTGTTCTTATATATTTACTAATCACCTATATTTTAATTCTATTTTGTTTCCTTTTTTTCTGTGTTATTAAGCTTCTAAGCTGTTTGTAATAAATAAAAATAAATGTAGGTGTATTAATCGTGCCCTTTGATAGCTATTGTGTGGTCTGTTCTGTGCTTATATTCATGATTGCAATTCCTAGGTCATCAAGGATCTTGATTAGTAGGCTCGGTTTTGGTGATTGAATTTCTTCTGAGGTTGCACTGACAAAAAATCCTCATATGATTGGATAACCAAGCAGCTATTAAATAAAGCATTTGCATGTAAAAAATCACATTAAAACTAGTCACTGAATCCATCCAAAATCTCAAAAACCTGGGGAAACAGATTTAGATGTATCATTCAAGGTATATAATACTGTAACTAATATAATACTGTGCACTTTAATAATAATAGCACACTGGTGAGTCTAAGTTCATTAAGGAAGTTGATTATAAGACCTGGTTTCAGTGGTTGAATTTTTTCTAGCTGCATCGCACAGCTCAAAACACTTCCTCCTGCAGGCAAATGTTATGCCAATTTGTTAGTAGGTGTATTGGGTCTCCTGTTTCTTTACAGAATTTGCATATGCCATGTTGTAATACACATGTCCTGGGACCCATTAGAGGGTGTGGAGAAACAAAACAATGGTAATAAATGTAATAAATAATTATAACAACACAACAATGATAATTTTTGGGTACCAGGACACAAGGTAATTTTGGGTAATAAAAAAGCAGACATACTGGCCAAAGGAGCAAAACCATATTATGCATATTCCCTAAAACTATTTATGGAGTAACAAAGACACACTCCATTACATAATGGATCCAAAAAAGATAAAATTAGCTATGGATAAACTCTAGACATGGTAAACTTATGCTAAAACTACCTTGTAACAAGACCAGCATACTGACTTAGATAGGTGCTAATCTCAGAGGAGAAAACCATCTAAACACGGGCATATTCAATGTGAATCGACAATCTGAGGGAACTAGGAGAGTACAATAAGCCAGAAAAATTTAATTTGTTAATAACTAAATGAATGCTGTTAAAGCCTGAACCAGGTTTCACAAATTATAACGCAAACGAAAAAGCTTAGCTTTTTTTTTATTGAGAATATGTATAAGAAGAGTCTTTTCGTATTATTGCCTAATAATTTCTTATAAATAACATCTGAAATTTAATTCTAAAACCTTGAATATACAAGTTTTTCCATGTATTGGTTCCTACAATCATAAATAAATTATGTATTTCAAAAAACAAATAATTCATTTTATATGAATTGAAAATAAGTAATTCACAGTTTTAAAAAAAGGAGTAAAAAACAACAAACAGGTCTCTTTTTGCATGATTCAATTTAAACTTAATCCATGATAATTTAAAAGTTGTTCTTTCCTCATGAAAGGATATTTTTCATTCTAAAATTTTTACAATAAATAATTCGTTTTGAATTCTGTTGAAATGAAAAATTCATTAAATAAAAGAAAAACAGAAATTTAGTATATTTAATAAGTATAAAATAAAAATATGTATAATTATAATATTGTTACATAACTTAAGGGCTTAAAATGAAATTTATACAAGTGAAGTGAAGGAAATGGAGGTAATACCTCAAGGTTAAACATTGGGCGGTTGTACATTAGGGAGAGGAGGTGGTGGTAGTTGGGACTGGGGTTGCGGTTGAATCAACTGCTGAGATGGAGGAGGCTGTTGTTGGGGTTGGGGCAGTTGCTGCGGTTGATTTTGTTGTGGAGGTAGATTTTGCTGTGGTGGGAGTTGTTGCTGTTGTTGTGGCTGCTGCTGTTGCTGGGGCGAAGAGGGAGGCATTGTCGCTTCAGCAGCTAATCTCCTATGGGCTTCTTGTCTCGCCCTAAACTCCGCTGCTTTCAGCTGTTCCAGGTGGAATTGCTGCCGTTCTGCAATCAACTGTTGCCTTTGGTACTCCAAGCCTTCTCTTTCTTTTTCCATCGTTGTTTCTAACTCTTCAAAATGCCTCAATTTAATTTCAAGTTTCTTCATTTGTGTTTCTACAAGTAAGGCGACAAGGGATTTGATTTTCCTCTCTTCTACAGCTGCCAAATGCTTGGCTTTGACAGCTGCTGCAGCAAGCGCAGCTGCAGCTGCAGACTGCAACTGAGCATCTTTAACGACTCTGTCTTGTTCTGTTTCCTGTGGGGTTGCCTCTTTCTCCTTAGCTGGTTCATCAGTTTCCATGGATTCAGGGGCATTATCCTCCGCTGGTTCTGTTTTAGCCTCCTTCACGTTCTCTTCAGATTTCTCCTCTGAAGGTTTCTCAGCTTTTCCAACACCAGCATCCCCACCAGCACCTTCTCCTTCACTACTTTCTTTCTTCTCTTTGTCCTCACTCTCATCTTTCTCCGGCTCAGTACCGGCAATTCCACTCTGTGAAGAATAATCAGAAATTAATTTAAAAATGTTACAAAACTGGGATAAATAAAAGATACATAAATTATTTTTCTCATTCTGTTTTCTTAAGTTTTTTGTTGTTGGTTGCATTTTTTAATCATTATTAATATTGAATAATGCTGTAATATACTAATTTAAACAATTTTAAACTGACTATTTGTTAGAAATTCCTTTAATCTACTGTGGTGGTTTGAAAAATTAGAAGAAAATTTTAAAAAGATGCCGCTGCTACAAAAATCATTCAACTATTGAATGAACTAGGTTTGCTACAACTAAGTTTTTATTATTGTTATTAAGGTATTTTTTCTAACTTCTCAATAATATTGTATTGTAATAACTTGAGGGCAAAGATTTTTTTTATTTTATTTATACTCTTATAGAGTAATAAATTTGACCATATAGTTTGGAAAAAAGTGGATAAAACTAAAATTTTACTGTTATTCGAGTCAATTTATTTTTAGCTTTTATTCACAATTCAGATTCTCAAATAAGTCAGAATTAGTGATATAAAGTGTTTATACCTGTGAAAGTCCGGCTGAAGGATCAAATTTTCCATCGACTGTCGAATTCTTAATATGAGCATCAAGCAAAGCCGCTGGGACTTCATCCTAAGAAAAAATAATAAATGTTAGTATGAAAATATTTTCTATTTAAACCAGGCACCTAGAATTTACCTTTATATTTGCAAACTCAATCATAGCAGCTTTAGCTGCAGAAGCAGCTACCCTAGGATCAACGACTGAAGCAAGGAACGCAACAGTTGACATTATTGGATTTCCCGCCTTTGAAAACGGAATTGGCTGGTAAGCAAGAGGACCTAATGCACTTCCTGTAAAAACAAGTTTTGAAAATGTTTTGAGAACTTAAAACATAACAAAAATAAGTAAAAAACGTAAAATAAGAACACTGACCATTATCATTGTCTTCCAGGTAAGGATCTTCAATCGGAAGTCTAAGAAAGTGAAGTATACATTCATCCTGTGTCCTTGATCCGACATGTTCGCATACTTTGTTCCAGTCATCCTTGTAAAGTTCAAGTGCCTCTAGTAGAAGCAGAGTCTCTTGTTCGGTCCAGTCTCTCGTCACAGCAGCAGCCTGCCTATTCTTTAATACAGCTGGTTTTCGTGTATATCTGTGAGAAAAAAAAGTTTGTATACATCTTTCTACTTATTGAAAAATAAAGAAAAATTATATACAATTTGCAATTAGTATATGAAAAATAATTTGAAAATACTCACTGATCTAATTTTAATCCAAAGTTCATTCCTGGTTGCTCGCCTTCCACTTTCCTTCCGGCGTTTTGATTCTGTTCCTGTCTTCTTGTAGATTCCATGTCAAGGAGGGTCTTTGCAGCAGATTGCTGCTGTGTTTTGGGAGGGTTGACAGGCATTAGCCCTGACGGCGTATCAGCCAGGACGTGGAAATGGGACGTCGGGGGAGGCCCCATAGGGGTAGGTCGGCTTTCCGCATCCACTTGGTAATTTATAAGACCCCATTGTTCTAAAAATGCATGGACCCTCATTATAGCACAAACGTCACCAGCCAAGTTCCTCCTCGAGGCAGTGCTTGTGAGGTATTCAGTGGGGTTGAGGCGGTAAGTGTCGATCATGAAATTCCTATAAGCTAGGTAAATTTCTGGCGTCTTAGACTTATTTTTGCCATTGAAAAATTCTGGAAGTGCCCTCTTCTCAATCGAGTGGACAGAATTGTAGTCGAACCAAGCGGAATAGGATGGAACGATTATATGATGTGTTTGCTCAGTGACATTATCTTCCTGGCCGTCTTCTTTATTAACTGTCAGATCCTTTAACAAACATTATAAAATTGTTAAAAAAAACTATAACAAAAATGTTTTTAAAAAATTATGTACCGTTGAATTGTTGTTTTCATTTGTTATTCTGCCAGTTTGGCTATCATCATTCCTTTCTGCCTCCTCATCAAGATCCATGATTGTACCACTTTTCATAGGCTGACTGTCGACATCTTTTTTTGTATTTGTAGAGAGACCAGCTGAAAAAAAAAAATTATATTAAGAAAAGAAAGATGTTAGTGAATATATTATTATGTGAAAAAATATACTTGGTTTTGGCATGACAACTTCTTGAATATTTGGCTCAGGAGTGGGTTCATCCATATCTCTGGTCAAATCAGCCTCTTCTTCTTCACTTTTGATCTTCTTTGGGCCTCCGACAGCTGGAAATCTTCCACTAAACAAACATAACAATATCAATATAATTAAATAAAAGGCGGAATACAACTGACAGAAGATGGATAAGAGGGTGTACCTTTTTCTTTTAGCAGCCAACTTTGGTGGAGGGCTGGGAGACTTTTTGCGTTTTTGCTTCTTTTTTATTGGATCTGACTGACCCATTAGATCGTCCACAGATAAACGGAGCTAGATTAAAACAATAAACATGAAAGTTATTCGTAAAATAATTCATTGGTTATTGATCACTTCATCACTTACGGGATGAACTTTTTTCTTTCCATTTTCATCCACCTCATAATCCTCCTCATTCATCCATTCGTTATAAAGATCAAGTTCAGTAGCCCATGAAGCTGTAACCTTAAAAAATAAAAATAAAAACATTATTTTTAATTATAAATAGAAAATTAAATTTAACAACTTACCCTCCATGGCAGTGAATGTGCTGGAGGTGAGTCAGGAGGATCAAATGGAAGATCAGCACTTGTCCAAGAATCATGCGAGTCGGGAAAATAGTACCAATGAAGTAGTGTCATTCTGTCCCTTCGTAGGGTCGGCCTTGAAAATTCCTCATCAAGCGGATCCACAACGGGGTAAAGAATATGTGTAGCCTGATCCTCGTTTTCTATTGTTAAAAAAAAAATGATAAAAAAATGAGAAATGTAACATATTTATCAACTTACCAACAATCGTCCCTTGATGACGCTTAATTATATCCTTTACTTTAGCAGCCATTGCTTTATCCACATCAGGACGTACATAGACTGCGGGGAGGGTGAGACACTTTGTCTGAATCAACGCCTTCTCGACTGCCATGAACATCTCAACATTCCGATCCATCCTAGATGGGCTCTAAAGTGAAGTGTTCAAACAGTAAAATTAAGTGCTTAGAAAAATTATAGTACAAGTCCAAATTAACATTAAATTAAGAAAAAAGAAACTGCAAAAATAAATAAATACACAATTGTGCTATACATATAAATTCAACAATAACAGTAAATATATTTTGTCTATGTTTTCTTTTCTTTTGTTTACGAGGATATTTCAACTACAAGGTTATAAGAACCCTCGTGGTTCCGGTGTTTTTGAAAAAAGCACATTTGTAGGTATGTCAGATCCGACTGCAGGGCTGCGGGATTCGAACCCGAGACCTTTACCATACAGTGATGAGCGCTGGGTCAACGATTAAACCGTTGCGGCTAACGATGCCCCTTGTATTGTTTAAATGAAAAATATCATTCAATAAAATTGTTTATCATTACCAATTTAAAATTAAATTAATCCTTTATACTTTACAAATTCAAGAATATTTATAATCCTGAATAAAGCTTTCTATGGCTGCACATTTATATTGATAATGCTGAATTCACTAATGGGTTATTAAAAACTAATTCAAATTCCATATTATATAAATAAGACATCTAAAAATAATTAAAACTGAGCAACCCATAAAATTAAGATTATTACAAAACAAAACATGCAATAAAACACAACAAAGCAAAACACAAGTTATAAACATAAAGCAACATAAAAAAGCCCCACATCATCAGTGAACTTGTAAGTTTTAACAATATATTTTATTATTAATGAATCATTTAGAAATTAATTTAAAATCAGCATTCTAAATTTTGAATAATTGAACTAATATATTATTATTATTATTATTATTGTTGTTGTTAAGAAATAAAAACAGTAAAAAATACTTACTCATTTGGTGCTAATAAAATAATCGACTAAAGAGCTGAGTTTTCAAAATAATTAATATGAATTTACTTTATTTTTTTCTTGTAATTTTCAAACACAATAGAAACACATAAGAAAGCAAAACTATGGATTACAAGGGCGCTAAGCACAGTGCACATCACAAACACATAGCGACAATCACGCGTGCTCAGTGCTAAGGAAGGACAAAGGAGGGGTTTGGAAGACTCAACTCTTACAAAGGTGATTCAATCCCGCCTCGGTGGGTATTAATTGAGTAAAGAGAGTTAGTGTGGTGTTGGTGACACGATCGTACCTTACTGACCTGGAAGTCGAACCTACGCCAACCCTGTTCACTCTTGTGTTTATAGACAGCAGCCAAGATTTGGCACAGTGCGCCACCTGGTTTAAAGTCAAGGAAACACCGCATCTAGAAAATAAATTCATTTTAAATAAACAGAACAAATCAATACAAATCGATGTTACTTACAGGGAGCCTTGTGAGTGGTGGCTTTGTGACATTTTTACCAAAGTTGTCCTCCTGGAATTGTATGAGCTGTATGACGAGAGCAGACAAACTTTTTCCACTTGGAGGATCTGTTTGGATGTACTAGAAACAAAATTATCTTTTTACTTAATTGTATGTACTGTAATGTTTTAAAATGCAAAAATGAGAAAGTACATGCACTCATAAAGATGTGATTCACAAGACATGCAAACAAGTTTAATTGAAAGGGATTTTTTTTTGCATAGGCTCAAATCTGCACATGCACGTACATGTATACAAACATGTATCGAGTTGAACCTATTGGCTTCTCTAAGTCCCCCGGCGATTCCGGCTTTTGCTCTTTACGATAAATTGCCGGCAGACTCGAGAATCACCCACCCCAGGTGTTAGCAGCCTGAGGGCAGACCTCATCTTATCTGTCCAGCCACCCAGGTTGGGCTCAGGTGGAGAGGTGCCCTCAATTCAGCACCCAATGGGTGCAGTTCCAAACCAATTTGTTCTCATGTCCATTCTTAAATACATTTACTTCCATTTACATACCATTCATTTAATTAGAGTGATGGAGTAATTGATATTCCTCCATCACCCTTTGCACATACTATATAACTAACCAAATTGAGAGTCGATGGGGGTATTCAATAGTCCACCACTGACCCTCATATCACACATTCACACTAATAAATACAATCACTCTCAACACAATCTTTACACATTCTATAAACTAGCCTAATTGAGGGTCGATGGGGTACTCGATATTCCGCCATCAACCCTCTTACATCACACATTCACGCTAATAAATACATTCACTCCTAACTCAAATTAGTTATACACAACTATTATACCTATATACAATAGAACAACCCAGTTTTCTCCAAGAATCGGAAAATGGGACCCAAATACTCTGTAAGTAATTGTAGCCAAGGAATTGCACCCTTCAATTAGGTGGGACACATTGAGCAACCTTTCTCTGCATTTTTATTTCACTGTTTAGTATATAAATATTTTTTATAGACTAATTAAAATATAGGATTATCTGATAATAATGCCAAAATTATTATGAAAAGTTTAAAATATTTTGAATTACTTTGTTGTCTGTAAATAAATACAAAATATAAACTAAAATAAAATTTAGATTTTTATCGATTTGTTTTTGTATGAAATGAATAGACCGGATTTTATTGTTAATTTTAGGGGTTGGGTGTTAAATTGAAAGAAAATGGTCTAAAACGTTAAGTGGAATTTGTTCATTGCTGGCTGAAAGGAAAACAACGCCGGCCCGAGATGGAAGGGAACGAACCTGAACTTTTATCAGGGGAATAATGTAAAAGAACTTCTCAGGATCAGTTGGGTGGGCGTAAGGGAAGATAGGGCGGCAAAAGGCGTTATAAGCCGCTCCGCGGATGCTCACCTTTTTGCAGTTTTTCAGCAGCCAGTTTTTGACAGAGTCGAGTTGTGCGAGCGTCTCCGGCGACTCGAAGAATTTAACGTTTGGACCGCCGTCCTTTTTCGGTTGAAATCCGAGCATCATGACGGATTGGTCTCGGCCTGGGGGACAACACACGGTTCGAAAACGTCGAGCGATTTGAGGAAAAGACTAGAGCGAGTCCGGCACCCTCCTAGGAAGCGGCGAATCCGAGTCGCAAGATGTCCGACGGACCTTTACGAACGCCGGACGTTCAGGTTAAAATCGTTAATGTTTATCTTCCCACTTTCGACACCACGGCAAAACCTCAACCGCTGCCCTTTTCACGATCCTCTCCTTTATTTCACTTATCCTTCTAACTTAATTTCAGGATAGGATATATAATACAGGATTGTACGATATATTCGATGATTGAAGGCCTGGTTTATTATTTCTTCGAAGCTTCGATTTTAGTCGCGATCGACGATTGCGATATATCGATTCAAGAAAGGAAATGGGCTTTCACCTCAACTACCATAATTTATTGTTCAAATTTGTAAATTTGTTTAGTTATTTGTTTATACGGGTAAATATACCAGTTACAAGTTCTTCAAGAGCTTAAACTATTTAATTTAAGTATTCATTATAAGTAATAATGAATAATTAAAACATAAATAATAATCTAAATATAACAATAATTAAAAATGTGGACATATTCAACATAATAAACGCAAATAAAATATAATGATCTCTAAAAATATAAAAGAAGTGAAAAAGAATGATAAAAATTTAATTAAACAACATAAATATATAAATAAATATAAAAGAAATGCGAAGGAATGATAAAAATATAATTAAATAACAGAAATAAATAAACACATATAAAGAAAATGAGAAGGAATGATAGGAATATAATTAAACAATAAAAATATATAGACAAATATAAAGGAAATGGGATGGAATGAGAAAAATATAATTAAATAATAAAGAATGATAAAAATGTAATTAAATAACAGAAATATATATAAAATATAAAGGAAATGAGAAGGAAAGATAAAAATGTAATTAAACAAAAGAAATGTATAAAGGAAGTGAGAAAGATTAATAAAAATATAATTAAACAATAGAAATATACATACAATACAAAGGTAATGAGAAGGAATGATAAAAATATAATTAAATAAAAGAAATATATAAACAAATGTAATCGAAATCAGAAGAAATGATAAAAATATAATTAAACAACAGAAATATATAAACAAATATAAAGGTAATGAGAAGGAATGATAAAAATATAATTAAACAAAAGAAATATATAAACAAATGTAATTGAAATCAGAAGAAATCATAAAATTATAATTAAACAACACAAATATATAAACAAATATAAAGGAAATGGGAAGGAATGATCAAAATATAATTAAACAATAGAAATATATAGACAAATATAAAGGAAATGGGATGGAATGAGAAAAATATAATTAAATAATAGAAATATATAAACAATATAAAGTTAGTGGAAGGAATGATAAAATTTTTATTAAACACCAAAACTATACAAACAAATGTAATAAAAATCAGAAGAAATGATAACACTATAATTAACCATGATCTCAAACAAAAAATAATTAATTGAAAAGATATTGAAAAATATAATTAAACAATAGAAATATATAAAAAAATGTAAAGAAAGTGGAAAGGAATGATAAAAATTTTATAAACACCAAAAACACACAAACAAATGTAAAAGAAATCAGAATAAATGATTAAAAAAATAATTAATTGTGATCTCAAACAAAACAAAATTAATTGAAAAGTTTTGGATGATAAGGCATATTTTACTTATCCAAAAACTGGATTGTTCTTGTCTTTCATGAAAAATAATTCTTGACGAACAAAAAATGATTTTAGATTATAAGAATGCTAAATAAATCTATTTGTTAAGTATATTTTAAATCTTTATATTCAAATTTTTTTCAAAATGGAACTTTAAAATCTCGCTCTTGCTGATTACCTAATTAATTGTCTGTAGAAAGTATGAATTTCGACTTTTTATTCATCTCTATCGTTATGCTTAAATGTGGCCTTTAATTCGAACATTTCACATGATGGTAAATGGGATCAAATTAAGTCATTTTTCGACAAAACACAGGGAGAAGAGCCAAAACGCGCCCTTGATTGAGATAATGTACATTAGCAATACACGATTATGTTAAAGTGATACTTCGGCATGAATGTAAATGTGAATTTCCCATTGGTAATGATTCAATAATTGGAGGGTATTGAATCGGCTGAGTAAGGCGAATGTCAGACTGTTGGATAAGCGATTTGAAATCATTCTCTCGCCCATCACTCTTTTTATCATGTCCGTCTGAGTTTCGCGCGTTGTAAAAATATCATTTGAATTATCGACAAGCATTTATTGCAAGAGCCTCTTTATTCTGGTCTATTATGAATGGAACTTTGACGAAATAAAGTGCGCATGACGGAATCCTGAAGATTTTGGTTTCACTAGTATCGCTTAGTTACCGTCCCGACATCGGGGTTTGGACTCGTAATTTTTTCAACGGCTCCTCAGGTAAATCGTAATTCATTTATAAAACAGCCTTTGATCACAATTTAAACATTCACTTCGGTACGTTTTCATTTGCACCTTTAACTTGATTCTAACGAAGCAATCTTTGGAAAATTACACAAATTAATACGTGTAAAAACAATATTTTTTCTTAAATTAACAATTAATCCATCATAAAAGTACATACTATTATATAAGAATATACAAGGATTTTATTAATAAAAGATGCTTTTGGGTGACCCTTTAAACAAAACGCATAAAGAATTTAACAAAATTATAATGTATGGGTACATATGTAATATGACTATATAATTAGGCAAGTAAGTGCACTCAGCTAAATCCCGACACAATACTTTTGTGTATAATAGTACTTTGGAAGCAAGTAATCAATAGAGAGGTAAAAAGCAGCAAAAAAGTTAGGTCGAAAATAGGTTGAATCACGAAATTATGTTTGTTTTGTACTTTGTAGTCGTTTTGCTCTGGTGACATAGCCCTCCTTCCTCGTGGGACCGTGTCTCTCTAAATATTAATTACCCTCACCTCCAGAAACAATCGATTGACCTGAATTATGCCGAAACACGCTCTTGACTCTTACTCTCGCTACAAAGTTGTCAATATTCAAAAAAAAAAAAAAACTTCCGGGCGGTGAAAATGCCAAATAACACCCCTATGGTCATGGTGTTGTAACAAGATTGCAATTTTTGATTTGGGAAGATTTTAGGTGTGAATAAAGTAACCTGGAATATTAAATTCAACAGAGGATCAAAACTGGTGTAAAATTTACCCAAATATAAAGACGTAATTAGGGCAAGAAAGGCTGAAAATAACGCTCTACAAGAAGTACATCTTTTTGTGTCGATATCCGTGATTATATCATTATCATCAGGTCTAAACAAATTTCCTTAAGACATTAAATTTATCACGGCAGAAAATATTAAATTAACTAAATAACTTTTTTAAGGCTCTGATGATGGTATTATCATAAAATTATGGAAAAGTTCGAGAAATCCTTCTGCTCCTTTCAAGAGTTGGAACGGTTCGGGATGAATAAGCCTCCTTTTTACTAGCATCATTTTATCCTTTTATAATTTAATGGTAAAAACAATGTTTTAAATAAAATTTTTATGACTTTGATGATGGTGGTGTAATCATAAAAAGCTTATATAAAGCTCGAGGAATCATTTTGCTCTTTTCAAGAGTAGGAATGGTTTGGGATGAAAGCTACCTCCTAATACATCTTCTTTTCCATTTAAGTCTTAACTAAAATTTGTACGATTCTGATGATGGTGGTACAACCATAAAAAGCCCGGCACTTTGTAAAATTCAAAAAATGCTCCTTTAAGTTGAATTGATTTGGGATGAATTAGCCCCTTTTTTACAAATGTTTATCTAATTAATGTATTCAGTGTAACTCAATTTGTGTATCCCTGATGATGATCATCGAAAGTCTGGCATTATCAAGAATTCTAGGAATCATTCCTTGCCGTTCAAGAGAGAAATGAATACCGTCCTTCTTCCAAACTAAATGATAAAAACATAGTAATAACTAATGTATCGCCCCGATGATGACGATAAAAACTACTAAAACCAAAAATTCTTTTAGTAACTACCAGCTTCCGTGTTTCTTAATACTTCCTTCGTCAGTCGGTAGGTATATTGCCGAGGAGTATGTTTCTTCTAACGAAAAAATGCAAATTATTACTAATTGTTAAAATTAAACTAAAAAACAAATATTACAAAAAAAAAGATAAGTTTAACAAAAACAAATATCTATTCGTACTGGTTATTATTGTTGGTTGTTTCTGCATTTGTTTTTTATCATGTTGGAACGGTAGAAAATCGAAATCAATTATTTTCTAGCAGCTACCTTCAAGAATGATATCCCCACTCCTCAAATTTAAATTCTTCACGACAGTTTATTTTTATTTTTATCAATGAAACACAATATGCCCCAATTGCTGCTTTTGCAATTCAAAACTCCAGTCGCCATTTCATTACGCATTTTTGTAAAATTATAATAGCATTATTCAAATGTATCAACTGGAAACTGTGAAGTGGGAAATTGGGGAAAGTAAGTTATAACTTTTGATAAGACTCAGCAAGTTAAAGTTGTACACAACACATGTTAAAGGCAACTTTTTCAAAATGAGACTGCAAATTGTTCGGTTAACAAAGTAAAAAACAAATAAAAGCAGATGGTGGTATGGTGTGCAGTGGCCATTTTGTTCCTCAGTTACCTAGGGTGTACGATGGCGGCGTTGAAATTTATGTACAGGTCGTTCCCGGCTCTCGTCGGACCGAATTTAGAAGCAGCAGCGGAGTCGGAAGAGGACGAGGAAGTAGATAACCGCCGAGCCGTCCTCCTGGGGAATGCAGCAGCAGGATACGGGCTCCACCCCGGTAGAGCCGAGGGGGCTGGAGGTGAAGGTGGAGGGCCCGGGATCCGTCAAGAGGAGGACCAGCAAAGAAGACAAGAAGGTGAATTTTGCGGAGGGGGTGACTTCGGCGAGAGAATTATCCAAGAGAGACAGCCAGAGAGAGCTAACCGCCCCCAGGGCATCCCTAGGTATGCGTTTTTTTCCTTAATTTGATGAACACAATCTTAAAAGTAAGCAACAAGAATTTTATCCTAATTCCCATAGAACCAAATGAAATTATGAAAAAAAAACTTATTTAATTTTCCATATTCTTATTGAATCCTTTATTATTTTGAAAATATATCTGTTGTACAATTCTATACTTGAATTGACATTCCTTTATAGCAATTGATGTTGAAGTATTGAAAATCTGGTTAATAAAAATAAATAAATAAATTAGCCATCAAAACCCTGTTAGGCATGCAAGTTTGAAGATATCGATACACTCTTTGGATGTACCAAGATGATTTGAAAAAAACAAAAAATTAAAACTGACAATCAAACCCTTTGAAAAGAACATTCAGAACAAATAATATACTGATATGCAGCAGGACTTCATGGGTCACTTCCTCCCACTTCACACCCTCGGGGTGCAGGTGTTTTTGACCACCGACGCCTCTAAAGGAGTTGTTGTAAAAATTCTGTATGATTTCATGTAGCATCATGAAGCTGAACTGGGAACAGCAGCAGGTCTCTATGGAACAATATTTAAGCAAATCATAGAAAAAGGTGTTGTGAACTTTCAAACAATATGTTTAAGAAGGGTTGTTGAAACGCTCCATGTGATCTCGCTTAGCATCATGAACCTGAATAGTGAACTGCAGCAGGACTCTATGAAACAATATGTAGGCAAATCATATATAAAGCTATTGTCAACTGCCAAACAAACTATGTTTAACAAGATGTCAAAAAGCATAAAAGCACTATGGATCTAACCTATCATCATAAAACTGAATAGTGAGTGAAGTGTAGTAGTTGTCTATGGAACAATATTTAGGCAAATCATATAAAAGCTATTGTCAACTGCCAAACAAACTATGTTTTAAAAGGAATTTTTGCAAACTACGATCTCACCTAGTTTCATGAAGCTGAATATCACTTGGAGAAGTGCCAGTTTCTCCTTCAAAATCCAAGTGGTGAACATCTCTCCAAAAGAATTGTTACCAATGATGAAAACTATTTACCGGCCCAATAGTAATAAACCAGGATAGTATATAGACATATCAGCCTTCCTATAAATAATATAGACCACACTTAAATTTTTTAAAAAGAATTTTGGAGTTATTTGAATAACGAGGTAATCATGTAATGCTTTTTTATTATTGTACTAATTTAATTAATTAGCCACAAATTTATGAGAGTAGTGCTTCTAGTGAAACTAAGACCATTGTGATCATGTGGTTAGGTGTCAGCTTTGGTTTATCATAGATAACACAGTTGTCAGTTTGATTCCCACCTGGATTTTTTATAATGCTCATCTGCGACACTTGTCTGGGTACAAATTAAAACATATATACACTCAGGCAAAAATTAAAAAATGGACACTTGTCTTTTGTTGTTTATTTCAAACTACATGCATTTTTATTATTATATTAATTACAACATTTTTGTAATGTAAACCAAATTAAATGAAGCAGAAATTCATGAGTTTTAATTTAAAAAAAATTTAATTATGATGGTTTGAAAGAAAAAATTTGAAAAAAAATTCACGACAAAACGGAAAATCATTTAGTGGTAATTAAAATTTAACTAACAATTTATTATATCTCTAAATGATTTTCTGGAAAAATAAAAGAAACGTTTATATTAAAAAATGAAGTGAATCTAGAGAACAAATCCAATATTATTACTATTAAACTCATAATTTTTTCCCTTCCTGTCACTATAACATACACAACCCACATTTTGAACTTCTCTCTCGCCTCATACTGTTTTCCTCAAACCTGGAAGGAAGCCCTAATAGTTGCATTACCAAATAAACCTAAACCCACCCTTGCTAGTGATTATCGTCTTATTAGTATTCTTCCAACACTCTCCAAAACATTTGAAAAGATTTTATTTAAACAAATATACTTATTATTGACTCCCATGCCCTTATATCCCTTTTCAATCTGGCTTCCTAAAATTTCATAGTTGTGGACAGCCCTTCTCAAAATCTCAGATATTTGCTTAGGCATTGATGATAAGTGTACCATTATTGTTCTATTTGATTTTTCCAATGCATTTGGTTCCGTAATTCAAAATTTGCATATTTGGAAACTCACACATGTTTTTGGTTTTTCTTCTACTGCTTCTAATCTCATTTCCTTCTATCTGTCTGACAGAACTCAGAGAGTTAAAGCTTCAAATTCTATCTCCTCTCTCAATTTCAACGGTGTTCTCCAAGGCGCTATTCTTGGACCCTTTACTCTTTTCCATGTGAAATGATTAGTTTTTAATTTCTCCAAATTTCATCTTTATGCAGATGACACTGATATTTACAATCAATGTCTTACAAGCAACATTTCTGAAGTTATCTCTCTGCTCAACCGTGATCTTCATTCTCTCAACCAATAGTTAAGAAATAACGGTATTCTATAACCCTAACAAGCCTTAGCTTTTGCACTCCCCAGAAAACTAGGGTTCTCCTTATTAAATCTCTAATCATCGGCTTATCATTTCTGCATTAGTTACTGTTGTGATCTTAAACCAAGGGACCATATTTCTTCCTATTGTTGTCTTCAGCAACCTTAACAGTCTAAGAACTTAAGAGTTTTAATATATATATTTAAAATTAAAACAATTTTAATCATTTTCAAATAAAGGTCCTAAAATATCTATAAACTATTTTCCCTCATTCCTTATCCAAATGCACCAATCATATCCCAAGCCTTCAATACTCCCACAAACCTTTAGTTTTATACTTCACAATTGCAGGGTCAAAATTAAGGAATTTGCTTCCCTGGGAATTACATTCTGCTTCCTTGCTGGCTTGTTTCAGGTCCACGGCATCTGAGTTTTTAAAAAAGACATGAATCTCCTTTTCTTCCCTCTTCCTTTTCTTTTTCCCTTTTCCTTTTTTTTCTTTTCTTTCATAAAGTGGTTTCATCATTCGATTATAAATAATTAACATTTTAAAGAATATTATCACCATTGTTTTGTATATTTTATTATATGTTTTATTATATTATTATTTTATTATGTTTATAAAACTTAATTTATTTCTAATGTAAGTACATGTAAGGGGGCATAAAGCCCTATCTGTGCTTTTAAAATAAATAAATAAGTCTCAAAAAACTTTTTGGTGGAGCGCCATAATCCTGTATGTAATGGGGTTTCTTCTGTTTCATGGAAGAATGTACACAAACTGTAGACACCTTGTAGTCTTTCTCTTTAGTACTTCATCAAGAAACCGGTTAAAATTCAGAATTTTTGTGCCAATCCTGAATTATTTTTTGAGAAATCCATCACGGAAAAATTTCCTTTTATTGTTAAAATTACGTACTGTAATTAAAAACTCTACAAACATGCTTAAAGCTTAATATTAAAAGAAATAATTACAAGAGAGATTTTAAGAAAAGTGATAGTTAAAAATTTATAATATAAAAAAAACATTACATCAAACAATAAAAAATACATCTAAATTTACACATATTGATATTTTTTTAAGGAGAGGACGGTTCACCTAAATCACAAAGGAAATTCATCTCTACATGGAAAATGGCCTGTGACAAGACAAAGGACAGGACAAAGGAATTGCTGAAGAGATGGCGGACCATGCCAGAAGGTGCTCAGGATGGAGATGAGAGTAGGCTTCCTGTGCATGAAGTTGATAGCAACTCCGGAGACCAAGGATGGAGTGTTCATGTCTGGGGTATGCAAAACTTATCCATTCTGTAAAAATTCAGCTTAGCTTCTCGATCATTAACTAATGAAAATGGGGTCTCCTTTTTAAATTCTATTTTAACAGGAAGAATATCACCAGAAGCTTTTTACTGTCTAAAACTGGATTTCTACCAAATTAATATTAAATTTTAATTAAATACATTAAAAATTTCTTTTACAGATCTAACATATAAATTTATTAATACATGGATGTTAGAATTTTATACATTTCTTCCTTGTACATTATTTTTCTATACTTTTTTGTTCAATGGAGGTTTGGAATTATGGTACTTATGTTGTACATCTATATTGTAGAGGTTATTACAACAAAAAGTTTTTTTTTCATATGGATTATATGTTCATAATGATCAATAATCATACTGATGATGTTGATGGTGAGTAAGATGTATTAAACTGTAACTCCTTAATTATGGAGTTTGAGAATACAGATTTGACTAATGGCATTCTTTCAAAAATCCTTTTTGTTTAATTTTATCTCTCAATATTTGACTTAAATGTCATTTGTGTTTTTACATTTTATTTTATTGGTTTTGTTCATTATCCTTGCTAGCGTCGATATGGTGATATTTTTATTTTATTTTATTTTTATTTTTTCAAGTCATAATATTATTTTGCTTTCATTTGTATACTACTTTTGGTTCTCGAATTTTCTTTTCTGTTTCTAGGTGTTGTTGAAGGAGAGAATGGTTCCGGTGATGAGGGTATGTCTTGTCATAGACAGTCATAGTGTATGCACAGAGAGAGAGAGAGAGAAAGAGAAAAAAATTGTTTTGTCGGTGGTCATATTTTAAATAATAGTCATTATATATTTATGAGTTGTTATTTGGGTTAAAATTAAACATTTGTACCACTATGACATTGCATACTTGAAACGGGTGCACAGACGTTTTTTATGAAACGGTTCTCACATTAGTTAAGCTCACACTTGAAAGTTTATTTGCTTTTCATTGTTTGTGACAGTTAAAATATCATTTGTCTATAGTTAAGTTCAAAATTTCATTTCGTTTCAGCCACTTGGGTTAAGCGATTTCCAGCTGGAGATGAATCTTTAGACTCGGAAAAAAAGAAAGAGCTCATACTAACAGAAGTACAGAAAGAGAAGCTAAGCCATTTGTTTGCACATTGCTTCGACATGGATCGAGATGATATTATTTCTCTCCAGGACTTTGAATCATTTACAGAAGTAAGTATGGACATTAAAGTATCCTTAAACATAATATAAGAAAATACATTTCTGTTAAGACATAGCTTATTTGCAGAGATTGAGGCATTATGCTGACTGGTCAACAAATTGTGGCGAATATTTAATTCTTGAGCAAGTACAACAAGGTTTTGTCGATACATTTATACTTCCAATACGTGAGGAATCTACCGGTAATTTTCATAATATTTTTTTTAAACAATGGATTGGTGAAATTTAAAAAAAATTATCTTGTTTATAGAAAATACTCTTGTTGATATCGATAGACTTTTTTTAAGCCTGGAAGAATGGCTTTATTTGTGGAGTGAACTGCTCACTGATGTGAAAAACATGCATGAACTCCCTATTTGGTTGCAATTCCTGCCCAAAGTACTTTTTAGAGCCATGGACAAAAGCTGTAAAGTTGAATTGGAGAAATAGAATGTACAAATAATAATAATTATTATTATTTTTAATTATAGGTGATGGTATTATAAACAAAGAAGAATTAGCTTCTTTCTATTCATCAGTCATAGGATTTCCTACTCAGAAGGTCAATGAGGTCATTGACTTAGCTTTTAAATCCATGACTTCTGTGAGTTACTGATCAAATACTCCTCGATTAAAATTTTAACCAAATTTATTTGTTCATTTACAGAATGGAGATACAAAGTTGACATATAACACATTTAGACTTTGTTTTGCCAATTTTATTTTCGGAAGGTTTCCAAATGGGCCTGGAAGCTACATATTTGGCCATTGTCCAAAACAGCCGCCGCAGTTCCCTATTGACTATTCAGCAATGAACACACCTCCCGGAGAACTAGAGTTGTATAGCTTTGATTCCAAGTCAAACCGGAGTTCAATCGTTGTCTGATTTCACCAGAAATGCTTTATTTTTCTGTTCTAGGCACTGAACATTCAATACAAATACCTCAATACTCAGATAAAAGTTTGTTTATTTATTTATAATCATAAACATTAAGGAAAATGTAATGATAAATGGCCTTAAGTACATCTGTGATAACTCTTGAAAACCAATATGGACAATTGAATTAAATAAAAAAGTGCCTTTTTGAAAATACTTTGTTGCGTGTTTTATGTCCAAATTTATTTTTAATTTTTTGTACACTATTTTTTGCACATTGAGTTAGCTGTTAACAAATTACAGACTATATGTTGTATATTAAATTGTGAAATATTCCGTTGAGGTCTGAGGTGATGACCCTGTAGTTTGATATAATATGATAATATATGTGATCAATAATTCAATTGATTAATATATATGGTATTATCGTCACTTGTCTGGACAGACAAAACCAGGAAAGACAGGATGTTCGGAGATGATCGAGCTATTATTGAGCCATTAAGTTATGTTTAAATTATTAATTTAGTGAGTTGACATCTATTATTGTTTATTTGGAGATCATCTCACAATCTCCAAATAATCATTAACTAACGGTCACTAAACACCACACATTTCTATTATTTTCACTAGTTTCGTGGTCTGAGATGGGAAGTTGGTGTCCGAGTGGATCTTGGTTACAATAGCACAAGTGGTAGAGCAGTGGCGTATCTAGCCGATGGTCGTGGGTTCAAATTCCGCTTGTGACACTTTTTTATCTCAATTAAAAACTTTAATTGAGATATTTCTATTATTGTTGTTAAAAAAATGTTCTTGTTAAATATACATTAATTAGATTATGTTGGAGTATATTGCAAATTGTTTATATTATTTATTTTAAAGGTACAAATAGGGCTTTTTGCCCCTTTACATGAACTTATATTAGAAATAAATTAAGTTGTATAAATGTAACAAAATAATAAAAGCAATAATAATAAAATATGTAATGAAAGATGAAATTGGGAGAAATTAAGAACTAATTTAAGATCATTTAGAAACATAGAAAAGAGTATAGGTCCAAGAATAGAGCCTTGGGGTACACCAGTTAAAATTGAGAGAGAAGAAGAGATAAAAGTTGAAGCTTTAACTCTCTGCGTTCTGTCAGATAGGTAGGAGGAAATGAGATTAGTAGTAGTAGAAGAAAAACCAAAAACATCCGTAGTTATGCTATCTTTTTTGTTATTGTCATTCTTTATTTTGCTATTTCTTCACTTTTCCTTGCTAATTCTATGTCCTAATTTAAATTGAAAAACTGTTTAAGTTGACTGTCCTATGCTTGACCATTTTGGTTGTCCAATTTATCACCTTAAATAGCTCTCTGGTACTTAAATATAACGTAAATGATTTGTTTTAATGTTTACAAAAGTGATAGGACGCAAGAGTTTATTAAGTGAAGTAGGCAACCTGCAGAAGTTGAAAGTTATTTAGTTGCAGAAAAGCAAATTTTGTCGTTTTGACAGAATAACTAAAATCACAAAATTAAAATAATTGAAATGACTAGCCAATGACACTTTTGCTCTTTCTGAGGCAGCATGGATTTTGAATGAATTCTGTTGCGGGTTAATTGGTGGGAAAGTTGAAAAAGTATAAATAGGAGGATGCAAACCATGTCCACCACGCCCAGGACAGTATGCATGACGCACATGTGTCTTACATGCTCAACATGTTAATGAGAAAGCTGCTAATAATAATAAATGGATTAATTATAGGGATGGATAAATACATAAATTTTAACAGTAACAAAATTAGTATTCAATTTATTAGTTTTAGAACATGGACATTTCATTTTTTTTTTCAATTTATTACAATAACATTCCATGAATTTCATTAATCTAAAAACTTATATTTACATTTTCTTATGTACAAGTTAATGTTGTTACAAAAAAACAAACCTTTATTATACACAACACTATAAGCCCACAGGTTCAAAAATTAGGCCTTTATTGGTAAATTTCTCTTTATTGGCCAACGGAGATATTGGCACACTAGGCAGGTCAATTTCAATGGAGTCCTCTTTTTCAGGTATATCTGATGCGAGGATTTCACTGAGCTCTTCCTCAAGTTTGGAATCATCGTTTGGAGTAATAGGTAGCGATAGGATTGATTGTATATCCTCGTGCATTTCCGTAACCTAAATTTGATTTTAAAACCAATTAATTATATATTGGAATATTTGAAATATTTTTAATTACCTCTTGTATTTCACTCATTGTTTCATCAACAGAATTTTCATCCAGTTCACCTTGTTTCAAATTGTTTTTGAGTGCTGATAAGCCCAGTTTATAAGCTTTAAGTATCTAAGAAAATAATAATTGTTAATATAAAATCTTTTGTTAAACTAGTGTTTTAATATTGATGTTTTATATTGCCAATGTACCTCTGAATCACTTTTAATTTCATGAATCCTAGTAATAAGAGAATCGAGATTCATCAGGGTAGAACATTTTTTCTGAATAAATTTCTCCAGTTCTTTACATTTTCTTAACGTGTTTTTAGCCTTAAAAATAATAATAATAATATTAATAACAATTTTAACAAATTCTCCTTTTTTATTACCAAAATTTTATTTCCATCTTTTAATTGCTTTCTGACCAAATCCATGCAGTCATTTTTTTCCTTCTCCAGAGTCTCTATGGTGTGTTCAAGATGTTTTCTATTATCTTCCAACAAGGCAAAAACAGTTTCAGACTCTGTAAAATCTTTAACCTGCGATCCTATTTTCAAAAATTCCTTGCCATCCGTTTTCAGAACAAGACATTTCTTTTCAATCTGTAAATACAATTGTGTTCAGTTATATGTATTAAGAACAAATAATCATTTCTGATTTAGTATCTTTTTGTATCTTTTTATCTAGTATAGGAATGAAACAAGCAATTATATATTGACAAACATAAAAAAAATAGTAATAAAATAATATCTTGCATACAAAATATATAAAAATGTTTACATAAAAACATTTACCATTAGATATCGTACAAGTAGATCAACTGTCTCATTTGGTACTTCTCTATAGTGAAAAGCACCTTTAATAAAATTCTCCTTAGTCATGACATAAGTTGATTCTCTCTCACATTTCTGGACAATATCTCCTCCTAAAGCCTAAAAACAATTAGATTTTTTTTAGTACAAACTTTTTTATCAAATATGTTTTTTATTGTTTATTTTTTTGTTACTATTTTATTTTTTCTTTTCCATCTTGTTTTCATTATGAATTAATTATTTTTCTTAGCTTTAATTAGTTTTTTAAGAAATAAATACAGTATGAATATGGTGTCAAAGTTGTTCGAGCCTTTAAAAAGTGCATATCTTCCAGTTCAAATCAAGTTTTAAATATACTTCTCAACAATTCTTCGCAGGGTTAGACCTAATTCGAACTTAGACTCAAGTTGGTCTGAGGCTATAAAAAGCTGTCATTTCAGTGCAAATTATATTCAAGTTATAAGCTAAACATATATTGCACTTATAACATCTTAAATACTTTCTTTTATACATATAATTAACTCAAGGAGTAATCTAAATAAATAATCTGAGGATCAATGGGGTAATTAATATTACGTTATTGATCATCACTCCATTTAGAAGTAACATGAAAACAACAACATTAGCCCCTATTTCTTCCAGAAAACCCACAGGTCTAAAAAATACACAGTTGTGCTCAAGAACTAAGTATTCTTTACATGGAGCCAAAGCATGACATAATTCCATTACGGCAAACTTTTCAAGCCTTCCTCTACATAAAAGATACTTCTGCTCACAACTGAGTGACATTGTTGCTGGTGTTTCTCAAGGCACTATCCTTAGACCCATTTTAACAAAATCCCTCTCCCATAGAATGTAAAACTGTCTCTTTATGCTGTCGATATCGCCCTCTACACTTCCTCTTGGAGGATAGATACAATAAATATTGTAACTGGCCAAACAGTGCAATGTGCTGCATCGGGTGTTGCTGTGACTGATAAAAAATTAAAATTAATGATAATAAAATGGATGTGTTCTTTCCAGCAAGTACAGACCAATGCTGTATGAGAAAATCCAAATTGAAGACGTGACTGTGTAGTGGTTTGTCAGTCAAATATCTTTGGATAATAATGGACCATATACTCATTTTTACACCCTAATTACACCATGTTAATTATGAAATGAATAAGGGCAAAACAGCTGTATGCAAACATTTCCCTCTGCTTTGTTGCCCATCCAGTCAATAAACTTCTGCTGTACAGGATAGTAGTCAGGCCGCCCTTGCATGCATGCCCTTCTTGGAGGACTAATATGCAGTCTCATTATATGCAGGACTAATGTCACCAGGCTGTAGGTTATGCAGAACAAGTTCCTGAGGCTTGTGACAGACACAGAACAAATGTGATGATGCACAATCTGCTCTCAATAGGTAACTACAGTTTGGACGACAAGTGCACATAAGAGTAAAGCATGCCCTCATTTAATTTGCTCATGATAGCTGGGATTTTTAGCATAATCTTTCCCATAAAAAGAAAAATGTGATGTAATCATAATTATATTGTAAGTGAACCAGCTGGAGGTGAGTGTCACTAGACAGAATGCTTAATAAAATATTTAGTTATATGGCTAAATAAAATTTCTGATCCATTCTGATATTCCTTGGACACTTATGCAAACTTTGGCCCAGAAGCCGACAGTCTACCAACACTCAGCCTATTCTGAGTCAAGTGAGTACCTTCCCTATTCTATTAACTCATGATCAACATCGTTTTTTATAGGAGTTCCTTGGCCAATCTGGCTCAATGATATTCAATCTCTTGACACTTTTCCCCCCAGCATTTGTGGGCCTAAATCACAGTGGATAGATCAAGAATTGGTATTCCCTATCTTCATCATCCCATTATTGGTCTCTCCAGATCTATATTATCACTGTATTGCCAAGATGCTCCTGAACCTTTCAGCAATAACATCAAATTTTTAATTATCCTGGTTGATAATTTTCCATGTGGGAATGAGTTTTCAACATTGATATATTCAACATTGAGACATAGGTCGTGTAGCTGTCTTGTCAGTACATAGATAGAGGGATGTATTAGTTGGAGTGTGTATTGTACTACACCCTTTAAGGGCTATTGTATCCCCCGTTCTGTGCTTAAAGCACACCGGTAAGACCTAGATAATCAAGGAACTTGATTAGCAGGCCCAGTTTTAGTTGTTGAATCTCTTCTACAGTTACAAAACACTTCCTCCTGCGGGCAAGTGTAGCACCATTTTGTTAGTAGGTGTGTTGGTGTCTTTCTGCTTGCAGAATCTGCACGTGCCATTTTGGGTTATGCCAATCTTTTTTAAGATGTCCATTTAGTTTAAAGTGACCTGTTAAAATTCTATTTGGATTCGCAGTTTTTCCTGCTTTGTCAATACATGATATCCATAATGATTATTAAATATTACAGGAAGAGTTAGTCTGTTCAATGTGTCGTGCAAAGTGGTTAATTAAGAAATTTAGATCGTACCTTTAAATACTGAATTGACACATAACATTGTTCGTTATCTTTTCCATAATCGAGAGCTTCCAAGAGTTTTTTAAACGACCAGACTGTTGGCGTTACAATTAGAGAACTGACAACCCACCCTCCCCACGAGAGGCTGGGGTTGATTTTCAAAAATGAATCTAGCAACATAGCATCCCCAGATCTGAAATGTAACTTTCACGTTTAAATATTGAAATTGTCTGTTAGAAATGGTTGATTACCTTAAGAGTTCTTCTACGACTGTCGGTATGCAAGAAGGGGATTTTTTATTCCTCGTGAACTCCCTTTGGAGTTTGGTAACGGTGAAGGTGGCATTTTGGCTTTTTCTACACAACTTGTCAATCTCTTCTTTCCAATAGTTGAGCTTCGAATCATAATCTATTGGGTTGAATTCTCGTTTTCGGAATGGAGAAAATAAAACATTTAGCCTTTTATCCTCGTTGGACTCTGGCTTCTTCCAGGTTTTAGACATGGCAAAAGTTGAAAGTCAAAATCATAGCAAAATTAGAATATAACAATATCTTTTTTTAAAATTTCATTTTCCGTCACGATTTTTAACCTCTATAAAAACAAACCTGGAAGTTGGAACCTATACTTTGGTTCCTAGCGCCAAAAACTTTTTTTTTAACTCACAGAATTATCGCCCTGTCAAAATTCATCAACCGATTCACTCTTCATTTTTCACATGAATAATATTTAATTCAACTTTAAAAAAGTATGAATAATTTACGTTTGACCTTCCTCATTTAGATCTGATGTTCGGATTAAATTGTAATTTGTTTTTTTTTTGTTGCACTTAAAAAGCTATTGAGTCCCATGCTCTGAACTTTAATCTTTTTTCTAAATATCTTTATCTGGAAGAAACATAGACAAACAATGCACAATACAAAATCATTAAAAAGTGTGGGGCAAAGGTTGTTAAAGCATGGGATATACAACAAAAAATAGCTTAATGGTTGTATACAACCATGATTAGACCTCTAGTCGCTTACAGTACCTTAGAACGATAGCCCAAATACCTTGCAAAAAAGGTACAAAATAAATTTAAACAATAACATTTCTTAACTTTACTGGAGTAATGCATACTTGCCCAATTTCAGCAATGGAAGTGACCCTGGGATTGCCATTGTTGCATACCTACGTCCAGAGGATGACACACAAAAGAGCAAACAGGCTCCTAAGACAAAATTAAATAAAGCCTGTCCTAAGAGAAAGCCATCATAAAATCCTTAAAAAAAAGATAAAATGAAATGAGGGGTACAAAAATGTCTAAAAAAATGGTATTTAAAAATTTTGTTGAAGGCACTTCCAAATAAAAAGAGCAAGATATGTTTGAAGAATAAAAACCTTGAAACTAATAGAGTGACTGTATAGTGGTATACAGAGGGTTCTAAAATGTTGTGGGAGCAGCAATCAAAAGCCCAACTTTTAGGCCCGATACCATTAATTAGCCAAACTAAGATCCATGCAATGCAATGTCTACAAGAAATGATGAATGGTGGAGTGTGTTGTTCAATCTTTTTAAAAAGATAGTTCCTACTCACGTAAGTTGTTTTCAACGATCCATTACTCATTATCAGGTTGTATAACTCCTTCAACCTGATGATGAGCTGTAAGCTTGAAATCCGGATCATTGAAAACAACTTACTGTAAGTACGAACTATCTTTTTAAAAAGATTGAACATAATAATGACATAAATTGCACTTTCAATTTAAAGCTGGTCCCTAAAATATCTCCAGCTTGTGTGAACCCATAATCTGGTAAATCAGAAGAAATCCATCTCATTTGACAGCAATGAATAGGCTGTTCTTGCAAATAAATGTCAAACCACTGTCAGTATTAGAACCTTTCTGCAGGAGAGTATCTATTAGAGGGCAGAACACCAAATTATACACTGGACACTGAAAATCTTGCAAATAAAAGAATCTACATGCATACATACATCTGACTTACAATTTCAGTAGTACTCTTGGCAAGGCACTGCATACACAATGACCATCTGCAAAATATTGGTGTCAACAGTGTAATTTCAGTAAAGAAGCTGTTAGTGCCTTGTAGCAGTGTGAAAGAAAATCTGTACGAATTTTTTTATTACAATTAAAACAGGGAATCTGCCAATTTTAAATGTTGACCTTGTCTCTAGACAAGATAGGATAAAAATAAATAACAAATACATGCTGTGTAATCACCATGTATAAACAAAAGACAAAGTATATTATTTATTTTTATATTTCTCTTCAAATAAAATAAGATGATTATTTAAAATATAATTATATTTACAAAAAAATATAAACAAACATAAATGTATAAAACAAATGTACTTTTTGAAAATAAATCTTAGTCTTCCCAACCCCAGATTCCAGCGGAGTCTCTGATATTTTCCCTGTTTTCTCTCCTTTTCCTTGTAACTGCACTCGCTTCTCCTTTAACAAGAATTCGTCTATTTCCTTCTTTCTGTCTCTTTTCCAGTGCCTTTTTAACTCGTTCTCTGATAATTTCAGGTGGTATTGTAGATGCGGTTGTAGATATGCTTCCAATATCTGAAAACCTATCGTCAAATTCTGATTTTTGATCAATACTGTCAAAAGCGGCTTGTTTAGAGACTTCCAAGATATCATTGAAATTGTTTGGGGATTTTTCACCAAATTTCAATGCCTCGTCTACCATCAGCTTCAGATTTTCTACCTCGTTGTCTGATATTGCATCATTATATTCTTCAACATCAGAACATTCGTTTTCGTCTTCATTTTCCATAGTCATAAGTAAATCCTCGGCCATCTGTTTGGTAAAACCGCTTGCGGATACTTCGATGTCTAAAATATCCTCTCTTGAAACATCCTCAAACTTTGGATACTCAGTTGATTCATAACCGAATCTCCTTTTAAAGAAATCTCTAATGCAATTGACGTCCCTTTCAAAAAACATTTTCGCATTGTAATGATTTGTGGAGACCATCTGGGGGAAATCGATCAAAATTGGTTTTCCTGTTTCTTTGTGGATCATAATGTTGAACTCGTTGAAGTCGCCGTGGATGACACCGCAGTTGCCCAGCCTTTCGATGAGGTCCATCAAATCAGAGTAGAGCTCTTCGACATCTGGAACTTCATAGAGCCGAGCTAAAGGAAAGCCGTCGATAAGTTCCATTACAATACAGTGCCGATTCATGTCAAGGGGCTCGGGTGTAGGAAAGCCTCTGTCTTTCAAAGCCTTCATGTAAGCGAACTCTTTCATCGCGGATATCCTGCTCAGGTAAAGCCACGAGGCTTTATACCGTTTGCCATGGTAATCCCGTTTTTCTTTGATGTTACGGAAGCAAATACGGCCCAGCCTGTGTAGCTTCAGACACCTCTCTTCATGATCTTCATTCGCTACGATGTAAATGTTGGATTCTTTACCCACTCCGATCTGATTGCCAAAAGATGCTACAGTTCCTCTAGACGTCAGTGCCTTCAACGCAAGATAATCATATCCAGAGTTGGTGAGCCTGTAACCGTCATAGCGCTTGCCCCTTTCGTAAGAGAGTAGCCTATTCTTGCAGAGATCTCTGAGGATCTTGTGGACCCCGCCATGGTGTAGATTTGCTATCTGTGCTGCGAGAGAGCCGGGAACCAGTTCGTGGTTCTTCATCCCCATTTCAATCGCGGTCAAAACGCGAAAATCTTCTTTACTCAAATAACGTAACACTGTCACGTTTAACTTACCCATTCTGGGTGGAAATATTTAAAATAATTGGAATACTTATTTCTTCTTAAACAAGTGATCCACGTGAGTCGTGCCTGTAAAGAGTAAAGAATAACTTATCCTCAGAGGAAAACCCTAATGAAACCTACTAAGAAGAATGAAAAATAGAAGAAAGAATTTACTTTCCAAATCATTAAATTTTAATGAATAAAAATTAATGATTTAGAAGCTTTAAATGTATTTTTCTTATAAGCTTATAAATATATAAAAATATTAAAAATTAATAATTCATTAATAATCCTTATTTTAGTGGTGCAGAATTGGTAAACAAAAATTTGGTTATCAAATACAAAGAAAGATACGTTTTGTGCCAGCTTGGAATTATTTTTTAAGTCGTCATAGACAAACAATCATTTAATTTTTTTTTGTAAAAAGAAAAGACATAGATAAGATTCCCCCCCCCAATATACGCAAGAAGTCAACAAACCTGTGAAAAACCTCCGTTTTCTTCCGGCTGTCAGAATCAGTTTTAAGTTTAAAATTTGACAGATTCAAGATCGAACGCTGACAACGTTTTTCCTCTGTGTACAGATGCAGTCTGCGATGGAAAAGAGGTGAAAATTCGCGGATTGGCTTTTCTTCTCTTGTCGACTCACATAAATTCCATTTGTTTTTGTAGGTACAGATTCACATGAAGGCTCGTCTAGCTGGTACACATATCATTGATGGAGCTACATCTTTTGCAAAAGTTAATGACATCTGATTTTCTCAGGGATAGAGATTTAACGTGTATCTGTAAGTTCGATAGTACATTAGACATACGCAAATTATTTCTACACCGATAGATCAACAGATGGGCCAATATTTCATTTACGCAAGATGACATTCTAGTTCTACATAAACTTTCTTTATACACTCAGTGACAAAATTAGGCAATTGTATTTGCTTATTTTTTTGTAATAACTAGGTATAAAGATTAATAAAATTGTTTGATAGTTGCCTATCATCTTAGTCTGCCTATCCTCACTGGTTTTTGTCAGTCAGACGCATTTTGACATTTTACCAGCTGCAGTGTTTTGGTGATTTCTGAACACTGAAGATGGCGAAATGCCGAAGTGCGTCTGACTAACAAAAATCAGCAAGGATAGACAGGCCAAGATGATAGGTAAATATTAAACAATAGGCTCATCACCCCGCAGGAGGAAATCTCATAATAAAGATTAATAGTTGACATAAAACGTAATAACGTTAATAACTTGTGTTACTCATCCTTTTACACTCTTTAGATTAAAAATATAAAAAGTTCAATCAAAAACCAGTTCTATTTCATCCTTACCACTTTTCGAGTGAGTTAATTAATTAGTTTTTTAAATTGTTTTCTGTGATGAAACAATAAATTTGAGTGAAAAATTAATAACTAATTTTTTTTTTAAAGCATAGTTTTAAGTTGAGAAGATATCACCCAGGCTTTAGCCTACGACGGACGTTGTGTTGATTAGATAGCCCAAATCCTGGGTGTGCAGTGTTCTACCATCCATTACAATGGTTTAAGTCTATGATGTACGATGACTAGAGACAATGTTTTATTGCTGTTACCATACTATGTAACATCATTTAAAGGTTTCCTTGATAGGTAATCATCTCCAAATGATCTATAATGTAAGGTTTAGTTCTAGCACATTTATCAGAAGGCTTCTTGACAATAGTCTAGACTCTCCCATCAGGTTCTCTACTACTGGAAAGGCATTGAGTAGAAAGATAACTATCCACAAATCAGCATCTCGCTTGGGCACTTGAACAATAAGGGGCTGTTCTCTACACAGATAAGAGCCGGTGTGATTTGTGGCAATCAGATACCGGTACCATGTGTGGAGAAGACGTGGAAAATGTTTTGCTACATGTGCTGCCCTTCATGCCTGAGTCACAGTTTTTCAAAGACGGTCAGTTATGGTATGGAGTGGACTCAACATCCATGCCCGTAGCGAACTGATTGTCATAAAGAATGGATCTTTGACTGCACTATGGTACATTGATGAAGTTCTGGAAGCTTTGGTCTTATTTCCTCTATTGTTAATGCCTGATAATCCTTGACTGCATGAAACACGAGTTGTAATCCATTACTTGGAGGATGTAAGGATTAACACAATGAATTAATTAGCCAGCCCATTCTCTTGACATGAATCCTATAGAACACTTATGGGACATGATAAATAGAGTGGAAGCGTGCTGGGCCCATAACCCAGAGTTCCGTGGATCGAAACCACGCTCTGCTACCATTATTTATTGCCTAACTATTTGGTTCTTCCTCAAGGAAGTGGATCTTTTCCTTGTTTGAATAAATAAATTAATAATAAACAAAAGAATATTAAAAAAGACACAATTCTTATATTGAGATATTAACAAAGTTGAAAATTATTATTATTTTAATTAAAAAAACAGAAACAATTCTTATATTGACTAATTATTATAACTATTATTTTTTTATTAAAAAACAAATAATTCTTAAGTTGAAAGATTAACAAACTTTGAAATTAAGGTCGTCAGTTCGGAATTAACAATTTGACAATTTTTTAAAGGAAACTGATTAATATTATTATTATTATTTATATTAAAATACAGAAACAATTCTTACTTGACTAAATATTATTACTATTTTTTTAGAATTAAATAACGGAAACAATTCTTATATTGACTAATTATTATTATTAAAATTAAATAAACAAACTGCAAGACAAACTTTTGTTGATTAAACTGTTGATGAAAAATTTGACTCTAAGTTGTAAACTATAAATGATAAAGAAATCCTTTTCCATGAAAAACAAATTAAAATGATAAACCTTGCGTGATGATTCTCGCTAGATGAAAATGGGCTGATCTTTGCTGCTTTTTCACACACACAAAAAAAAAAAAAATCAAACATATCGCCTCTAGTCCAGTGCAAACCTAACAGGCCTCTTCCAGTGGAAGGTTCCAGGTTTGAATCCAGCAGTACTGCACTTGAATCCGACATGCTGAGGGTTAAAATAACCTCATAGTTGAAATACCATAGTTTAAAAAATGCATTAATTTAAAAAAATACAAATGTCCAGTTTTTTCTTTGAGTGTATTTTTAAATAGTATGTTCGTGAAAATTGTAGATGTTAATATTGACCAGATTTATGTACAATTAGTTTACCTTTTATCTAGTCAACTGTACAGTTTCTTTATAGTAGTGTAGTATACACAGATTATTCTCTTTTTTTTCCTACAGTGTACAAGAAAATCAACCTTTGTAACCGTTTCGAATTATTTTCATGACAAATACAAAGCACTGAATAGATGGTAGACAGAAAATGATCAGACCGCGTCTAGATGATAATCTCTCAGTCGATGTAATATGTGTTAAATCTCTTAGATTATATTAATAAATTTGTTTAAATATACCATCTTTCATATTGTTGTTTTTGTTTATTTCTGATGAATTGTGCAATTTCCTTATTACACAATTCTAATATTTGAGAGGAAGAAATCAAAAACACTTTATCTGTAAGATCACATTGTGTTGAAGGCAAATGGTTGAGAATCACCCTTGGTCGTCTCCAATCATTCTGGTTTGAATCTCTTTTTTTTACTACAACCTTTAATGTTCATTTGGAGGTGGATAATTTTTTTTTTTTTCAAAACCTTAGGCCAACAGAGCAGCCTATGGGGAGAGGGGTGAAGGCAGACTTAAGTGGGTTTAAAAAGTTTAAATTCTTAGAGGGCACTAACAGATTCCATTTCCAAGTGAATAAAACAGTTTACAGTGCTATGGAAAAGTCCACATCCACATGGGATAGCTGTCCATATCAGCTTTTGTTATTACACATGGTGCATGTGTTTCTGTTTCCTTGACAGGCACTTTTGTTGGCCCCATGATCCTGCTGCCAAGAACAAGTCTTTTTATTTTCACAAATATTGTTAGCAGACAGGGCACTTTAATACATTCCAGTGGTCTTTTGGTTCCTGTTAATATGGTCTGAGCTAGGTCTTCAAGACCAATGGAGACAGTGCTGTTATCCACCATCTGTTGGGCTCTGAACCAATATTCCTTTTGAGCCCTGTAAGTATTATTTATTTAATGCAGTATACATCAGTATATTTTATTTTTCACAAATTTTACATTCAGTAATTTTATTTTATCACAACTTTTTCAGATCATGACATGATTCCTCTTCAGATTCTATTGGTACTGCTGAAGAACCCTATCTGACTAGTTTGTCAGCCTCTTCATTACCCTTTTGTCCCTGTTCATATTTTTTCCAGTGCATTCGTGTCCTATGCTGTCTGTGATTCTGCCTCAAGTGTGCTTGGACTTACTATTAGAATATGTGGTATTGGTTAAAGTTTCTGCCTGACATACCATGACAAATTTTTCAAGAGAAATTGGCATTTTTAGCCCTTAATTTATTTTCTTCCTTAAATACCAACATCAGTGTTCTGTTTGGTTTTTAACCGCTTGTGAACCATATACTCTGTAATGGAATTTCTCCAAATTCCCCAGAAAAACCAGCTTCAAAAAAGAACTAAAGCAGGAAAAAATATGGATCTCCAACATGCTTGGCACTTGATATATAAATTTATTAAAAAGTCCTTCAAAAACTAAATACAGAAAAAAAAAGAAATTGCTCATTATCGCTTACAAGAAAACTAAATATTAACAAAACAAAAAAACTCGCTTCAGTTTTGCAACAAATTTAGTGCTTTGATGTAGGCCTGTCTCTCTCCCTGCCTGATCAAGGAGTGAGAGAGTCCTCCCATTGAAGGTAGAGGGCCTTGAGCCAAGGATGCTGAAGGGCGGCGATAAGTATGCAACAAGTCAGTATTGACTTATAATCCTTTCTGTCAGGCTGCTCTTTCTGATTTGATAATTTGGTATTTCTTTGCAAAGTTGCTGAGAGTCTTGGCATATGTACGATAATACATCCATTCAAAATATCTTTGTTTTATTTTTTGGCATAATAATTATGTCTAACTGACCTTGCATCTCGCTAGAAGAAGAACCCGCTTCAGGGTAGTGGGTTAGTTCTTATGGCACCAGTCACACTGAGGCATTCCTTTTGGTACCACTTAGGAGACTTATTACTCTTGATAGCAAGTTTTTTCTTACTACACAATAATTGTCATGTAGCTTATAGTTGACCTGACGACTTGTATAAAGCCAGAGGGTCAATTTAAAGATTAAACCACCAGTTGTTGAGTGGGAAATAAATTGTCTTTTCCTCACTAGCCTAGTGTGAAAAAGACAATTTATTTGCCACCCATCAACTTATTATGGAGTTCCACAAAATGGACACTATCAAAAAAACAAATAAACATTAAACCCCAGCCCTTTGCACTTGTCCAGGTTGATTTTGACTTTGTGTGTACTGTGTGAAAAATTTTCTGTGTTGATTCTTTGCTTATGATTACATTAGGATAAATAAATAACACCTGAAGAAAATTATTAATTTTTTACCACCATTACTTAATTAAATGTTCAAAATTTGTATTCATTATGGTAATACATAACAGACAAAGGTGGCGAGAATAGGCAAACGAAGATGATTAGTGGCAATTAAGCTTTAAAAAATATATATACTCAATAAATTTCTGGTAAAGATAGAATTTTAGAAAAGAAATTTTATAAAATCAATAATCAAAACAATACAGAATTTGATCGGTGATGACAAAATTAAGACATATTCAAGATCCATACAATGAACCACTTTCAAACACAAATTCTGAGAAAGCCATATTTTATAATATTATTAATTATCTCATTTTGTAATATGTAATGATTTATAATTTTTTTAATAGTACAATAGATAAAGACATTTGTCATATTTGATAGAATGTTAATCATCTTTTGATTATGTGGAATAGAAAAGTAGCAAATTGTTTTTGTTTTTTTGAGCTTCCTGAGATTATATATCAAAACTTATTTATACATATCTTTTTGAATTCTCTGAACAAATCCTGGAATGAAACTATCCGGCATCAGTTTGCATGCCGTCTTGTCTAAATAGGCCACACAAATTTCATGTGATTTCACCGATTCGCAGACCAAAACCCATCATCTACATCAAATTTTCTCAGTTTCACTGAAGCTGCTCCTTGGGTTTCCTGTGTTTTCTTCAATGGACTACCAAGTAAACCCCTGAACTGTTCTGTCTTTCCAACCCACTTTTCTAATGATCCAAGTGAGCCAGGGAGGAAGAAGGACTAAGTAGGAATAAATTGTTCTCACATCAATTATCTATGTGGTTGAATAGTTTGCAGTTACTCGTACGATCTCAGGGGAATGTATTGTACACCAAACAAAATAAATTTGACATGGTTACTGAATTGTTTAATTTATAATGAAAAACATCACATACATTTACTCTTTCGCTTTCTTTTTTTTATGCTAACTAGTTGATATAAAGGCTTCTTGGTTGGTCTGCAAGTTATCGAACATTTATCCACAACAAAAACTATCAGGTCTAGTAGCTGCAGACAAATCTTCCAAACATTATTTTATCCAGAAAGATTTTTTTCACTTGGATGTAGATAACAAACTATGAACATTTTAGGTGATTATGAGAATAAGGAAACTAGCCACAATCGGGGCTCTTATTTTAGTGTCGGCCTGTTTTGGACTGTATCTGCTGCTAGATAGAGCTCTCAATGAGGATAGAAAAAAAGTATTGAATTACCTGCTAATGCTTGTAAATAATGTATAAAGAAAGTTTCTTGTATTTTTTTAATAAATTGTCTAGGTGAAAGGAAATACATTGTTCCAGCCAAATTTTAATGATATACTCGAAGTTAGAGCCTACAATGACAGTAAAGTACTATACAGACCGACCAATGTAAGTATTAGATTGTCCTTTTTTTTAAACATTCTGTTACATAGTTATATATTTTTTTTTTCCAGCTCCTCGACAAAACACCGTTTAAAATTCCATCTACACAGTGTACATCACCAGTTATAAATCCTAAAGTTAATATTCAGGTGAAGAAACGTAAAGTATTTGTTTATGCTGAATTTGTACAATTTTTTTTTCCCCCCAGATGGGGAAAGTGTATCAGAAGCTGAATTTTAACAATGTTGATGGTGGTGTGTGGAAACAGGGATGGAATGTTCAATATTCAAGTTCTCAATGGAATGAAAACAATAAATTAAAAATATTTGTAGTCCCCCACTCTCACAATGATCCAGGTAATATTACCAAATGACAACATTTGTCAGTCTGCTTTACGATTGCAAATTACAGGATGGAAGAACACATTTGAAGAATACTTTAAACAACAGACACGCTCCATTTTGAATAATATGGTCGATAAATTGATGGAGGATGAACGCAGGAAATTCATATGGGCAGAAATTTCATTTTTTTCTTTATGGTGGTCAGAAATTGATAAGGAAACAAAAGACAAAGTAAAAACTCTCATAAAAAGACACCAGTTGGAAATCGTAACTGGCGGCTGGGTAATGAGCGATGAAGCCAACTCACATTATTATTCTCTGATCGAGCAGCTCATGCATGGCCATCAGTGGCTTTTAGAAAATCTTGAATATCGACCCAGGTTAAATTTTTATTTAATTGTTCATCAGTGATTTTTTAACTACTTTCATTTTTATTTTTTATTTTTTTGTAGGACTAGCTGGTCGATAGATCCTTTTGGTCTTTCCTCCACACTTCCATTTATTCTTAAACACTCTGGATTCTCAGCTCTAACTGTTCAAAGAAGTCACTATTCAGTCAAAAAGCACCTTGCTAAAAACAAACAGCTAGAATTTAATTGGAGACAATTATGGGGTAAATGTTATTGCATATTATTAGCAGCAATTGTAGGTTCAGCCATTGTCATGCCCTTTGATTTTATTTTCATAATTTGTTTGCTATTTTATTATTATTATATTTTCAATCTTGACTAGAAAATTATGTAAACTTTCTTGTTTTGTTGTTAAATATTAATTAGGTTTTTTGTTAAAAAATAGATGGTGATGGAGCTAATGAGTTACTGACACACATGATGCCTTTCTACAGCTATGATGTTCCGCATACATGTGGGCCAGACCCGAAAATTTGCTGTCAATTTGATTTCAAGCGCCTCCCAGGATATGGTTTATCATGTCCTTGGAGGGCATCTCCCCAAGTTATTACCGATAACAATGTTGAAAAAAGGTATGTAACTTCTTCAACTCACTTTTGCACACTGTTTTACATGGACATTTTCCAGGGCCATGATGCTACTTGACCAATATAGGAAGAAAGCCCAGCTTTATTCCACTAATGTGCTACTGGTCCCATTGGGTGATGATTTTCGTTATGATCATGATTCAGAGTGGGATGCACAATATGGAAATTATCAGAAACTTTTTGACTACATCAATAGCAACCCAAGCATGAATGCTCAGGTATTCATTTCCTTTTTCCTTTCTTTCTAAAATATGTACCTTTCATACGTATTATTTTCCAATACTCTTTTAGGCTCAATTTGGGACACTTTCTGATTATTTCAATGCTCTTGAAGAAGCTAAACCTTTTCAATATTTCCCAAGCCTTTCTGGAGATTTTTTCACTTACGCAGATAGAGATGACCATTACTGGAGTGGGTATTATACTTCTAGGCCATTTTATAAAAGGATGGACAGAATCTTAGTCTCTTTTATGAGGTCCATATTAGTTTAAAACATGCTTGAAATACATTCTAAAATTGTAATTCTTCTTCAGAGCAGCAGAAATACTGTTTGCACTTGCAACAAGAATGGATAAAAGTTTTGAAGCGTGGCCCAGACTTTATTCAAACCTATCTGATGCCAGAGCAAGCCATTCTTTGTTCCAGCATCATGATGGCATAACTGGAACTGCAAAAGACCACGTCGTCCTTGATTATGCTATGAAGTAAGCCCTTTTAATTTATAATAATTTACAACTAGAAGTTATTTAAAATATTTTACAGAATGATAGAAGCAATAAAGCTAGCACAGCATGTAATTCAACAATCCGCCCATTTTCTTCTTTCAAAAGGCCAGGTAAGTGCACAGGTTCAAATGTATTGCTTGTATATTTGATGAATTGCAATAATCATTTAAGCCTTTTAATGTTTTTGTTTAAATTTTTGAGGTTTTTATTAAGAAAAAAATACATTTTATATATATATATTTTTTTAAATTTTAGGTATCACAGACTGGGGAGGAAGTTTTTTTTCTAGTTGACGAGGACCAGAAGCTGGAAACTGCAAAGATGTCAGAACAGTTTATTATAATATTTCCGTATGGTATTTCTACCAAGCAGGTCACATTTTTCAATCCCTCCACTTTTAAAAGAGTCGAAGTTGTCCATTTAAAAGTTGAAAACACGCTTGTCCAGGTAAAATGAAAGTTCATAGTTTAGCCAATTGTAGTCTCATTTTATATTTTTTCTTTAAAGGTGAGGGATATGTACGGACGATTGTTGAAATATCAGATAAGTCCGATTTGCTCTCCATTTGATAGCACGATGAAGTGCTATCAGCTTTCATTTATCGTTGACATCGAGCCACTTTCACTTAAAACTTACACCATTGAACTCGGAGATGATAACCAGTTAGTGTTTAATATTAATTTATTTACATCTATACAACGGTTTGAATCTTAATCTAAAACAATTCTATTCCTCTAGGGATTCTTATACAAAATTGAAAATATTTGATGACAGTTTATACCATACATACAAGGATTGGCCTTTAAAAGAAAAAGCATCACCGTCAGATTTTTCAATTGAAAATGACAATTTTACCCTTGTGTTTACAGCTCAAGGATTTTTAAAATCGGCCACCATTAAATCTGCAGACAATTCTGCTACAACGCCAATAAATCTCAGTTTTAACAAGTAAGATTTTAAATTCCAAGAAGGAAACTTTAAATATTCTATTGAATCATTTCTATAGATATAATGCAAGAGGTGGGGCAGAAAGAAGTGGGGCTTATTTATTCTTGCCAGGTGGAAATGCAAAACGAGTGCAGTTTACAAGTACGAGATTGATAGTTTTGGAAGGCATCCATTTTTCAAGAGTGATTGTTTACACATCTGAATTGACTCATGTTGTTACACTTTACAACATTCCCGGTTTGTAAGATTGTCTAGATGTAAACAAATTAAATTTATCAGAAATCGTCTATTAGATATTCTTGTTCAGGAGCTGATGATTTTGGTGTTGAAATACAAAACCTCATCAACATCGTTAAGATAAATGATAACTATGAGCTTGCAATGAGATTTCAGACAAATATAAAAAATGGAGATGTCTTTTCTACAGATTTGAATGGTGTACAGGTAAAAATATCAATTTGTATAAGAGACAGACAATATTTACATAAACCTGATTTTAGATGATTAAAAGGAATACTTTGAAAAAACTACCAATTCAAGGCAATTTCTATCCCATGCCAAGTGCCGCCTTCATCGAGGATAGTAGAGTTAGATTGACACTGCTGACAGCGCAGCCTCTTGGTGTTGCTGCTCTCCATCCCGGCGAAATTGAAGTAACTATTTCACATTATATTATTCAACAAGTCAAATAAAATCATAGATAAACAATTTTTCTGATTGTCTAAAATGATATAACCATCTGTGAGGTGATGAATGTTTAGCTTGATTGGCTACAACCATCGTATTTGTTTATTAGATACGTTTTGGCATTTCACCATCTTTGTAATTGGCCGTGGGTTATTTTGCATTTGTTAAATTTTAAATTGTAAACTAACTGATCACTGAAAACATCCAAATGTATGCAAACCAAGAATGAGTGAAAACAAGCTGCATATTTTTCAAATAGTTCACTTATATCTACTTTTATTTTTTATTTTATTTTATTTTTTTAATCTAATGATTACCATTATTGGAACTAGTGACAAGTTAATCTCTCTCACTTGCACATTCCCTGGGCCCAGTGACAACATCCTCATGGTTTTTGAATTTTAGGAGCCATAGCTGGACCCTCATGTCATCTCAGCTGAGGTTGTATCCAATATGCAGCAGTGAATTCACTCGTACTGAGGTAGTAGTGAATGGAAACCTCCCACACTCTTCCATTCCTGTCCTCATCATCACCGAACCCTCTTTTCTTCCCCTTCTGTTTACAAACTGGCCTCTCACTTAAATTTTTGCAAAATTGTGATACATTCTTTTGTATGGGAAACCATTCAGCCTCAGTATCTATGTCTCATTGGGAATGTCTTACTTTTGCCTAGTCTGTCTCTCGCCATTGCCCTTCCTATCCTCTACCCTCCCCTACCATCTACACTTCTGGCATTCTGATTTTTTTCCTCTTGTCTACTAGTGGCCTTAATTTTAGTTTTACACTGTTTACTTTCACAGTAATTTTCAAATTATATTTTTATTGTCTTTATTTACAATGGTTTTTTCTCTCTCTCTCTCTCTGTACTTGTATGGATGTAGTATATAAGCGTGCAGATGAGCTAAATAAATCACTAATCAGTATTTTTTATTATGTTTTAAAATACATAATGAAAACTTTTTGGGTCAATTAAAATTTAAATTAAATATAACTATTTTTCTACTTACATTTACTTACTTCCATTGTAAAGTATAATATCTGAGTGAGGAATTTCTTGACCAATTTTGAACAGAATTGGTGGTACATAAAAGGAATAAAAACGATTCAGTGCAATATATTATCCATCGAACGCTTTAAAATTCGATGCATAATACAAAATAAATCGGGCTGGGAGATCATATAGTGGCCAGGCTATAGGCAAGGGAACATGTTTTTGCTTCCAAAAATAAGTCTTTTTGCAAACCCTTTGTGCATTTATTTACATATTTCATGTTCTCATTTATTTATTTGACTAGTATCAATGTAAAAAGAATTTGTGTTTATTTAAATTCCCTGATGTACAGATAATGCAAGACCGTAGACTGCTTCAGGATGACAACCGGGGTTTAGGACAACCCGTAATGGATAACAGGCCAACTTTGGCCGTATTTAGACTTCTACTGGAACCAGTCATACTGGGATGTCAGGTATAGCCATACTCTTATCAATTTTAAATATTTATTAATTTTTAGAAGAAGTACTATTTAAAACTTTACAGTTTTGTCAATTAAAAGGGTAAAAATACTTTTTTTAATAGTCGGATTAAGTTCTGTTGGAACAAAAGTATTAATTAAAACATGAAGTTCATATAAAATATATAAAACAGTGAATTAAAAATCAGAGAGAAGTTTGTACTAGTTTTTTTTTTTTTTTTTTTTTTTTTTTAAATTAAATTAGAGAAACTTTCTGTATTTGGTTGGGGCTTTAATAAGCCCTAGAATTTTTTTCACGTACTAGACAAGTAATTTTTAATTTTGCCAATTTTCTCTTACTACTTACCTACACTTACTAGATATTTGCACTATTCACAATTTTATCTCATTAACTTCACTTATTTAATTACATGGGTAAGTCTAATTGGTAAACGCAACATCAAATTTTTTCTTTTTGCAGAAGAAGGCTGAATCGCCATGGAGTTCATTGTCTACAAATGGAGAGATCGCTTCACAAATCATCACGTATCCAATATTGAAGATGGTCTGGGTTGGAGACTCGAGGGCTCCACTTCCACCATTTTATTCTCCAATTATTCCCGAGATGGCTGTCAATGTCCATTTAGTTCTAGCCCACGCTTTGAAAAACTTTGACACTGGGATTGTTCTGAAGACATCTACCTTGGACAGTTGTTTTTCTTCTGTTCAATCAAGTGGAAAAATGCATGTAAGTTGTGAAATAATATTATTAGGCACTCAAATATGAGAAATGGAGAATGAATTAATTGAGCTTAAAATCAAAAATACTTTCTTCAATAATTTATTATGGGTTAAAAATTGGATTCTGGTGAACAATCACTTTAAATTTTATCTGGAATTGTTGAGATGGTTTAAATTTTTAGTAACTTTATTTTTTTAACCGATTTAAAAACTATCCAATGCGAGTGAAACTTAGTGAGAGCAGCAGCATTTTACATTATTTTGTACTACAATATCCTTTAATTTTTCTTTTTTCATTGTCTGAATAATGTATTCAATATACATCAATTCGATTTATTTTTGCCTTTGTAAACAAAAAAGTTTTATTTAATTTATGTTATTCGGTTTCAGTTTGACATTGGAAAATTTCTTCACTCGCCAACATCCAAGGTCTATGAAACAACTCTCACATTTAATGAAATTGGCCCTGTAGTGGACCCATTAAACACAAAAATTTGTGAAAACACTTTGAAGGCATACTTTGTATATAATGGAAGTAATTGAAGTGTGCATAACCAGACAAAAAAAGCTGGCAACAATGTGAATTTGTGAATAACCAATTGTATATGTTTTTTAGTGATTTGTGGTTTTATAAATGTTCATAATCTGAGCTGTATATACCTGAAATACCTTATTTTTGAGATAGTCATTTCATTGCACTGAAAGTGGGAAATGTAAGAAAATATGGGAACATAATATTTCATTTTCCAACTTCGGAGTAAGGATCATAGAATTGAAATTCATTTTTATGATCTGGTTATCTTTTAGTCTGTATATGAATGTAAATCTATTCTTTTGAAGAATATTAAATTCTATGTTTCTTGTCGAAAATAAAGACATTGTTCTTTATTATTACAAACTTATCTACTTTTTATACACTTGTTTTGTAATTGATAATCATGGATTTTTGTGGAATTTAGCTTCTAGTGTGTTTTTGGAAATCATCCTCTTTAATGTAATATAGTATCCATTGAAAGAGAAAATAATGTTCACAGTTATGTGCATATTTATAACAAAGACTGTTTATAAATTGCTATTTGACTGATAAATAATAAATAAATAATTACGTTTTGTGCTATTTATTGTGCCCTTTGACATAAATGACATTTTATTGCAGCCTAGTAAATACTTAATATTCCTCCATTATTCTCAAACTGCACAAGAGTGCAGCATAGGGCACTAGTGAAAGATTTGCTTCTTTTGTAAGCAAATTGGTGTTTATGATGTATTTTCCAAGTGGATGTTCCTGATGTGCAGACCAATGGTCTTTATCATAGTTTTTAGAAAAAAAGGATCATTGTGATTATGCTTTGTTTCTAATAGTTTGCAATGTCTTTGGTTAGGAATATTCTTGAATACGATGCTTTATATTGTTGCTCCAGAAATTCTATCACAACTCAGCTTAAGAATGCCTAGCCGGAGTTTACTAGTATGTGAACTGTTTTACATTTCCTCTCATTCACGAAATGTGTTTATAGAATTGCCCGTTCCTTGAATGTCAATTTGTTGATGGTCAGGTGACATTTAAAAGAAAGATTTTTGTACATGTTTATTTTCGACTGTTATTCATGGTTGTTTACTTTTTGTACACTCTTTTTACCTTGTATTATTATTATTATTGTGTGATGATTAGAGACCTTTAATCGATAATTATTCAGAAATCGTGAGATGCAGTCTGGTGTGATGTAGGTTACAGAAAAACACGACACGCAAGAATGGCACAATTACCCAGAAGACAAACACTTTGAGCCCTGAAGATGATCTCAATAAAGATCGATTAAAGTTAAAGTTTGTTATATAAAGATAGTTGGCACGATAAAGAAAATGTTTTTCTGAAATGTACATCACACCAGACCGCATCTCACGATTTCTGAATAATTATTATTACTGTTATTCTATTTTGACTGTTCTATTTTGGGGCTACTTCCCTGTTTGAACTATGTAATAAATGAATAAACGTCATTTAATTGTGAACTGCTTGTTTAAACCTGAAATAGCAGTAACTAAACAATTGAAAGATATTTTATTAAAATAAAATATAGAAAAGAAAGTTGATTGGATATTACTTTCTTTTTAATTTATTGTATAATGTCTGCCAAGAAGGACATACAATCCCATTCGCTAAACAAGAACATGTAGCTCATTTTTTAGTTTTAAAATATGCATGCTGATAGATTTGGTTGTAGACTTAGATGTTCCGTTCAAAGCAAAATGCAAGGATATAAAACAAAAAGAAAAAATGAAGAAAGATGAAAGAATGGCCACACCCTTAGTAAAAGGCGGGAAGCCACGAGTTGGGTATCGAGAAAACAAAACAAAAGAGCAAAACTGCGATGACATCCACGCAGTTATTAACCAAATCGTCTATCATTTCGAACAGTTTTGACCTTTATAAAATTTAACAGTGAACAATAACGAATAAACTTGGATCGGGAACTTAAAACGAAGTTTGTAATGTAGGCCTTTATCTTTTGGAGCGCCCCTCGCGGCAAAGCACGAGACGTAGCGGACCTCGTGGGCATGTCTGCCCTTCAGTTGAGAAGACGTCCTGCGTGGGGGACGACGCACGGCCGAAGACGGGCGTTTTATTTTTTTTTATTCAAAGGACATTTTCTAAGGCCACCGGGTGATACGGACTTTATCACCCCCACGACTATCTAAAAACAGGTAAATTGACAATTTTTTAAGTTCACAGAGACGAATCGAATCGAATGTGCTCTTTCCCTCCCAGCGGATTTCACAACTTGTTATAAAAATAAACAAGCCGTTTTCGCATGAAAACTCAACGGCCTCGCTTTTTTATCGGATCGTATTTTTTAATCTGAACTTTTTTGTGTTGTTTCGACTTTCATTTCCAAGACGTGAATTTTCCTCGACAGGTTTAGACAAGTCATGCCCATTACTTTTTCTTTCGCTGTATAAAATCATTTCTTTCATATTTTGTAATTTATCACATCGGCTTCTTTTTATTTATACAAGACAAGGTTTTTATCAATTCGAGGTGATTTCTGGTGAATTCCCGGTGTTCCCTCCATGTTCGACATGAATCCTCCTTAGCTACATAACCTAAAATGGCGGAAAAACTCCAGGCATCCTTTGAAAACTTATAACACATTTAATTGATTCTCCAGTATATTATTTCAATTTTGTCCCATTGAAACGAAAAAGAAAAAAAACGATCCTACTTCTTTACCTATTCTGTTTATTATTTTTGAACGAAATCGTCAGAAAATAAAGATTACTTGTTTTAAAAATTAAAACCAGTGTCGTTTAATTTCTTCCGTCCTATTACTGGTGATGGTGCAATTGCATTTCCTTTGTTTGCTCCGGCTCGGTCTGGCTTTGCACGTCTAAAAATAATCTCGTTCGGCGGATTTCCTCGTCAATTGGCTCGTACCGGGGTTTATTGCACCTTTGGTCGAGTTATCGTTCAACCCTCGGCCTTTGCAATCCTTTGCAGAGTTTTTCCAAGAGCGCGGCCCGTCTCGCTTTGCAGTTTGCAGACGGCATCGTGTTTGAACATTGACCTTGGATGTGTCACTGGTCTGGGCCTGGGTAGAAGGCTCAAAACAAACGCTTCACCTTCAACCACGTGGATGCGTTTTCCCTTGTAGATCTAAAACCATTGCAACTTTTAACATGTTTTCACATGCACATAAAATATTTCTATATTATATTGCAGCTATAATAAAAATAAAATACATTTTACCCACTATTTTGACTATTTTTTATATATTAAATAAACTGATTTACCTTTATTCCTAACTGTATTCCAAATCGATAAAATAAAATAATTAAAATGCTAATTTTACAAATATATTTCAATGTCAAATGGAGTATTTTACTATTTGTATGGAAAAATGAAAACTTAATGAATTCTATGGTGATTGAAAAGTTTAAGGAAAATTTTATCCATTTAATTTTTCATTACTAAGTTGTAGTATAATGTAAGTAATGAAGGATTGATTTTTGAACTTTGCATATGTTTTTTAATCAAAGTTTTAATCTGGTAAGATATTGTGACCTTTCAAACCTTGACTTTGATCAAATGCACAGACAAACCACTGAATACAGCAAAAAAAAATTACAGAGCGATAATTGACTGTGGCTCTGTTTTCTGTGCTACTGTACTATGGCAGATTCCTATTTTCCAGAATAAACACCTAGAACGACTGAGAGCTTGACTAAGGACTTTATTCCCCTGCCAAGACCCATAATGAGTGGGATACATACATGCCTTTACCCAGTACAACAAAGAAATCCAAAAAGCTAAATAGGACTCTTGTCAGAGATTTTGTGAGGAAATCACAGAAACATCTCAATGTGCCCGCATACACTAAACCCTAGCCAAGGTACAGGGAGGCAGGTAAGCTTCCTAATAAAAACAGATGGAAGCTTTACACAAACGGAAGGTGAAATACATTCTCTACTGATTGCAAATCACTTCCTAGGAGCACAGATTATCCACAAAGAAATACTACTTGAACGCTCAAAACTCTATTTTCCAGAATTAATGTCTGAAGCGCGTCTTAGAAACTCCCTAAGTTTTTATATTTATTAATTTATTTTTAAGAATGGATACCAGAAGCTGGAGGAGTTATCCCTGAGCACTGCAGTTGTAGTACACAGCTTATTATACTTCCTTTCTGGCTGTTTTTAGGAGCTCGCAACGTGGGTGGGAATTTGAGCCCCTAGGGTACCGGTGTTCATCGTTGAAACTCATTTTTGAAGGGGGTTGGGACTGAATTCAGAGTCGCTGAGATCCGATCTCATCCCAGACCTTACATTGATGAGTGGCATGAGAATATTTTGCAATTGCAGCCATCGGTTCCCTTAGGCATCAGAAAGAAAAAGTCCAGAGGCAATGGTTGGAATTGAACCCACTACCGCCGATCTCCTAGCCAAGAGTCTGACGCCATAATCACTCGGCTACTACGGTCCAATTCTTCCTAGCACTCCTATTCAAACACTGTGCTGGGCTTGTGAAACCCTGTTTAATATCAGCTGTAAAAAACATGCAAAGAACTATTTGATCAGACTCTTTCCTAAAGACAGTCTGTTTAGGCCAAAAGGCTTTTACAGATAGGTATTGGTTAAAGAAGAGGAAACTACTGCAGCTAACTGACTCCTTCATCTGTAGTTTTCATAATTTTCAAGGCAATTAAAAATCCTACAGTCAGAGCACAAAACAGTAATAAACAAGATACATTGCCAGATTACTTAGTATAATCCACCTCAAGAAGCCGATACTTACTTCCAAGCTGATATTCACGAGAATTCAAATTATTTTCAAATATACCAGTAAAAATCCATGGTTTGAAGGAGGAGGAAGGTCAAAAGCATTTTTCTCAATGATATCACACTTAAAAACCGGTCTTGGTTATCTATGGATCATATTTCTTTAAAATCAGACTGTGAACTGCTAATTGTGAAAGATGTGGAGTAGCGGAAAATCATGAAACATTTGTTATTCTGCTGTGAAAAAATGAAACCATGTCTATGTGTCCTATTAATATTTGTCCAGGTGCGACAGGTTTTTATTTATTTTTTAAAATTATTTTTTATTTATTTTTTTAAAAAATCTACATAACTGGTATTTACATTTGTTTTGTTGGTAAGAAGTAAATTTTTACTCATTCTTTGTGTGGTGTAACCACTGAAAATGGTTAAATGTCAAACCCCTCAAAACAATAATCATTCCAGGATTATTAAGGTGCGTTCTCACGATTCAACTTTTCTTGATCAACAAAAGTTGATCTAAATCTTATCGTGAGGACCTTGGGTTCAATAAAGTCAATCAACTAAAGTTTAATCCAAAAATGAACCTCAAGGGGACTTACAATGTTGTGTTGTTAAAGTATTAGAATTTTATCATTAAATCTTATTAATATTAATAATTTTACTTTAAGTTTGTGTTCTCTCTGTGTAAAAAAGAGGTGTTTTTCACTTTTAATTAAATTGCTCGGGGCACTTTTCATTTCACGTAGCAATTCAATTTAGAAAATGCAAAAACAAATTAATTTATTAAAAGTTATTTTCCCTTGTTAAGTGTGAAGTTTGTAAATAGGAATTTTGTTGTTTCACAATAGGGGGGAAAAACATTGGAATTACCCTATCTAAAAATAGACAAAGCTGACTTTCACCCTAGTACATTTTGGAGTGCTACCCCCTTTCCTTTAATCTGAACAACTTAAGGAAATAATCTGATAGTTAATTTTATTTGTCTTTACAGTAACAAAACCAAATCAGGGAATAAGGTAAATATAGGAATTTTGAATGTGTTTTGAGGTTTGAGATACTTTTGCTGCCTTTGGCTCATGAAAATTTTTTAGAGGCGAATTAACAGGTTTAGATTTACCTTCAGTTGATTTTATTACTTATTTTTTTGCCTTAATCACTAAGGGTCTTTTAAGATGGGTGTTATTATTACCTACCATTATTCTGACAGTTTATTTTTGTACGCTTAGAATGATCAACTCAAAAGGGATGCATCTTACATAACTTTTATATTTTACCTGATCTATTAGTTTATATGAAAACTTTAATTGAAAATGTATTAAATATGAGAGATAGTTATCTATAAGCTGGTAATACAGTTGTCATGTGTATGAATGTGAAATTAATTTCTTTGATCTATCTCGTACACTGATGTTAAATATTTTTATTAAGTGTAGAACCAATTATTTTAATTAATTACAATTTTTATCTAAGGTCTTGGTTGAGATGAAAGGTGTAATTAATTAAAATAATATGATCAATTATGACTACTTAACATATATGGTTTAGAACTAAGTTGAAATTTTTCAATTTAAAAAACAGCTGTTCATGTTAGAACTTAATAGCATGCTTATATACATAACTTATAGCATAAAGCTTTCTTAAACGAATTTTAAAACTATTACGTAAAAATTGTGATATACATTTGGACACACAATCTCAGAAATTTCTTATCTTTTCAAGATAAGTACAAATTTTAAGATATTCCAACTGATATTGTGTGCCCAATTATCCTTTCATTTCTGAACTTTAAACTTTCACTATTGAGAGCAACTTTTTTTTTCTTTTCTTTCAGTGATATAATTGTCGATTTTAGTTAGCATCGGACATTAGTTGATAAATTTTCAAAATAAATAAGGGAGAATAGCTATGGTGTAGGTGTGTTTGCCAAGTCGCCGTGGTTACCATAGCAATTTACCACCTCCCACCCTGAAAATTCTTTGGGTCACAAGAATAATTACAAAAAAGTATACTTAAAATATAAAATAAAATAAGATTTAAAATAAAAATATAATTACTGCGAACAAAAAGTTGGCAAATGGCTGGTTATTTTTGTTTCCTTCACCCATTTCAATTATCATTTTGAAATGAACACATTTTATCAATTTTTTAAACTATTAATATATTATGTTTTGGTTTGTTACAGAACAATTATGGGATGGTAAAGGCTTTTCTCCAAACACCAACCTACCACCATCAAACATCAAGATGAATCTATAATTCGAATCAGGACAAATATCTTAGACCATCCCCTCCCCATTGATTAATTTTCTCCTCAATTTTTTTTTTTTTTTAATCTGCTAGTTTTATTTTATTGAGTTTTCAAACTAGTCAGATAATATTTAATTTATTATTTAAAAAAAAAATTAATTTACTCTTTACTTTTTTGACGTGGTCATAAATGCGAAGTTGGAACAACGGTATTTTTAGAAGTGTTAACAAGGCTTGGTCATCCTCTTTGCAACGGTAAGTTGAATATTTTAAATAAGTTATAATTTATGTTAACTATTTAAAAATTAAAAAAAAAAATTATTTTAGGCAGAGGATATTATGAAGTATCGAGGCGTAGGAACATTGCCCTCTTCAGTTGCACATTGGCTGGAGCAACAATTTGAAGAGAGAGGGATAGACCGCGTTGTTTACTCTAGATACATCAGTAATCTCTTTCAAAGAAATGATGAAGAGCTTACTGACATTCCTGTCCTAGCTAAGGTAACTTTACTTCAATTAAGTCCAACCATTTCATTTGAAACTGTCTAATCAAGTGTTACTGTTCAGGGCGGTGAATTAGAAGGACTAGTCAATGAATTTTGGGTTAAATTGAAAGAAGCCGATAAAGATGGTAATAAATGCTTAAAGGAAAAAACTAATTCTGAGGATATTTTTAATCTAGAACTGCCGCTTTCCGCACCAGATCAGTCAATAAAGTAAGAATTAAGCATCTTTAATCATTTAGCAGTAAATTTAAAACATTAAACACAATTTTGGTTTTTCAGATATTATTCGGCATTTCCAGCGGTGTCTAAAGAGCACGAAAGCTTTTGCCTTGACACAGTTTGGGCACGGAACTTCAACAGGCACGTGGGGAAAAAGCAAGAATTCGAAGGGAGTCCTAAGTGTTCAAAAAGGAAGGACAACAAGGAGAATGTCTGCGGAGTGATGAGGAGTAGGATGAGGTCTAGATCAATGGTCAAACAGCCAGGAGGAAATCGCCACAAAATGAGGTCATCTGCCAAATCTTTAGATAGAAAGGATGATGAACTTATTGGGTTAGTATTTGTATATATAATTAAACATTAACATACAATAAATGTTTTAAAATAATAATATAGAAAAGTTATTCATGTTGTGTTAGGTGTGTGAAAAATGAGAAGAAGGGAAGGAAATGTCTTAATTTTGTTTCCAATGAGGTCGAGGGCACTGCTGCAAAATTGTCTCGAACTCCTGGTCGTGAAAAAATTGACATAAACGAGTTTGATCAAGATTTACCTATGGATTTCCAACAGCTTCTTCAATCCCCTGACGATTCTTCTTTGTACAGACATCCTAAACAAAACCAACCACAGCCTAATTTCATTCAGAGTGGTACCAACTTGACCAATTCAATTTGGTCTGAGAGGATGGAAGAAGATGAAATGCCTACATGGGATATGAATAAGTGGAGTGATGCCAGAAGTTCAATACTTTCGTCTGCTTGGAAATTGCCATTTACTTATGAGAAAGATGTCGAAAGCACCAATCTTTCTTTAGCCGATGAAGGCTCTTTTTTCTCTTTCTTTGGCTCTAGTATATCAAATCTAAAGAACACAAGTTTGTCTGAAGCATTTTCAAACCAGCTTCAGGATGAAAAGAAGACGGTAGTTCCAAAAGTTTTGAACAAATTTCAAAATGAAAATCTTTTGACATCTATGAGGACTCACTTCCGCCCAATTAAGTACGATGGTGAAGCAGAACCACAAGGCCAAGGTTATATTGATGGCTCTACTTTCTTGATCTCTACAAATTTAGAGCAAGTATGTGTCATTTATTTTTTATATATCCTTGTTTTATAAAATGTATGTAATGAAATTGTACTTTTGCAGCCGAATTTTAAAAGAAGTGAATCAGGTGGTTTGTACTTGGGCTCAGAAAACAAATACTATGAGTTCAAAAGGAGTGATTCTGCTATGTCATCAGCTGATGGGTGTTTTGTGCCTAAATTCAAGGTTTATCAAAGCGAGAAATTCTGCCAGACGGATGATGAAGATGTCCAGCCTTCAGAATTGGAAGACAATGAATCCTCCGCGAGCAATTTCTTTTTCCCGGGAGATGACCAACTTGCTGAAGACATGGTGAACAGTGCTGAAGAAGAAGACCAGCCCGCGGCTATTCAAGTCAATGGCTGGGTTACGACGTGGCCTGTTTCCGAGTCTGGCATTTGGAGTAATACTCAAGAGAAAATAAACCCATGGTTTGTGTAACGTTTTGTTTAAAAAGACAATAGGGGATGAAAAAATTATGTTGGAAATATTAATTGAACATTTTTCAGGATTTTTGATTCTGGCAACGCTAAATTGGATAATGATATAGATGGAAAAAATGAACGCTACGCTCGGCTTCGCAATGAATTGACTGAAGAAGGTGAAGAGCTGTTATCAGACCTTAGTTCCATACATTTGTTTCTTGACCCAGAAAGAATGGACGATTCAAACCCAATAATTCAAGTATGTAATGATTTGTTTTCTTTAATATGGATCAATATCTGTTAACTTTTTTCCAGTCTCAAAACTGTTCGCCGAAAATGCATATTCAACCGTGCTCGATCAAAACTGGAAATATATCGAATGAACCTTTCTTTTGAAACTGCAAATTTGGAGTGAGAACATATGGTAAGCAGACTTAAATTTTTTATTTTTCTTGTGTATGAAGGTGGATCCACACTGGATGAGCATTCATGAACCTTCTGATGCACACTGGGAGGGAGACTGGAGAGTATTTGATAAATTAAGTTGTTAGTCAAGGTTTGGACTTGTTCCCACTTGACTGTGACTCCTGGTTTGTTGAAAATTGGTGTGGCACACTTTATTAATTTCAAAATTACTAGAAGAGAAGGTTTAAAGATAAATAACAAAAAAAAAAGCAAAAAAGGGGCAACAGAAATTCCAGTTAGTTAAATCATGAAAGGGGTCAGCAATCTAAACTATCATAGGAGATGATGGAGATGGACTTTTCCGTAATTTTAGCCAAATGTCTTCTGAAGGTTTTTCACGAGATGTTTTTAGTGAGATTTGTGTGACTGTTCGGAATTGCACTGAATGAGCACAAACGATGGAACACTCTTTGATGTACCGACTCAGAGAGGGAACAACCATGAGCAAGAACGAACATTCATTCACTCATGGAAATGGTGAATAATGGAGAGAGTGAGGTGTTCAATCCTTTTTTTAAAAAAAGATAGTTTAAGTTACTTAAGATAGTTAGATTTAAAATGAATGCCAAAAAACCATTTTAAATAATGAATTACATAAATTGTACAATCAAAGAGATAAAAAACATTTTTATCAATATATTGTACACACAAAAACTTACTGTGAGTAGGAACTATCTTTAAAAAAAAAAAGGATTCATTCACAAATGCTCAAAAATACATCCACACTATACAATCAGAGCATTTGGTTCGTGAATACTCTGCTCCAGTTTGGATGCGGCTTTAGACAGATGACAGCTGAGAATACCTTTTTCAGGTCTCTACTTTAAAGTAAGCTTGTTAACAAACTAAATTTGGTTTCAGGTAACTTCACATCTTGTGGCAGCAATTATATATTATCATCTTAAGGTGTAATATTTGATTACTGTTTTCTTACAATAGAAAAGTCCTATGCTTAAACAATTTCTATTAATTTTTAATAATATTATATATTAAATTGTTTATTTTAATAACTCTGCGGCTCGACGAATGGGGTATTGAGTATTGATGATATAATTAAAAGTAAAAGCAAAATAGAAATGTTTTAATTTTTGTTGTTGTGGATTATGGTTTGGTCTTTGGGAGAAAAAAAAGGTTTTGAATGTTTGCTGGTGGATGTTTTCTATTTGTGAAATGATTTGTTATTTTCTTTTAAAATTTCTACAATCAGTTAACATAAAAACAATAAACGTATACAAATTTGTTTTTAATTTTGTTGAAGAAAGCCATAAAAATGATAGCGATCACAAATATAAAATGGGAAAAAGAAAATAATAATTAAAATTTGCTGGTTTTTTTTTTTTTTTTTTTTTTTTTTTTTTTTTTTTGTCTTGGTAAATGCCAGTGTCTTACAAATGATGGTAGTTCTATGAAAGTATGATTTCATGTAATAAATTTTTTCCTTCAACCTTGACCATAGGGTTTGTTCAAAACTTATATCGTAAAATATAAAGTGTGGCCCACATAAAAATATTAGTAAATAATTAAAAAAAAAAAGAAATATTTATATGAAAATGTGCAGAGGCCACAGTCGGGTTCTATAATAATATATAAACACGTTTTCTATTATTTATTTGTTCAAATTTTTATAATAGGACCCATTTTCATTAGGGAGGTGTAGCCAATACATGTTATGAATATATATAAAAATATATATATAGAAAGAAAATATCTCACCTCATATTGAGGTATAATTTAGTAAACAATTTTTTTTGTTTGTGTACAAAATGAAGGAAAACAAGACACTGGCTTAATATAACGTTAATACATATTTGTGTTATGCTTCTTTTATGGCAGAGGTTTCTTAGTGTCGTATTTTCTCCTGCCGTTGAAGACGTTTATTTTTTATTTTTTTAGTGTAAACTATATCTAATATAAAAAGACTAGCCCTACAATCGTATTTTTTATTAAGGATTTAATAGGCTAGCCTTAAATAATACTATTGAAAATAACAGTCATATATGTTTAAAACACTGTTTTTGCTGCGTATAAGCATAAGATGCCTTGCTGCAGGCTTCATAAAGCCTGTATATATCTAAATAAAAAGTTAATTATTAAATAAGTTTTAGGAAAAATAAACGCGAATTAAATAATAAAACGAGGTTTTAGTGGATTTACCACACCTTATATTTTGACGCACTTTCATTTTATTTGCACATGGTCCTAGAACTAAATAGTCAAATTTAGAAGAAAAAAAGTTAATAGTGAACAAATTATTACTAACAAGTCGTCAATGTTATAATTTTTTTCAACTTGCATCTGATTTCATATTTCTCATAATAATCTGTTTTATGTAAAACAAATTAAAAAATAATAATAATATATTTAAACTTTGATTTTATGGCAATCCTTAAATTAATTTTCTTCTGTTTTCTTTTTCTTTTCAAAATTGACCACAGAAATAACTTGACTTGTTATTTATTTTATTTTTATCTTTTTGTTGGTTGGTTATTTTTGTTTCGTTTAGGTTTTCCCCCTTCTTTTGTAATTATTATTTTTTAATAGGTATATTATTGTTTTCATTATGTTGAGTTTGATGCGAGTTTAGTAGAGTGGAGTGATATTTTCGAGAAAAAATAATTTTAAAAAAGTATGTGTGTATTTTCTTGGGCAGTTTTTCTCAACCCTTTGAAAATAAATTGTATGATGTGTCAATTGTAAGAATGTATTTAACAATTTATCAGGTTTTCTGTCAGTAAACTTTAAATGAAAACTGTAAAATTGTCATGAGTGAATGTAAGTGTGAGCATTCTTGTTTAATATCGCTATACAGACCTGAGTCATTAGATTAAAATAAAAAGTGAGTAAAAGGAAAAAAAAATAAATGACAAGAAAAACCAAAAAAAAAGAAGAAAAAAATATTTAAAAAAAAATAATGAAATTTATTGATATAAGTATGACATTTCCTGTAATATGTGTGTTTCAGGGTGTTAGGTGTATGTTAGGTTAGAGTGTAAACATGTATGAATGTGTGTGAAATAAGGTCGGGTCTGTATTAAAAAAAAAAAAAAAAAGGAGGCTTTGTGTAAATCCTCAGAGTTAACTTGGAATTCTCTTGTAGTCGACTGCAAAACACAATTTTATAATCATGATGTTTACAATTTTTCAAAAAATCAACTTTTACCCTATATTGTTAACATTTCTTTTAGTTTTGAGAGAATTTCAACAGCATATCGCTCAGAATTAATGCTGCAGTCGTTTTAATTTAATGTATCATATGTTATAAGAAATTATTAGAAAAAAATAACAATTTTTGAAAAAATCTGTCTATTATAATAATATGTAAGAAGGCAATTTAAATTTTTTTTAATTTTTGATCACAGCAGGAATCTGCTTGAGATTGCTACATTTTCTTATTAGTGAAGAGTTGTTATTATAGTAACCAAGAGTTTATTGCTACATTTTTCATTTTGTGTGTATTGAAAATAAAAATGTAAAAAAAAAATTGGCAATTAAAAAATTATGATAAAATCTTCAATTCTGAGAAAATTTTAATACAAATTAAAACAAAAAATCAACATAAAATGAAAAAAAATGAGAGTAGATAATTAGAATTTGGTTTGTGTACTGTAAACTGCAGTCGGTTAAGTGTCAACAATACTTACGTTCATTATAACATAATTATTGTTTTATACATTTCTGTTTTCCAGTTTTAGAATATACAGATGGATTGCAGTACTTAAAATTTAAAAAAAATTAAAACTATCTTGGGAACGCCAGTAATTTTATGTGAAACCTTTTTTTAATTTCCCAGGAAAAGTTATTGAGTAGTGCCTTTATTAAAAAAAGTATATATAGAAGAATATATTAATCTGGTTTCTGATATCAGTTGGCATTTGTTAATTGTATGTACAACCATCTATTTCAATTAGCTCTGTATTTGTTTTTAAAAATTAAATTCAAACAATTTTGTTCTACATAGTGTCTTAACATTTATTCTAATTTGACTGTCAAATAAATCAATATAAGAAACATGTAAATTCATTTTAACAAAATAATGTATAGCTGATATCTTAAATTGTCCACAAAATAAAAAATATCCCAAAGTTCAAAAAAAAAGTTGTGATAATTTCATTCCCATTGTTTATGCTTTTCTGAATTGTAATACAGGGAAACTCGTATATCGTCCTCCTTTTCCCACGGAAACTAGCTGTTTAGCTAGGGAGAGATCTGTTCTGGATGAAAAATATCAAAAGAACGACTTCTTGGTCTGCACAAACATGACCAGAGATAAAGAAACTTGGCAGACAAATCTTTATAACTTAAGTGCTTCACAGAGTAAGTTTGGTATCATTAGGAGTAGAATGGCACTCAGCTGTCATATGTCTGGATGATGACTTATTTTGACAGAATGACTAGAAAATGCTTCAACAAGGTCAAAAGTTCTTTTTTTTTTTGGATAATGCCAAGTCACATCTGCACTTGGATTTAGAAAATATAAAACTTGTATGTGTGGTGATTAGTGACCGTTAATAGATAATTATTCAGAAATCGTGAGATGCGGTCTGGTTTGATGATTCTATACCGATTTCCTTCCCCACCGCTTCAAAATCCAACATATATAAACATAAAACAGCAATATCTCACTGGCACTCTCAACACGACACGCAAGAATGGCACAATTACACAGAAGACAAACACTGAGTGAGTAGAAATACTTTGATTGAATATAAAAAAATATATTTTGCATTGTATAAATTCACTTTTTCTCATCCTAAATGTATTTGTTAAATGTAAACAATGTTTGTAAATCCCAGGCCCTGAAGATGATCTCAATAAAGATCGAAACGTTGGCATGATAAAGAAAATGTTTTTCTGAAACCTACATCACACCAGACCGCATCTCAGGATTTCTGAATAATAAAAAATAAAACTTGTATGTTTTCCAATTAAGATTACATTGTCGCAACGAAGGGGTAATTCATTTCCATTCACTTAAATATCAAATAATTTTAGGTAGGGTGAGTATGAAAATTAACTTTTTTAGAAAGATAATTATACGCACAAAAAGCTGCTAGCTGCTTAAACTGAGAATAGAACTGTCTTTTCCAAAAAGTTAAATATCAAATACCGGCAAGCTTATTTTGCAATAACTAAACTGCCCACGTCTGCAACTGCCTGTGAAATTGTAAAGAGGTTGATGATAGTTGTTGGTGTCAACATGACTGCTAGTGGGTAGCTGAGCACATTTGGAATGGTATAGAAACCCTCTAGATACCAATGGATTCAAAAACATTGGGCTGAACTTTAATAATAATAAATTGCTTCAAATAAGCTTGTTCTCCAACTTGAGAAATTTCGAACCAAACCGTTTGAAGCCTCTATAGAGAGAGCATGTAGGTATGCTACCCGATATAATAATCATACTTGAGCCTGGCAATTATTTGGATCCCTGTTCCAATTCATGGAAGAAACAGGGTTGTTTTATTGCATTTTGTCCTTGTGAGTGTTGAAAGTGAAGGTACGTATTGTATGAATGTGTTGTGTGAGAGGGCTGATGGCAGAATATCAAATACCTCATCCCCTCAAATAGGTTAGTCTATATACATATATATAAAATAGATCTATATATATAATAGATAGAGAGGGATGATGGAAGAGTATCGAGTGCTCCACTACCCTGATTGAGCGCTTATTTAAGGGCGAGTGAGAGGGCTAGTTTTTAGGAAATGCTTGCATTGTGTGCTGAATTGATCTAGATGTTAACAGCGCCCAGATTCCAACCTTGGTCACTTAAGTTTGAACCGATAGGCCGGCCGGAACATGTATGGCCCTTCTGTTCAACCGGCAAAACGTTCAGGCATAACTGACAGGCTAGCTGGATTGTGTATGGGGGAAGAAGACAGGCCAAAAAACGACACGTGTGTGTGTGTATGTCAATTAAAAATTTTGTCTTTTGCAAAAATTTATTAGTTGTCTATTTCTAAAGATGCTCTTATAGAAAACCAGATGGATGCTATAAAAGAGTTACTTTGACTTCGTGATTTTATAAAAGTAAGAGAGGCAAAAGATTGGTGCACAAATTAACTTAAAAAATTAAAACTTCCTGAGTAAGTTTGGATACAGGGGTGGTCTTAGAACTTTGGTCAGGTCTTTATCTAATTTTAAAAAACAGTAAGACCGACTTAATAAACTTGCAATTGTTCTTATTGATAGTCCTGAACTGGTTTGACTGATTTTTCTATTTTCAAACTGTACTCTTTTTTTCTACTTTGATTTACTTTAAAGTAATGAAAACGAGAGTGATAATTTAAATTTATATATAACTTGTTAGAAGAAAATGTTAATCTTATAACATATTTTCTATTGAAAGTGTCTGGTTCAACAGAGGCGAGGGTTAATATGAAAAAGACAAATATTTTGATTCATTCCAAATTAAATTTACTTCTCTCAAAAAATTATAAAACAAATAAATTATTAAGACTACTAAGGTAATTTCTACTAATTGTTCTACTTTTCAGCAGCACCAAAAATAATGACCACTCCGACATGTTCTTTGACATCCAAGCGTAAACAACTGAAGGTTCTACATCACAGATAGATTTTGTTTACACTTCGATTACTAAGAATGAAGGATTTGTTTAAAAGCAGATTAAAAATTAAATTATATAAAACTCAACTGGAATATAATATACAAATGAAAATATAAAGAGACAAGTTTGTCAGAATTGACAATCTTATATACACCAAGAAGAATAGTTTTAAATTCATAATTTGGCTTTTGTCGTAAAAGATTGAAGGCTGATAAACGGTTGGACAAGCGGGTACAATGCTTGCATCGATTTAAAGCTTGTTATGTTCTCTATCTTTGTTGCCTAAAATAAAATTTCAATTAGAAAAATTAGAAGAAAAAAAATGAAAAATTGAGTCACCTTATTGTGATTATTTGTTTCTGTTGAAACTTCTGGGCCATCTACTAAGTTCATGTCATGGCCGTTTGTTCCAGCTCCTCCTTCTGCTTTTGATACAATATAAATAGCAAGTTTATGTCTGTGAGGAGCCCCTTCTTTAATCATGTTCTAAAATAATTTTTTTTTAAACAATTATTACACAGAATAAACACCAAATATAAAATAAACTTTTGAATAATGAATAATTTTAAAATAATAAATTCTTACATAATAAAAGTCCATAATGTCTTTTTTTGTGAGCCCTCTCATGTAGGCAACTTCGATGTTGGCTCGATCAAAATTATACTGCTGGGTTGTAATTTCACCCCAATATTTCGTTGACTGAGCGGACATTTGCTTTGGTTTTTCTAGCCGTTGATTGGCCAAGGCTTCTTTGTGATTATTGAATTCTTCTTCAGTTAGATCATTCAAGTAATTCTATAAATAAATAAAATAAAAAAACAAGTTAAAAATGTTAATAAAAAATGATTTTGCTTTAAGTTGTTTACCTCCATTTGTGACAAAAATGCTTCAACCCTACTGTCGATATAGTTTGGATGTTTGTCTGACTGAACAATAACTCGTAGGCCTTGAGTTCCATTAGAACGCCTAATACCACTGAAAACTATGTAACCAAGTTGTTCCTAAAAGGAAAAAAAATTAAATAGTTATCAAAAAATAATCAGCCTCAAAACCCACTTTGGTCCTCAGAGCACTGTAACATGGCTCAGATATAATTTGGACAAATAATTCAAGGATCATATTCGTTTCTGTTGACTGTAAACTGCACTGATAGTATGCCTCTGTGCAGGAACTCTTGTGGACATCGTTTTCCAATTCGTAAATATAATTTGCACCTAAAATTATTACAAGTTAATGAGTTAATATTATTCTAAACATCTCTTTGCTTATTTACCATCTGCCAGCTGTATTTCTCTATTTCGCAGCAGCTGACAGGGAAGTAATGGTCATAAACCCACTGTTCCACTCAATCTGTCCATGACAGTGTTTACCATGTCCATAGCAGTCTGAAAAAATACACATGCAACTGTAATGTTATCACCGATATTACCAAAAAGTTATAATTTATTATAACAATTGTTTACAATTTTGTAATATTAACTATGCAATATATGCACTTACAGCTTTACATGTATTGCCATGAATGAAAGATTCAACATGGACTTTGGACAGAAGTTGTTGTATGAAAGCTTCTAAAGCTGGAATAGTGAGTTTATCGGTAGCCTCTAACAATTCATTTTTAGGCCAGGATTGTTCAGAGAGAAGAACGGCCAAATAATAATTTGCATGCTGATATGGCTGTTCAGCATTGAAATTTTTAAGGCTTCTTATATACTGAAAACAACATGAAAAATGTAGGTAAAAAAATTAGAAGAATAAAACAAATCCAGGCATAATTACATTTTCCTTCAAAATTGAAAATCTCTTCGGATCAACAGTGAAATTCGTCATTTTGTCCATGATTTTTTCGAGAAGCACTTTCTGTTTGTGATTGTATCCTCCTATGCCGAGCTATGGAATAAATAACTTTAGTCTTTAACAGACTTGTCAATTTAAGATAATTTCCGTACATACCACCATCCCATATTTTGTATTGGTCAACTCCCACTTAAGCCCTGCAAGTTGTGCGGCATAAGCGTATTCAAGCAATGCATCTTTAAACAGTGATACAAACATGTAAGTCATATTGCAACTCATTGGATCCAAATATGCAAACGGGCTAAAAATAAAAATATAAATAAATAATTGTTCAGTTAATTTCTAAAATTTTGATTTACCTTACAAACTCAAATCTTATGTTGGTTTTTGGTAAGAGAAATTCATTGTCTTGCTTATACCAAACTCTACAATATTCTGTTTCATGAATAATTGTCGGATGAGGGCTAGGCTATAAATTATTGGAAAAATATTAAACTGCATTTCAAAATCATTTGACATTTTGTTTAAAAACTATTTACATTTTCATCCCTAGGGCTCAAATCAAAATCTGTGGCAATAAATTCATTTTTTCCAGGAAGGTGAAAATCAGAATTCAATTCGCAGTTCTGCCATCTCTGAAAAATGTTCCACATTACAACTTACAAAACCGTAGAAAAAAATGATATTCAGAACCTACTTGTATCACATAATCTGGAATCTTTTCTAATGAATACTCAGTACCATACCATTCCTCTTTTAAGTTGGCTGTCCCTTGAAATTTTTTACCAGCAATAGAAATTCTGAAAATTGCATATAAATTTTGTACAACTACATTTTCTAATTTCCTTTTCTTTCATTTTGGTGAAATAGTTTTCTTTCTGGTTAGTTAGATATTCAATATTGTGTTTAAAAACACAAACTTTCCACTGAAGATGGCAAATTGCCACAACAAAACTTGCTTATATTAGGCTAGCTTCTCTATTATACTTTTTATATTCCTTAACCTGAGTACATGTGCTAATTACATTTCAGTGGCTTTTAAATCTCTTAAAAACTATCCGTCTGGTAAACAAGATAAACAAAATCAGTCCTGCAGTGAATGTGTTAAAGGAAAAAATATTTCATACATTTTTTAAAAATGGAGTAAGGCTTTATTTCTTTAAACAAAATTTAAGCAGTATTGTCAGCAGGTATCCTCTAGATTGCAATAAACCAAAATAAATTGTTGGGAATATAAAATAAATTTAATTTGATCATCTTCATCATATTATATTATTATCCATATAATTAATTCATATTTAGCAGTCATAATTGGCCATATTAATTATACTTTTTATGTAAGGTATACCATGTGATCAAAGTCGCTAGCACATTGAGCTGAAGGTTGTGGGTTCGAATCCCACTCATGACACTAGCTTTTTTATCTCAACCAAGGCCTTAGTTAAAAAGTATACTAAATTAAAATAATTAATATGGCCAATGTCAATTCTGACTACTAATACATATATGGATTGATAAATAGAACGTTTTTTTACCTGACATTTTTAGCATTAAGATAGCCCAATAACTCATTGATAAGATCACTTCTCCAATCAGTAAGCTTGTATCCTGCGATTAAAACTTCTTCAATTGGATATTTCTGAAATGATCCAATAAAGAAATTTTAATAAATAAAAAAATAAAAAATAAATAATTAAATCCTTTACATTGAGTTTAACTGAAATCGAATTGACAAGAGCCGTCGATGACTGTTTATCTTTAAATCTAAAATGCATATTAAGTAGTTCAGCTTGTTCATCAAAAACCCATTTTTTTGGTCCTTCATTTTTCAACATTTTAATATACTGTAAAACATTTTTATTATTTGAGATTTTTATTTTAATAATTTAATAATGATTTGTAAACATACTTGGAATATAAAATGGACAATATCATCGATGTGTTCAATGCCTTCTTCGGTGAGATCAACCGACACGCAAAACATATCAAAGCCTTGGATTTCTCCCCTCGTTCCTCCGACCAGATTGTTGCACCAACCTTTGGCCCTCAATGCCGACAAAAGGCTGCCACTTCCCTCGTGGCCGATGAGATGACTCAAATATTGCCCGGGCTGAGGAAAAGATATTGTAGAGATTTAACATTACGCTTTACCCTTTTTTGCGAGACTATATATATACGCACTGCGGCTTTGTAATAATCCCTGTAATCCGGAATGGGAAAGCTGACAGCCAGATGTCTTGTGTCTTTTATAGGCACGACTGATACTTTCACCTTTACTTCTTCATCTGAATAAGGGTGGTCTTTTATTGCTAGAGGGACAACTTTTTTGTCCTCTACTTGTGAGAAAAGATCAGCAGCCATTTTTTCAAGCTCATCCAAACTTTCTAAACATTAAAACATTGACACACAAAATTCCCGTCAAAAGTTAATAACATTTCAACGTACCTTTTCCAATAATTGCAAGAGTCATGACATTCGAGGAATACCATTTTTTATGAAATTTTAAGAGCTCATCCCGAACATTAAGCCCTTTTTGCTTTGGAATTATATCAAGTGTTTCCTTATTTCCTATAAAATACATGTAATGAAAATGTAATTAATAATATATTTGTGATATATAAATATAACATTTTATTGTAATATTTAGAAATTTTTCTATTTATGGATTATAAAAACATTAGGCAATCAGATAGATTATATTATTTTCATTATAATTACAGAAATAGGGCAATACAAGCATTTGTTGATAAAATAAATTTGTCATTTAGTTAGAAATTGCCTTTTATCTGCAATTTCTCCTATAATTATAAAACTGTTTTTATTATTATATGTTTAATTAACATTACCTGTTCCAAATTTTCTATAAGGATGGCCAGCTTTTGAAAATGACTTTTCCAACTGATCGAACCGCCACGCATCACTTTGTCTATTTTTATCATGTTCAGAGTCTACTGCATTGACCTCTCTGTCAGTAACATCCTCGTTAAAAAGCGGTTCAATAAAAAACTGTGCAAACCTACAAAAACATTACAAGTTACAACATTAGAAGACCAATCATGTTGAAAACAAAGTGTGTATACCGGTCTAAAGCTTGGGGCAAATGTTCTGCTGAGACGTCAAAGTAGTAGGAGGTATGTTCGGCCACTGTTGAAGCATTGCTGGAACCACCATGCTCCGAAAGGAATTTGGTATACTCGTTCTCTTGGGGATAGTTTTTTGTTCCAAGGAATAGCATGTGTTCACAGAAATGAGCTAATCCTGGTAGATTGTTAGGATCGCTTAGGAAACCTAAAGGCATAATTGTGGTTTTTTTTTTAAAGAGGTAAGGAAATTAAAAATGTCAACTTTAATATTCTTGGAATGCATATGCACCATTTAACAATAGATAACGAGACAGACGAGTGGTAACAACAGTTAAGGCGTAATCATCGCTGTAAAGGTCCAAGGTTTGAATCCAGGGGCTCTAAATTCAACATGCTGACAAATGGCTTCTTCTTTTTTTTTTTTTTTTTGAAAAACATCGGCATCCCGGGTCGACCAACTACCCATTGATGACATGGACAAGGGGTAAGAACCATTTTACAATAATTTTTACAAATTAATCAAAATAAAAGACCCTTGCTGATGCTCTATGCGAGAAATGGCTCTTGTATGAAAGAATTAATGGTTTGCTTCATGCTCTTTCAAACAACTTATTAGGAAAGGAAGTGGGTGAAGACTCCTTCTATCATTTGCAACAATACCACTACACATTTTATTGTTTATTTTTTTCTTTTGAATTTATAATAAACTTTAGTTTTGTTCTTTCTGGTAGCAAATACAAGCAAAATTTAAAAAAAGAAGTGTTTTACTATGGCAAAAAAAGATGCCAAGACATCGTCAAAGTTATGACTAAATCTATCTAAAAGTTTTTATTTATTTATTTTTGTGTGATGTACCTTTTCCCAAATTACACATTTTCCATTCTGCATACAGAAAAAAAAATTATTTTTTATTTCTGTACAGACGATACATTTATATAATTTTTAATTTTGTAGTTTTATGTAATGATTGTACAATATTATTTTACGAAAAGGAGTAACCAGCAAGGGGGAGACCTATTAGATTAGGTCAGTTTAATTAATACAGAGAGAACAACTATACCCCAACCATCCTCGTTTAGAGCGAGGCATATGGAAGGCGTTATGCTTCCATTTTCCCCCATACAAAAAAATAGGTCTGTCTAGAGGCTGAGGTCCGCCGGTATGGGGTCTCCCACAGGTACGGTGGGGTGGTGGATGGGGGGAAAAACTAGATACATTTGGTAATGACAATACAATTTTCACATTTCACGTTATTGCTTTCCCTGCTTTTCTAAATAGTTACTACTATCGGAGTTGATACTGGGGGTTGTCTGCGAGTTGATTAGCCCATGCTGAACTGGCATTGACATCATCTTCAGATGGACCCAATACATAACACTCAGTGCAGGTTCAACATGCATACCATTGGTTAGGAGGTACTGGGGGTCATCTCCATGTCAGTCACTTGACTGGACCACCCCATGGATCGGGTTAGGTTTTTAATGTACAGTATTTGGAGGTCATTTTGAAGGGTGGTGTTGGAGACTGGTTCTGAGGACTTTGAATTGGAAGGGCTGATTCTCTGGATATTGTAAGATGTTCTCCATAGCCCTAATCAGTATGTCATCCAAATATCAGAACTGGGGATCCAGCTGTACGAAAGTTCGATTCTCACATCGGGTGGCATTCCTACACCCTCTCTATATGGATCGGAAGAATTGCACCCTGATAAGAATTAATTTTTAGTAAAGTTGGTGTGATTATTTAGTTAGTTATCTATTTATTAATTATTATTTCCAACTATTATGTGAAGACAGTTGAGAAGAAAAATTAGTGTCATGTGAAGGACTTGAATAGATGAACTTCGGTTCAATATGCTTGTCCTCTAACCTCTTGAGCTATCGTGACCTCGATCCCCCAAGACACCAACTTCTCTCAATCGGTTATTATTTAAATTTTTCCTGAACCACAAATGTTCGGGATATTGAGCCGAATGTTGTGGGTTCAAGTCCCGCTCATGACACTAATTTTTCTTCTCAACCGTCTTTGCATAAAAAAAGTGTATGCAGTTATTACCTTTTGGCATTTTTAAGATCCCTCATGGGGTATACATGGGATGAACCTGTACTTCGGTCATTTGTAGCCATTTTAGTATGTCAACAGGCTTACTGCAAGTTGACGTGGGTTTTTTTCTACAGCTAGGTCATTTCAGCTCCAACACTTAAAACACACTCACTCTTAAATCCTTCTTTCCTGTTTACATACCATTCACTCAGGATAGAGGTGGAGTACTCGACATTCCTCCATCACCCTTTGCACCTATTATTCAATAACTAACCTAATTGAGAGTCGATGGAGTATTCAACTCCACCATGGGCACTTACACACTAATAAATACATACATCTCAATATATACAAAGAAAAACACAAGGCGAGATATCTAACAATGTGTGGTGGTTAGTTACCGTTAATCGATAATTAGTCAGAAATCATGAGATGCGGTCTGGTGTGATGTAGGTTTCAGAAAAACATTTTCTTTATCGTGCCAACGTTTCCATCTTTACTGAGATAGTCTTACATCCCAATATCTGGACAAGAGAGTAAAGCAACATATCTGATTGCAAAAAACCCAGCAAAATCCTACAGCACTCACTACCCACCATTTTGAACACAAACACAATTTTGACTTCAACAATCCAAAAATATTACACACAGAACAAAACAAACAAACGTAATTTTTTAGAAATGGTTTACATCAACACAGCATCAATTACAGAACAATACATGTAAACTCAGTCGCAGCTACACCAATATCATTAATCAAATTCAATGTAGATAACATACATTTATCATCACATTCCACACATCAAACATTTTTCACAGTCTAATTTTTCAACAATTTAGCTTTCCTTTTCCTATTTATCCCCTTGTATATAATCCTGAAAGGATAATCTGGCCGAACCATTACCAACGTTTTTTCCCTTCGTTGGCTCTTTTCATCTCAAAGAAGCTGACGCCTTATACAAAAATGTCTTTTCTACACCGACTTCCTTTCCCACCCTTTCAAAATCCAACATATATAAACATAAAACAGCAGTGTCTCACTGGCACTTTCAACATGACACGCAAGAATGGCAAAATTACACAGAAGAACAACACTTTGAGTGAACAGAAATACTTTGATTGAATATAAAAAATATATTAAATTTGCTAATTTCGTGGCCTGCTTGATCAATTAATATATTACGATTATCTCAACTAAACTATTAACTGTTTATCTCAACTAAAAAAACCTTAATTAATTGTAATAAAAAATATATTTTACATTGTATAAATTCACTTTTTTTCCACATTCTATATGTACTTGTTAAATGTAAACAATGTTTGTAAATCCCAGGCCTTAAAGATGATCTCAATAAAGATTGAAACGTTGTCCTGATAAAGAAAATGTTTTTCTGAAACCTACATCACACCAGACCGCATCTCATGATTTCTGAACAGCTATATACAATAAAACAGCCACGTTTCCTCCAAAACTAGGAGCAGGGGGCCCAAATACTCACCACTGTGCTTAGGCACAATTCTCATATCAGGTGGGATTCCTACATGGTCTGTTTGAGCCTACAGTTTTGCCTTTGGAAATACAATTATTATATTATGAGACCCTCACCAACATTGACGGACATGGCAGCAGCAGATTTTTCAGTGGACGAGTCGCTGACCACTACGATTTTCATGCCGTTGGTCAGTTCCAATCCTCTGTACTCCCTCTTGTCCTCAGAGGACTTTGTGATATTATCGTATCTCTTTTTTATTTTCGACATATTGGAGCTTAACCCTCGGCTCGAGTAGAAGTAGCTAAAACAGAGTTAAATATTTGCCGATCAAGCAGGTGTAAACGAATGAGAACAATTTTGGCAAAGGACCCTTACCTTTGCGAATAAAGGAGGTCCTGTTTAATACAATTTCCACTAAATCTGGACAAATGACAAGTCCCAGTTAAGATAAATCTTATTGGTAACATAAGGGCAGCCTTTATATTATTCAATTTTGTTTAAACACAAAGTATTTTGTTTTGAAGTTAATAAATATAAATCCATTTCTACAACGACGTTATTTGTCAAGTCAATATATTTATATATAAAAAGAAGGAAAAAAAAATGTAAAATGTTAAAACGTGTATCATTTACCTGCAGTATTGTATTAACTAAGGTAAATATTCTAACGTCATAAATATTCTTCCATTGACAAATCCATATTTTATACCCAACCTACAATGTAATCGATTGAAACGTCTATTTCATGCAAAAATTTTCCCCTTTACAAAATTCACTAAAAAAAATGTATTTGAAGAAGTTTTTTCCAACGTTATTGAACTATAAAGTATCCATACGTTTTAACAGTTCAGAAGATCTGGCGAACGTCGAAAGAATGGGGGCGATCGACAAAGTCTAGCCGAAGGACGTCCCCCCGGAAAACTCCTGACTGAGAAATGTAATTCCACCAATATTGGAAGTTGGAAGTGAATCAGGTGAAACTTAGGATTCGGTAGACAGCAGTTCGACAGGTTATAGTCACGAAACTACACATACGTAACAGAAGGAAACAACGTGTCGAACGAAGCCCATCTGCTGTACAATAGAACCATTAATTTATTTATACATTATACAGACACGTCAAATTACAAAATAATAATAATAATAAACATGTTTATTGACAAAAATTACTTAGACAAAAAGAAATATTTGGCTTTATATGAAGTGACAATGGCTATCAGCCGTCTGTCCAATTGATATAAAATAACGAATGCTGCTAAATACTTAAAAAACAAATAAGTATCTGTAATATCATTATTCAAAAAAGAAACAGGAAATAGACAAAAATGATGATTAAAGCAATTTTACAAATAAATAAATCAGGTCACAGTTTTATCAATTTAATATATTTTGCAAGGACCAGGATATACTGAAATCGTAATCTTTCTTAAGCCTTAAGTCCTTTCTTCTGCTACACCATTTCTATTACATGCTGATCTTAAAATTTTCCTTTCTACAAAATCAATACAAGACCTCTTTTGCAGCAATCTATTGATACAACTTCGTTTATGGTGTCATATGAACTATTTAAAGCTAAACGTTCAGTAAACCAGTCCTTTAAAAAAGATAGTTTTTAATAGACCGCACTCACTCCACCATTCTTCATTAGAATCGTCCTTTCTTACAAGGTCAAGCAAAAATAATTATTTCGCTTCGCACCAAGTAAAAATGGTCAAATCTTTTGTGATCTTAAATCCTTTCATTCTGATACCTTTTCTATTGTATGTTGATAATATTGACTCCTTTCTTGCAACAATCTTTGATAAAAATAGTTCATGGTGCCAATTTGAATGTACATAAATGTACAAGTAATTAAAACTGTAAAAAAAGTATCCTATCAAATAATTGATTTTCTTGCTCGCTAAAGTTGAATGTAAGGAGCATATAACCAGTGTAAAACAGCTCTTAAATTCTGGGTTTTATTATTAATATTCATTATTCATAATCCCAATTCATTGTCAGCGTACAGAATTCATTTCAATTTTCTGCTGTTGTAATTCTTCTCATTTTGGATTTTTAGAATCCTTATTTTTGATTTCCTATCCTTTCATCCTCAGAAGTCAGAACTGGTTTTCTCTCTCTAATCTTCTAGCACTAGTAGACAAAAGGAGTTTTGATCCATTACACAACCTCCATAAATAAAATCAATGGGCGACTAAATCAAACAAATTACATTTTATTCACCAATAAATATAATAATGGGAAAAGGAAATAAGATGTCCAAATATTGTTTTTTTACATCCAGATTTTAATACTATTAAACACAAATTAAAGGCAATAATTTGAGGGATTGTTTTGAAATACAGTATTATATAAAATATTCTTCTATCTTGTTACTTTAATACTTGCAGGGAGAGCATTGAAATTCTAATGTGGGAAACAACCATTATGGCCTGATTTAAAATCCTTCTTGGAGTGAGCATTATAAAAATGGAAGAAAAAAAAAAAGAAGGAAAAAAATCAACATTTTATTTCATTACACAAAATTAACAGTAGAAATCATTGCGATGGGGGTGATGGCAAACTGTTTTTAGCAGCCATCAGGATTTTGAGCATTAAATTTTAATCATCAGGCTGAAAATTACAACACGATTCTCAATGTGGAATATTAGAGTACATGTCTCTCAATGTAAGAGTGGTTGGTAAAATCTGTTATTTACGAAGTTTTCCATAATTAAAAATGTTTTTATTGCAAATCAATCTAGTCCTTTGTAAGTGTCATATTCAATAGCATAAATTGTGTCTTATAAAATTTAAATTATCCTTCAGAATGTTTAATTATTAACAACAATCAAATTAAGTTTTTTATAACTGCATCTAATCCAGTATTGCAATCAGTTCACCAACGAAGATCTAAGTACCTGGAATTTGAAAACAAAATATTATTACTCAAAATAGAATATACATTTCAATATTAAAATTAATTTTTAACTATCAGACCTATCATTCAAAATCAACGTAAATTCATTTAAACAAAAATTTGTCGGCAATTTTGTTTTTCATCATAAAATAACTGCAAGGACAGAATTGTGGAACCAAGTTTTTATTTTATTTCAATTTATTGGGTTGTAAAAAAAGTGTAGCATTTTTCATAAATTTGATAGTAAACCTTTTGTTTTGATGCACTGTACATGAAGCCTTCTTTAAACACTTTCCTATGTCATATTTTTAAAAGAGGTTTTTGGTGAGTTTACATTGTTAACTTCAAATTCCACCCACCTGTATATAACTTGATTTGTATATATTTTTATATATCAAGGTTCACTTTTTTTTAACATTTAATAATTTAATCTTTGTCTGTCTGGGAAATGTCTCATTGCTGGAGGTTAGCCCATTCTTCACCAAGAGTCCTTTTAAGATCGTGTTGTTATCAGGAAGTTATGGGCAACTTGAGGTTGTCCTATAAATGTCCGATGGGGTTCAAGTCTGGAGAATGGGCTGGCCAGGCTGACTTGTTACAGAAACATGGTATGTACAGTAACAATGTTACAATTCATTAGTCAAAACCCAGAATTTTAGAAGAAGAAAATCACAGCGAAACTGGTAACATGTAGTGGAACAAAATGATTAATATATTGTTTACAAGTACATAATATTTTAATTGAATTTACTTTTGCAAAAATGCTACAGTATTTTTTTTAAAGACCTATTATTTATCCAAAATTACATAATTTAGCCCATCAATCTGTATCCTTGCAATGTTATTTGGAAAATTACAATAAATACCAACCTTTTAGCAAAGCCAATTTTTGATCCATATCTGCAGTTTTAAGATCTACAAATACAAAAATCAGCATTTAATAATAGAAAATTCAAACAAAATTATATATTTTTTAAAATTAAATCAGCCCTATCATTTTTAAAAATCATTAGATTATCATTGTTTTTAAATAATTTGTCGGCAAAATTGTTTTTCATCATATTTGTATTTGATTTAAATATTAGCCTACAGAATTTATACTAACTTTTTTGCTTGGATCATCCTTCAAAAACTTGGTAATGGTAACAGTTTTTTATAACCCCTTTCTTCCAGAACCTACAAACAGAATCTTGAATGATTAGGTGTTTTGGTGTATAAAAAAATTATTTCCAAAATTTGATTGAATATCAGAAGGAAGGCAACATTGTTGAATCACCATGGATAGTTTGTAAGCAAAGTACATCCAATGTTTTTTCATCACTTAAATCTTTCCACTTAGCAAAAAGGTGGTTCTACACTGTAGCACAGGCAACCTGAGAAAGAATAAAGCAGGCCTGCTAAAATGCTAGTGTGAACCACCTGAACAAAAATAAAATTTAACTCACCTTATAGAAAAATCAGTTTCACAGCAAACAACCCTTTTCTTTCTGGTTTCTTTTCATCTGCAAAAAATTGGAAAATTATTATTTCTTAATCAAGGTAAATATGTTTGTTAATATAATTATTATTCTCAGACCGCCCTAGGTTGTCCTCAAAGATTTTCAGGATACCATAAACGATTTTTGTACACTAGTTTTTATCATCACCGATACTATTTATGTATAGAAACTTCACATTCAATTTCTTGTGTTAAAATTGCCTTATTAATATTCTCACAAAATAAATGTACAGGTGTAAACATTGAATAGAATGTGCAATTTCGAAGTTTAAATAAAAAATATATAAAAAACACTTACTCCTCCTAACAGTAAAGTTTTGATTTCCAGTCTATGTCTAGTAGAAAGAAATAATCCTGCAACCAAAATAAAAACAATTATTACACATACAACAAAAAAAGTATGTGATTCTGAACAGTGATTAATTCTCAGACCGCCCTAGGTTGTCCTCAAAGGTTTTCAGGATACCATAAACGATTTTTGTACACTAGTTTTTATCATCACCGTTACTATTTATGTATAGAAACTTCACATTCAATTTTGTGTTAAAATTGCCTTACTAATATTCTCACAAAATAAATGTACAGGTATAAGCATTGAATAGAATGTGCAATTTCAAAGTTTAAATAAAAAATATATAAAAAAAACACTTACTGCAAACAGCAAAGTTTTGATTTCCAGTCAAACGTCTAGTAGAAAGAAATAATCCTGCAACCAAAATAAAAACAATTATTACACATACAAAAAACAAAAGTATGTGGTTCTGAATAGTGATTAATTCTCAGACCGCCCTAGGTTGTCCTCAAAGGTTTTCAGGATACCATAAACGACTTTTGTACATTAGTTTTTATCATCACCGATAATTTTAAAGTAGGAAAAACAATAAAAAAAATTTCAGTAAAGAAAAGAAACTTACTTAGATAATTTTTTTTTGTCCATTTCTCTCCAATTGCAATGTCATCTGAAATAAAAGGAGTATTTTTAGCCAAAGCTATCACTACTTCATTCTACGATAATTGCAATGATATATATCAGCAATTGAAAATTTCATCAAGATTCAGAAGACCATCGTGAGAAATAAGTACGTTATCATCACTGTAGTAAAAACATGATCATGCAAAAAGTAAATAAATAAAACAAATATTATTTTATGGTTAATTCTTACCCACAATCTTGTAGCAACTTTGTTTTAATTTTTTCCCATTTTAGCTTCATCTAAAAACAAAAAACAATATTCAGCCAAAGAAATTACCAATCGATTATTGTAGAGTAATGAAAAATATCAGCAATTGTAAATCTCATCAAGAATCAGAAGACCATCGTGAGAAATTGGCAAGTTATCATCATTACAGCTTAACAGATCGGCACAGATGCATAGAAATATACAACTTTGCTTTTTAAATTTGTAGTTTTCTTAGAATAACTAAACATTACAGTAAAATATAATTGTACTTTCTAACCTTGTTATAATTCTTCTTTTTATATAAGGTTTTTGGTTGAGATGAAAAATTATAACCTTGTTATAATATTGCAACTTTGGTGTTGATCCACTTCCATTCCACTTTCATCTATAAACAAAATCTATATTTAGCCAGTCAACGCCATTCATTTTGGTAAAAGGTGATGAAAAAAATATATCAGCAATTGTAAATCTCATCAAGAATCAGAAGACCATCGTGAGAAATTGGCAAGTTATCATCATTACAGCTTAACAGAACAGCATAGACGCATAGAAATATACAACTTTGCTTTTTAAATTTGTAGTTTTCTTAGAATAACTAAACATTACAGTAAAATATAATTGTACATTCTAACTTCGTTACAATTATTCTTTTTATCTAAGGTTTTTGGTCGAGATGAAAAATTATTTCCTTGTTATAATATTGCAACTTTGTTGTTGATCCGCTTCCATTCCACTTTCATCTAAAAACAAATTCTATATTTAACCAGTCAACGCCATTCATTTTGGTAAGTGTGATGGGGGAAAAAATATCAGCAATTGTAAATCTCATCAAGGCATTACAGAAGACCATCGTGAGAAATTGATAAGTTATCATCATGGCAATTTAAGAGAGGGAGAAATAAATAAATAAAATATAAATAATTTAAGAAAATTTTTTTGTTTAATTTTTAGTACATTACAACTATCTTAAAGTAGGTAACAAGTAATAGTGAGCAAGGTAATATATACAAAATTAAAACCAAGAGTTGAGAAAACATCCTTTGGTATTACTCCAATGTTACAAAAATATTGTGTGTTTAATTGATACGTATGTCATCACTTCCTAGATCTCGCGGCCATTGTCTCAGCAGTAGGCAGGGAGGGTTTGAGGGGATTCGTCGGGATGCGAGGTTTCTGATGTGCTGATTTACGTTAGTTGGGAGGTTTTTATGAAATTTACAGTAACCCATTTGTAATTGTTAGATTTCAAATATTTATTGTGGGCTAAAACTATTAAAATGCTAGTGACCATTAAAATTATTAAATTATTTTAGTTTGATTAGAGTTTGCGTTTATTTCCATTTCATTTGTACCTGTGTAACTGGTTATCGCTTGTACACACTTGTTGACTTGACTGTCTATGGACAAAATGTTGATTTTGTCTGTAAATTGTCCCCAACAAATCTAAGATGATCTAAGAGGCATGTATCCAGACTGGTACAAGTCAGCTAAAATGTGTCAGAGATAACAAAACTAGCGGCTTGTATAGGCGGTTGTGTAGTTATAATTTTTGATCAGAAAAAGAAAATAAAACATTTGTAAATTGTGGATCTTTTTTACACACCAGAAGTTTTAATTTTTTTATACCCATATCTTCCAAAAATCAGCCTCTTCTTATTGAATTTTTTTAATGTCTGATGTAACATCCCATAAGCAACATCAAGTATTAAAATCTATATTAAACGTCTTTGTGAACCACATTACATATTTGTAAATTCATAGTTGAGTTCACAGTGAGATATAAGATTTATTCATTGTAAGAAGTAATTTGGTCAATCACACCACTAAATATAATGGATTTTATTTAAGCAAAACAAAAATATATTGGGTTGTCCGGAAAATAATGCAGGATTTTAAGTTTTCATTAAAAAAAATCTATATAAAATATTCTGTTTACGTTTACAGGATTACTCATTTGTATGAATGTCAACACTTATTAATCCTCTTCCAAATGATATTGTTTGTTTACCTCTGTAGCATTCCGCTACTTGGAAATAATTCAGTCATCCTTATAATGTCAAAGCGAGAATTTCGTACGATTTTCTTTTACGAGTTTAAACTCGGCCGAAGCGGAGCCCAAACGGCTAGAAACATTAACCAAGTCTGGGGCGAGGGTTGTGTTAATGAGTGCACTGTGCAAAGGTGGTTTAAAAAATTTCGGGAGGGAGATTTCAGCCTTGAAGATGAAGAAGGTCGTGGAAGGCCTTCCTCTCTTAATGATGATGTTCTGCGATCAGTGGTGGAAGAAAACCCCAAAACAACTGTTCGAGAACTTGCAGAGCAACTCAAAGTCAGTAAAACGACCGTCGCTGACCACCTCAAGGCGATTGGAAAAGTGAAAAAACTCGAAAATTGGGTTCCACACTCATTAAACGATCGCCAAAAAAATCAGCGCTTTGATGTTTGTGCATCACTTCTTTGTCGAAACAAAAATGACCCATTTCTGGCCAGAATTGTTACATGTGACGAAAAGTGGATTCTCTACGATAACACTAGACGTTCTGGACAGTGGCTCGACAAAGGAGAAGCTCCAATACATTTTCCAAAGCCCCCAACTCATCAAAAAAAGGTAATGGTTACGGTATGGTGGGCTTCATTTGGTTTAATACACTACAGCTTCTTAAATCCTGGCGAAACCATCAATGCTGAATCATACTGTAACCAAATTAATACCATGCATCAGAAATTGGCAGTAATGAAGCCCTCTTTGGTCAATCGGAAAGGGCCCATTTTGTTGCATGACAACGCTCGACCACATGTGTCACGTGTAACGTCACAAAAATTATTGGAGCTTGGCTATGAAACTTTGCCTCACCCACCCTACTCTCCGGACCTCTCGCCTACTGACTACCATTTTTTTAGACACCTGGACCACTACTTACAACACATAATATTCAAAAATCAAACGGAACTGGAAAATGCATTTATTGACTTTATCAATTCTAAAAATTCTGAATTCTACTCAGACGGAATTAATAAGTTACCAACACGTTGGGAGAAATGTATTGAGAGTATGGGAAATTATTTTGATTAAAGAACATTGCTTTAAAGTAACTAGTTTCTTTTTTTTTGTTTAATACCAAAATCCTGCATTATTTTCCGGACAACCCAATAGTTGTATAGATATAACGCATATTCGTACTCTAGCCCTAACGGTGCACCTTCACGTGGCCTTCAGTATCCCACGTGGCAAACTAACCTCAAAACATACTTATCCAAAAATATGAAAATATAAGAAATAACGTTAATTATGTCTACAAGAACAAAGAGCAAATAATAAAATAAAACCAGACATGTCGTACACGTAAAAATAAAAGATTGAAAATAAAAATTCGTGTACAAAAATGATGTAAAATCATAAGGAATAAGTCTTGGCTACTGTATTATAATAGTTTATGAACAGCTATTGAAACTGGACTGATCCTGGTGAAAAGCACCACGTGGTAAAATGGCCTAAGCGTTTCCTATGTTCAATTACAACGAAAAATAATACAACATATAGAAAAGCTTTTAAAGTATAATAATTATAATAGAACAATAGAAATCGGTTAATTTTGAATATAGATTTTATAAAACTTACCTCAATACGAATTTCGAACAACCTCGACAACGTACCACAAACAGGTTCAGCATTGAAATGGAAGAAACGAAGGACGAACTTCCACAACCCAGAGTAAAACCTAATGCGCATGCGCGTTCACGTTAAACGGAAAACTTGCTGGAAATTAAGTTCCACTGAGGACTTGATCCATCCAAATATTTATTTTACTACTTATATAAACGCTTAGAACGATTTTTATCAATTATAATTAAATAAAGTTATTTATGTTTATAAATTAGATATTCAGCGACAATCAAGTTTACATGCTATTCGTATAATAGTTGTCTCAATTATTATTTATATTACTGTAGGTGGTTGAAAAGTTCAAAATTTAGTACAATTCAGGGATATGAGAAAAAAAAGACTGTATTTAATGGAATAATTTTTTTTTATAACTGATCATCAGTAGTCGATACTCGATAAAACAACCCAGGACACGGACACCAATTTTGTGCCGACTGGTCGTTTAGTTTAAAGAGTATTTAGGGATGGAGTTGTTATTTGGTCTGGTGAATTAACTAAAAACCATTCTTTATGACATCGAAAATGTAAGCTAATAAAGAAGAAAAAAAATTTCATTGTAAACCGTTTTTTCCTCTGGCCTGTTATTTTTAATTTAAAACAGAACAATGTTTGGTTATGATTGAACCGTATACAATTCTTAGCAGGGGTTCAAACAAATGAAAAAATTCCATTTTGATGGATAAAAAAAAATGTTTTTATAAGTGTTGAGAGATTGTTTTGAGGGCCGGTGAACCTTAACAGCTAGCGGCTAGCCTCTAAACAGCTGTCTCATCCGGCACGGCGACATCTTGGAATTCAACTGTTCCGCCTTGATTTTGTGTTTATTTGGTACAGTGTTTAATTTCGACCGATTCGTCAAGGTATTCGCCAGTTCCAGGCCTGAACGTAAAAATTTCCCACACACGTTATTCTTCGGATTTAATAGCCGTTTTATACAAAACTGACCGGCATGGCTTCTGCGATGGACATCGACGAGGAGGAAACCGAAGTTGGCAATTCGAGTGCGACTAAAGGAGAGAAAAAGAGGTTCGAAGTGAAAAAGGTGAGGATGCTCTAACGGATCGTATGTTCCATACGAATTTGTATTGATTCGATTTCGTTCAAATCGTCGGACCTAATGGTGAACTGCACTTAACAGTAGTTCTACAAATAAACTCATAAATTGGAATTAGATATAAACCGTCTTTGCCTTACAACTCAAAGTCTCGGTGAAAATTTAAATGGATTCATGTTTTTGCTGCTGCAAAATCCCTGAGTTGAACTGGATGAGTCTGTGCAAAATGACCAATTCTCTCTTGACAGCTATGTTATAGAAAGTAGTATTTTGTGGTCTCATACAACACTTATTGTATCTAATTCTAAATAAATATAATTGTAATTTATATATAATAATAATTAAACGTTCTTTGCCTCACATCTCAAAGCCTTGGTGAGAGGTATTCATGTTTTGTTCTCGGGATATCTTGGTTCAAACTGGATGAATCCATGCAGAATGATCAATTCCCTCTTGACAGCTATGTTCTAGAAAGTAGTATTTTCTGGTCTAATACTATGTCTGGTACAAGACCTATTGTATCTAATTCCTAATAAATATAATTTGGAATTTTCAGTGTAAAAATAATAACCGTTCTTACCCTTACATCTCAAAGTCTTGGTGAGAGTGTATTCATCTTTTGTTATTGGAAAATCTTGGTTCGAACTGGATGTGTGTGCAGAATGACCAATTAACTCTTGACAGATACTTTCTTTCTAGAAAGTAGTATTTTGTGGTCTAATACTGTGTCTGATACAAGACCTATTTATTGTATCCAATTCCTAATAAATATAATTTGGAATTTTCAGTGTAAAAATAATAACCTTTCTTACCCTTACATCTCAAAGTCTTGGTGAGAGTGTATTCATTTTTTGTTGCTAGCTTAAGTCGAGCTATCATATCTTCTTTATGTATAGTTCAGCTTCATCATTCCTCTATGAATTTCACACATAAAATGTCCCAAATAATTTTTCCTTAAGGAAGAGTTTAGCTCTTCATTCTGTTAGTAAATCTTTTTTGCTTTTTAACAGAATCTACACATCCCATGTTCGTTGGGTGTCTGATTCTTGTATAGACCCGCTCAGTTCTGGGTTTGAATCTTATGCCTTTGAAATTTTATATGATAATTATTGAAAAAGAAGAAGTAAAAATAAATAAATTTCCCAATATTCCTGCAGGAATCGAGTAAATGGCAACTGTTTTGCACTCCTTGTGCAGATTTGTGGTACGAGTTTCTTTTGCTTCCACATATAAACAATATATTCTTCATAAGTACATGTTTCTAGGCTAAAGAAAACTTTTTGTTTCTAAGTTTGTACTTACAGTATGAAACTGAATTCTTTCTAATGTCTATGAGGTCCTTTCAACTCGCTTAAGTTTGACGAGAGATCTTTCAGCAATTATTACTTTTCAAAATTTATTTTCTTATAGAAATGCCTTTAGATTTAAAACTTCGTGACTGTCATGGTTATTTCCCTTGCAAGATTCTCAGTTTCTGTGAGCGCTGGAATTCGGTTAACTTAGACTGGTGTACAATCACAACTTGTTTCGTTTGGTCTTGTAGTTCAGAATCATTTTCAAACTGCTGATGTTAAAATTCTGTGCCTTAAATAGTTGTTTTTCTACTATTTCTTCATCAGAATAATCGTTTATTGCCTGATAGATCTCACTAAAATGTATCACTATCAACAGCTGGAATATCAGTGTACATACACAAAGGGTCATATTATTTAATCTTTGGTCAAAACGTCCCTGTACATAGTTAAATTACAGATTTGTCAGTGTACCATGCTGATTTGTTAACGAGTAATTTTCTCCCCTTTCAGTATCCAGTTTGTTTTGTCCATGAAAAAGAATTATAACTAACAACTGATCTGCTGCGTTTTAATTGATAAAAATTGTTTTCTTATTTCAGTGGAATGCTGTTGCCCTTTGGGCTTGGGATATTGTTGTAGACAATTGTGCTATTTGCCGCAACCATATTATGGATTTATGTATAGAATGTCAAGCTAATCAGGCCTCTGCCACAAGCGAAGAGTGCACCGTCGCCTGGGGCGTTTGTAATGTATGTTAATTATGACTTTGTTTTTCCTTAATATACAAGATTGAATTATTTATTATTCTTTTTAGCACGCTTTTCATTTTCATTGTATATCAAGATGGCTCAAGACGCGACAAGTCTGCCCCTTAGATAACCGAGAATGGGAATTCCAAAAGTATGGATTTTTTTTTATTTGATGAATCATTTTACATTCTCATTTTAAAATGTAATATGTTTATTTTGTTCCAGGTATGGTCATTAATTAATTAAATAAAAAAATACACTACACTTTTCCAGCTCATCTCCTTTTATCGACATTTCAAAAGCTCTCCAGAAGTTCGCCTTTTATAAAGACATGAAGAATAAACATTATGCTTTATTTATTAAAATTATTTTTGAAAAATAAAAATCATTTGTAAAATTCTGTTTAAATAAATACTAATTATGTTTACAATTACTAAGACTTAGTCTATTTTCTTTTTTGGCAAAACAAGTCAAAGTGAATCTCTTCACATTAAAAGTAAACAATAAAATTTATACTATATACAGTTTTTTTAACCACAATTTTTTTAATCTTCCCCTGTTGTACTGGGTGCTTCAACAAGCCTTAAAAAAATTTGAGAATTCTTTTTGAGGTCAGATTGATGAACCTGTAGTTTGGTAGTTTCCAATCATTTTGGACTTGACTACTTAACAAATGAGTAGAAAAAAAGATAGATAATCACAGTCTGGACTAAAAACCAAAGCCATCGAACAAAAACCATAAAAAAAAATTCAAGCCCACCTATGATATGAGGCCAAACCCATATGACATATCATAGTGGTGATAGGAAAACCAAAATCATCAGAAACAACCAAATACTAATTAATGAGTAAATTTATTGATTTTGATCATTTTAGCTAGTCAATCTCCCTGTTTTGGTTTGACAGATCCTTTTGCCCTTCTGCTATCATAAATGGTGGGTTTTTATGATATGTAGGCAGTTTATCCTTTCATTAGTTTATGTAATAATGTCAATTTTCTTCTCCTAATCGTTTTGGTCAATTATCTTCTCTGTTTTGGTCTGTTAGATGCATATAGGCTTGTCACCATCTTTACTGGTTGGTTTTGTTTCTGTGATATTTTGGCAGTTTTGCCTTTGTAAGTTTGTGAATAGTTTAAATGGTAATTTCCAATGTTTTGGTCCAAATATCCTCTCTTTTTTTGGTCTGTCAGATGCATTAAGGCGTATTGCCATCTTTACTGGTTGGTTTTGTTTCAGTGATATTTTGGCAATTGGATCTTTTTAGAAGTTTATAATTATATAAATGGTCTTTTCCAATCATTTGGTCCACCTATCCTCACTTTTTGATCTTTTAATGTGTTATATTATTTTATAAGTTTGTAAATAATATAAGAGGTCGTTTCCAATCATTTTGGTCCACGTATTCTCTCTTTTTTGGTCTGTCAGATGCATGTAGGAATATTGCCATCTTTACTGGTTGGTTTTGTTTCTGTGAAATGTTGGCAATTGCACCTTTTCAGAAGTTTATAATTATATAAATGGTCGTTTCCAGATCCACATATTCTCAATATTTTTGGTCTCTATGATGTGTTATATTCTTCTATAAGTTTGTAAATAATATAAATGGTCATTTCCGGATATCGTTGCTCCTTCTTGTTGTTTTGGTCATCCTTGTTTGATTGTTTTATCATTTATCAGTAGTGCATTTGAATGTTTTTGTTCTAGGCCTTGCATTCAGGCACCTCTTTTTCCTTAACCATTTATTTTGTAGGTAAACAGAAAATAAAAATAAATAAAATTAGAAACTAGTTAGTGAAAGCTTGCAGACCTCAAGAGAAAATTTGTTTAATGAATTTATGATAGTTGCTAGTGTCAAATGTAAAAATGATATTGTTTCCAGTTAAGATTAAAGTACTAGGTGATTGCAAGAAGAAAAGTTTATTGGTAAGCCTAAAGAACTAAGAAGGTACAAACCCCACTCCCTAGTATTATCCATCCATCCATCCATTGTTAAACCAAGTGTCCAATTTTATTTGATGAGATGTTTACCCCAAAAGGCAACCTTCGTTATTCAATACACAAGGCAATGAAACCTATTAGGTCACCCGACAAATCTTTCACAAAATTTGAAAATAGGCGCGCAAATACATTTACTAATTAGTAAATTCTGTAACTTCCTCATTATTTCATAAACGCATAGTATCGAATTTGACGTTTTAAACCTCTATAGCCCAAGAACAAGCACATTTACAAACTGTTAGAACAACCTTTTAAAAAAGATTAAACAACATACCCTACCTTCAACTTTTCTATTACATTGTTCGAAAAAAACATAAAAAACAACGTGATTTTTAAAGTATTGAATACTAATACATTATCTTTGAGGGAAGCATGCAAAATAATAATTTCATCTTTTACAATAACTCGACAAGTGTCGAAATTTTTATTGCTCGTTTAGTACAGCAGTGAGCAGACATACCAAGGCCTACCGAGTACCAAGCATTTGCAGGTCGGTAGGTTACCTATGCGCCTAGTTTGTACCGTAGGTTATGCTGTTGGTTACGTGTTAAGGTCTGGTTGGCAAGTCCGGCGGTTTATTAATTCGGATTGCGTACATTGTCGTTATTTACCAAAGAAAAATGGTTTCGTTAATTAGCACAATAGACACAGGACACGAGGATTTCGTTAACGATGCTGAAATAGACTATTACGGCCTCCAGCTTGCGACCTGCTCCAACGATCACTCCGTCAAAGTTTTCAGCATCAAAAATGGGACGCAGTCATTAGTAGCTGAATTAAAGGGCCATTACGGTCCTGTGTGGCAGGTACTCATTGCGTAATAAAACAATACCATACAATAAAACATAATACCTACTAAAAAAACAAAAACATTCCATGTAGTAGTGGTATAAATAAACTGTGAGCAACAAGTATGTTCAATGTTTTATTGTGAATCTTAATAATCTTTAGCGTTATTGAATCAATTTATGTTTGTAATGGCTAATTTGGAATTGTTTTAGGTAACATGGTCTCACCCGAAATTTGGCAATATGTTGGCTTCGTGTTCATATGATAGGAAAGTGATCGTTTGGAAGTTAAACCGTGAATGGGGCAAGTTACATGAGTTTAGTAACCATGAAGCATCTGTCAATTCTGTCCGGTTTGCCCCTCACGAATACGGCCTTGTTCTCGCATGCGGGAGCTCTGATGGCACTATATCAATTCTATATTCCAACCAAGACACAGGTATTTGGGACGTTAAGAAGATAAACAACGCCCATGCCATCGGATGCAACACCGTCAGTTGGTGCCCATCCGGAAAGAAGAAACAACTCGTGAGTGGTGGCTGTGACTCACTTGTCAAGATATGGCAGGAGGAGCCAAACGGGTGGGAAGAGAAGATTAAGCTCGACTTCCACTCCGACTGGGTCAGGGACGTCGCTTGGGGCCCATCTATATGCTCGCCGAAGAGCACAATCGCCTCGTGCTCACAAGACAAACGAGTCATTATCTGGACCAATGAAAACAAAGGATCGGAAAACTGGGTGCCGAGAGTGCTTCACACGTTTGATGATGTTGTATGGAACCTGAGCTGGTCTCTCACTGGAAATATACTTGCTGTATCTGGCGGCGATAGCAAAGTCACTCTTTGGAAAGAGAACACAGAAGGTCATTGGACCTGTATCAGTGATGTCAATAAGCCTCATACCGCCCACCAACCCAATGAACAAAGGGCATTGTAAAATCTCGTTTTTTTTAAAAATAGATTATTTAAATTTAACTTATAAATATATTACTTGTGATTTTCCTTTCTTTCTTAATTAATGTAATGCCAAATTATACTTTGTTAAATTGAAGATTTTTTAAATATTTAACCATCCAATCTCTTTAGATGGCAACTTTCCCATTGAGAATGCTAAATTTTACATTAAAAAAATGTTAATGCAGAAACAACATACGATTTACTAGTAAGCTTAATTTTCGTGCATTCACCAACAATTAAGATTTAAAAATTAATATAAGGCAGTTGTTTATCTGACCTCTATTTAACGTAATTTAATTTTCAAGAAGAAACATTAATAAATATAAATCTTTTTTACTTCAACAAAAAATATAGTATTTCATTTTAAAAATTAATTGATTGAATTCAAAATTAAGCACAATCTGTATTCATCCAAGATAATAATTATTGAATTAGATGTTATTTTCTTCCTTTGGCAACACTAATTGTTTTTAGAAATTAAAGCTTTTGCAAAGGCAACAGAAAGTTTGACAGTATTTTATTAGGCTAATTATTAATAATTAATATAATTATTAATATAATTAATTCCAGTTCCATTCCAATAAAAAAAAAACAGGTTGAATGTTGTTACCTTCGTCGTGCTCAATTATTTCAAAATGTTCAGGTAGGTTGTTCATGGGCTGAGAGGGATTTGTTGGGTTGGCTGTTTGGTTTTTGATTATGTGCATCTTTAATTAAGTTTAATCACCTATATGATTGTAATGAGTTTGTTAAGTTTTAAATTTAATAGTTAAGTAAAAAAATAAAATATTTTTAAGAGATTAAACCAATAAAAGTGCGGAGGAAGTATGTGGATTTTTAATTGTTGTGCATTCTGTATTGAACCAAAATTCAATAGAAATAAATTGTAAGTTTTATAATACAATAAAGAAAAAATGTATATATTACATATTTTTTAAAGGAAAATGCATTTTATTTTTGTATGTGTACATAAGTAAAAATTTTCATCAATGAGGATGACGCGATGGATAGAGACATGCGAATAGACAAGTGGGCAAGAAAGAATAAGTCAGGGTAGAGCAACAGGTAGAATTATATAAAGTAAATCAGTAGTGATTGTTCTATTTTTTTTTTGTACTAATCAAATTCCAAACATGAATCAATTAGTAATTAGCATTACACTTTGCCAATGCCTTAGCTGAATTTGATACCAGTCTGTCCTAATGGCGAATTACAATGTAAACAATCTAATTATAAAAAAGGCCACTTTTTCTAGTCGATTGATGCAATTGTATTGTTGCATTTTAGCCCCTCCCCATTAAAATTAAACAGTAACATTTTAATAAAAAGTCCATACAAGTACTAAAATACATCATTTAATAATTATTAAAACAATCGATTACTTAAAAATTAATAGAATATCTTATAAAATTACAGTTCTCTCCTTTTCTTTTGTGATGAGGTGTTAAGTTCACTTCAATTAGAAAATACAGTTTGTTTCTTTCTTCTCCGCTGAAAAATCTTAAATCTACAGGAAGTTTCCATTTAGTTGCACACGGGTACTACCACAGTTCCCCTTCTTTTTCTTTAGTTGGCACTTCAATAACTCTCGGCTTGTCGATTATTCTTGCCGTCCTCATCCCTTTTTCGACGATTCCAATTATCCAAGCCTGGTATCCTTCTTGTTTTTCAATGTCTTTACAATATGCAGCTGCTTGCTCACGTGGTAGGCATATTAAAAGACCTCCTAAAAATCACAGTAAGCAATAAGAAAAGTACATTCGGAATTTTCACTTTTGTTCTTAATTACCTGAAGTCTCAGCCGAGTGGCCTTGCAAGAGTTGGAACATGTTTCCGCATGCCTTTGCGACAGCTGCCATTTTTGCGATAACAGGTAGATTGTGTATCACAAACGAAACTTCGTTTTTCTGGTGTTTAGCCAAAGTTTGCGCATGCCCTAGAAGACCGAAGCCAGTAACGTCCGTTGCACCGTGAGCATTATATTTGTGCATTAGTCTGGCAGCTAGAAAATAAGTACAATAAGCAAAACTTGTAAAAATAAAATACATTATTTGTAACATACCGACTCTATTCAGTCTAGCCATAGAGTCCATTGCTCTCTGATAAGCTTTTCTCACGTCCTCTTCTGATACAACTAGTTTTATCCTATTCCACCTTTCAGGAATGTCTAGCCACTGATGTGCGTTGACAGCTACCTGAGTTCCTAGGGGTTTAGTCAGAACCAGCACATCACCAACTACTGCATTATCAGGCCTGCAATATGCGTTATAAAATAATATCTTAACTGGACTAATTTATTAAACGATTCAGTTCAAAACTGACACTATATATTCGTTGGGTTGGCAAACTGTTGATGCCACTCCGCCTATTGTGCACCACGGGTTTACAACGGTCTGTCCTCCTGTCACAGTAGTACCAGCTTCCATGGCAGAATCCTTTGAAAGAAAACTTTTTTTTCCTATATCCGTTTATTCAAACTGGTAATACAAACCTTGAATCCGCGCATAATCAGTGGCGTAACAACATCTCGCTCGCGCTCGGTCATTTTTGTTGACACGGCAAGGAGCATAAGCATGTTGTCACACTCTGTAACTCCCATGGCATACATGTCGCTGAGTACATTGGCACAAGCAATTTTGCCTGTAAAAGCTCATACTTAGAATCAATATTAGGAGTAAAATTTGCATTAGGTATTAATCTAAATAAACATGGTACATAAAAAATATAAATATATTACTAATGCTTTTAATACCTTTTAATTAGTATTTTACTAACCCATCATATAAGGATCATCAACAAGTGGATATATAAAATCTGTTGTCTGGACGAGGGAAAGCCCACCATGTCTCAAAGGGGTCACACAAGAGTCCATTCCAATACCTACAAAATAATAAATAAATTATTTAACAATAAAATGATGGTGGCATTCAGTATATTTTATAAAATAAGATGAAATGATGAAAATACAATGTTAAAAGTTGAAAAATGATTATATTTTACAAATATGATAAGATCACTAAGGATTGTAAAATTAAAAAAAGATTTATCTTTGTGGAATGATAGAAAATTTCATGGAAGATTTGGACATAGTCTTTTTGGAGCAAAACATCCTTCCCATTCAACAAAACAACAATTCTAATCTAAATAAAACCGTGAGCAAGCTTGATTTTTATATTTTCATCTGGCAGCTGTTACAGTAGGCTGATAATGAATAGATAGACCGAATCCTCAAGTAACATTTTTTATTTAACTTATATCATCTAGACTGGTGTTCAGATTGCTTGTAGGTGAAGCCGCTAAGGGGGAACTAAAATTCTTTTAAAGTTGGCTTTTTGGAATATTGAGCTGTCCACTCTCAGTTGTTCTTGAACTTTTGAATTTTTCATGCAAAAGTTTTCAAAACTAGTATATCCAGGAAAAAATCTTCAGCCAAAGCATCACATTTTACACAATTTTACAAAATATTTTACCATCCCTAACCAGATGGTAACCCTGACTGACAAGAATCAGATTTTCTTTGATCCAACAAACAACTCTGACCTTATTCCTTTGGATTACTGCTTTATTCTAGTCCTTAGCTGACTTTTTGTTAAGTAACTAAATCAGTTTTTTTACTCTTGAAAAACTCATGAGGCATTGCAAAATTTCTATGAAAAGTATTTTTCATAAATACCTAGACAATCATAGATTTTTAATTCAATTACTGTTTTATTTAAAACTGGTCTTGACAAAGGTGTTAAAATTTGTTATGATAAAACATGTGATTTAAAAAAATCCAAGTTTTGTCATTATTTTGTATCTGCTGATTTGATTTTTTCAACCAACAAAAACATACAATTTTCACAAGAGTAAAGCACTAATTTTTGTAAATGACTTGATAAATGTATCACATTCACATCCATATTTTATGTATATATATAATATACCAAACATTGGTACTATAGAATGTGGTGAATCAATCAAACCCACAAATATTTTCCATTCATGATAAATTTTAATGACTGGTGCATATTTTTTTAAATAAAATTATATAACATCTGTGATAGAAAATTAATTAACATCTTATTTAATTTTATTGCGGAGATTAAAGGGAATTGATATTACCCACTAGGACCGATTTAATTAAAAAAAATATCAGGTCTTTTGATGAGTTTTTTTACTGGCCACAAAAATTACAAGACAAACAAATGAATGTTAAATTTTCATATTGCTTTCTTCTTTTCTGGCATAGTTTTATAAAGTTACATACTTAAAGTTGTTGGACTGCAAGTCAGCGAACTTTAGAGTTATATATTGTATATATTTTTGCTATAATCAATGTACCATTTTTAATTTTTTGATAATGATTGTCATATTAATTATTAGATAATATAATGGAGTAATTCTTGTCAAATATACCCACTAGGTGTCATGGATGAGTGTTATAAATCATTCAACAATTCTTTTTTGCATAAATATTTCCAATTAAACAGTCATGGGCTAGACCTAGGAACATAGAACTGCTTGGATTTATTTTATTTGTTGAAAGTTGGAATTAGACTTTCAACAGCAAGTTGTGAACTCCAGGGTTAGACCTCGGTGGATGTGGACTTCTTGATTTTATACAAAATACATATTGTAATTTGTGATTATTGTTGGCTAGATAAAATAAGAGAAACATGTATTTTCATATTTTGACATGTCTTTTTTCCATATAAAATTGCAGTTTGATTTTTTTTTTCCCGCGGTCTTGATATTAGAAAAAATACCTTTATTAGTAGGTTAACTTATTTTCTCTCGTGTGATTGGAATTTGTATTTTATTTTATTTATTTTTTTTTTTTTAAATTCAAGAGGAACCAAATTCAGTGGACAGGTTGGACAAGACCGAGGTCTAAACCTATAGTTCACAAATTGCTGTTGAAAGTCTAATTCCAACATTCAACAAATAAAATAAAAAACTTTTTTAAAGAGGATATTAGTTTTGTATCTCTCTGAAATAAATCTTCTTCTCTTTAATTTGTCAAGTAATAATATACTTATGTATACACTGACATATGTGCATCAACACGGACTTTCTCTTTCTCACGGGCTCCAATGACTTCAACCTTTCCTTTGACAAAGAATTTTTTTGCAGACACATGCACCCCACCCCTTATGACCTTATACAGAGACCTGGCTTCACACAACACACTGAAGATGGCAAAATGCTGAGACACGTCTGACAGACTAGCCCAATAAGGGCAAGCTGACCAAATTAGAGGTCCATCATCTCACAGAGATATTTCATAAATGTACACGTATATTGTGACATTTTCTAGGAGTCCTCACGGTGATGAAATTTGTAGTTTGGTATTTTCCAACAAACATGCATTGAAGATAGTAAGAAGCCAACATGACCGAGAATGACAAAACTACAAATACATTCTTTTTTTAAAATATATTTTCCTTGCCTTCTACAAAACAAGCTATAAATAGCAATAATAATAAATTTGAATAGCATATTTATGATTATAACGACTTGTGTTTATTTTAGACAAGATAAAATGGCAGTAAAAAAATAAAATCAATAAATTCCTGTCATAGGAAATTCACATTAAACAGATATGCCTTACTAATTCCACATGGGTTTTTTATTTCAAAATAATTGAATCCATGGTTCTAAGCATTTGTTTATGTGCATTGTTCCGCCGTCCACATTTGGCATTAAGCCCCACAGGTCCGAGATTGAAAAGCAAACTGAACCGGGATATCTGGGGATGATTCCACGAGCCGACCGCTGGGGAATCTGGACAGGTTTTCAGTCAAGTAGAAAGTTAAGACGAGTGTGAACGACCAAAGTTAAGGTTCGCTTTCTTCTTAAAACTGATTAACCTCTGAACTTTAAATAATAACAAAATTAACTAATTAAAAGTTATATTTAATTATAACTAAACCATTAAAAAAAAAAAAAAAAAAAAAAAAAAAAAAAAAAAAAAAAAAAAAAAAAAAAAAAAAAAAAAAAATCGCTGCTCCATAAACCATAAGCTCCTAGAAATGTCATCTAATTTCAATAAATTGTCAGTCTGAATAATCGAGGTTAGATTTTACCATCATGACACTCGAAACTAAGGGGATAGTTTGATTCTGCCTGTGTTTATGTTAACTTAAGATTTTTAGTTTTGTGTGCTGGATAGAACAACACTTCAAAAGTTGAAAACAGCTACTATTTATAAAAATAATTCATGTTAAACAAGAGATCTTAATGTTCACTACCCGTGGGTGTCGTGGACGAAAGGTCACACCAACACTTTTACCCAAATTATTCTCAATTAAAAAGCTATGTGTTATGCCAGAATTTAGGGCGTTTTCGTTTTGCCCGGGATTCCAATACTGCTAGTTTAGGAAATACAAATAATATGCCCTTAACCACTAAACCACTGTGGTCCCTTAAGGGCAGCAACAAGCCCAAGTTCAGCATATTTTGTGACTAACTATATTGTAAATTTGCTGTTTATTTGTATATACAGTTTTGTTTACCCAAAGATTAACTTGTTTTCACTTTGACTTTTGATTCTTTAACGATTTGTTTAAGTTGAGAGGAGAGGACAAGAAAGAAGTATTTTAGAATTTAAAAAACCTTTCATTTTTTACCGTTTGACCTTTATTTGGGGCATTTCAGGCCCTGGGTGAATTACAAAACGTGTTGATTGGAAGTGGAGTGTTTAGTATTTGTACTTTGTCAAAATCAAAGTTGTGTTGTTTTTTAAAATGGTGTATGGCCAATGAGTTGGATTAGGTTTTTGGTGTTTTACAATCATAGATATGACGGTCCCCCCCTTTATATATATATTGCGATGTAATTCCAATTGTGAGTTGTATAATCCATACGATTAATTTTATAAATTACATCAGATTTGTAGGCTGTTGGTGTTGGGTCTTTGATTTGAAAAAAAGTGAGTGCATTATTTTGAGATTTTTGAAAGCTATTTTAATGTATTATGAGGAAAGAAATTTACTTAATTTGTGTGACAATGTTGGACGAATGGAATTAACAATTATAATGGTTTGTCTTTGAGTGATTGAGTTGATGATGTGTTGTGTATTACGGAGGTTGTTTTGTTTAGTGCTAGGTTATAATTGTTTGATTCTGTTAATTATGTTTTTGGGGCAGTTGTATGTAAAGTTGTGTAAAAAGTTGTATGTAAGATCTGTTTGTATGTGAAAGGACTCATGACTTAGGGATATGATTTTGCGTAATGAGAACGTGAAAATGGCCCAAATAAAGGTCAAAATGTCGATTTACAAAGAAAAATAAGTTTTTCTAAAATACTTCATTCCTGATCTCACCTCATGACTTCAACAAATTATTGAATAACCGTCACTAAAAATCACACTTTTTTTTAAAAATATTAGATTACAAAAAATATAAAATAATCAACAACTTTTCTTAGGGAATATTAACTTATATTTCTCACGTATAAACACAATTCCTCTTAACTCACAATGAAATTATGGTTATTTTCTTTATAAACTAAAAAGCGACTTCTTGTTAAATAATTGAACTGAGCATGATTTTCTTGCAAAATCCGCCATTCTTGGTAGATCTTAATTTTTCTTTTTGACGTCCTTCATAAAACTTGTTAATTTATACACATTATATCGTAGAAACAATCTGCAAATGAAGAAAAATCAAAAGGTGGTACGAACTTATTTCTTAAACTGTTCAAAAATTATAGGGATATTTGTACTTTATTCTATTAATTTTAATTAAATTAACCAATATATTCTTGTTAGTTTGATAACACAAAATAGAAAATACAAACAAAAAACAAAGAAATGTTAACCTTCATTTTTAATAAGAGATTTTCTTAAGAATAGTAAACACCAAGATTACATTTTGTACACAACACTTTTTCTTGTCTTTTCTCCATTTTAATCCAGGTGTTTTCTCTTTAACCATGGAAAGACATCATCTTGAACCTGAAGTTCACAATATTATTGTAAGAATAAATCATTGAGGTCACTCAATTCAGTAAATGAATATTGCAAGAGGCATTTGGCATTTCTCAGAGCAAGGTCTCCCAGACTTTAGCCTGATTCCGTGAGATAGAAGTGCCATCAGGAGACCTGGAGTGGATCTCGGTGCATTATGGTGCTAAGGAAGGACAGAAATATTGTCATTGCTGCAATACGGAACCCTTTGCATAGTGATTGCCAAATCCTAAATGAAGTAAAAGATGTTTTGACAAGGCCTTTATCAACACAAACGTAATCGTTTGTGAGTTGGCCTCACATTGTATACCACTTTGAGACGTCCTGCAGCAACAGCACAGCACCAGCAACTAAGGAGAATATGGTGCAGCAAGCGCTTAGAAGAGAGCACCGATTGAAATGCTGTTATATTTCCTGATGAGTCGCACTTCTGTCTGTATATAGATGACGGACCTAAGTCTTCCGAGAACAGGGGATGGGTACAATGCCCCCTTCAGTGCAATTTGGAGGAGGCGGGTCTGGGTTGGGATTTACACTGGAGGATGAATTGATCTACTTATATTTGAAGGCAACTTCATCGCAGTCCGTTATTATCGAGGAATACATCTCTCAATCCGGGTTTTTTTGATTTCTGGATGACAATGCCAGATCTCATAGAGGCAGAGTTGTTCATTATTCTTTAGAAAACCTGGGAATTTCCCATCTGCCCCTTCCACCATTGTCTCCAGACCTCAATCCCACTGATCACAGATCACATGAGGGATGCATTGCAAAGGACGCTTTTCGGTCACCATCCGCAGCCAGTTGACCTGTAAAAACTGAGTGCAGTGTTGCAACATCTATGGAGTGAAATTCCTTAAGAGGCAATGGCATTGAAAAATGGCAAAAAGGAGGGAAAATTCAAAAGGTGGGGTTGAGATGGGAAGTTGGTGTCCGAGTGGATCGAGGTGACGATAGCTCAAGTGGTAGAGCAGCGGCGTATCTAGCCGAAGATTGTGGGTTCGAATCCCACTCGTGCCATTGACTTTTTTATCTTAACTAAAAACCTTAATTAATTGTAAAATATTAATTGGTCAAGCGGACCACGAAATTAGTGAATTCCTTAAGAGATTAGTGACCTTATTAACAGTATACATAACAGATGCACCGACATTTTAGCTAACAGAGGACATTATGCACGGTATTAATTGTTTAAAAAAATGGTGTCTAATAAACAAAAGTATGGAATTAAAACATTTCATATTTTTAAATCCCTTAATTAAATTTTCCTTCAGTATAAAGATAATTTTGAATAAATTTTAATGCAATTTATAACAAAAATAAAATAAAAACAGAAGGGAAAGTAAATACTACAAAACTGGCAATATCACTATTCATTTTTGAGCAGTTTATTTGGAACGGCAGATTCATTTCCAACCGATTCTGGGTTGGATGGAGACAAAAACGTTTCAATGGAAACGTCAACTGTGCATGAGGTGTTGTAACCAGTAGGGTAACCTTTTAATGAATAAATAAACATGTATCCTTATGGATGAAGTATTTAGTTAAGTAAATAAAGTTTTTACCTATCCTCGTGATGGGCATGTGTAGGAATTGGGCGTGCTCGTGATCCTGGGCGCTGTTCTCGTCCTGTTGGAGTCCCTCGAGGAGGCGCGAGAGCACTTCCTGAGGGACTTTACACCCTCATCCCTTCAGGTCGGAGAAACGTGTCAATCGGAAAGTAGCATCCAATTGATGCGCCACAGGATCGAACGGGCGCCGCAACGCTAGAGCGTTCGGATTTCCGCCCAATTCCAGCTGGACGGCGGCCGTGAAAGCGTCCTGGGCTCCCCCCGGCCCCTGAAGCTCCGCCATTATCGGTGTTGCCATCATTTTTACGGATTTTCCTCCCAACGTTTTATCACAGAGAAGCTCGGCCGGAACGCCAGACGAGAGTCAACGGATAAAGTCTTAAATCTTACTACCACGAGGCCGGGACCGGCTATTGTTCGCTACCCAGACAGATCGGGTGGACAGCGGGAGTTACAAATCTGATTGGCTGTTCCTTCCCGGTTAAATTCCTCGGGGAGACTGATTCCAGGGATCCCTCAGCTTTACCTGAAAGTTCTCACCACAGCGGATCCGACGTCAGGTTTACCAATGGCACCAATGGTTCGATTCAATCTCTCAGCGAATCGATTCCCATTACTACAAAGTACAATGAGCTCCACTTGGAGGCAAAAAAAGTGGCCGTACTATTTTTTTAAAATTATCTCTTAGACTCCATTGATTACCTTACAACAATATTGGTCCGTTTTAAAGGAATGAGGTAAATAAAACACATAAAATCTCCTACTTGTGTTTACAACTGAACTTCGTAAATAAATCTTTGAATAGTCAATCTCTTCTTTGCTGGGTTTTCTTTAAATCTTCTTTCTAACGTCCCAGTGACTTGATTTTTTTAAATTGTACTATTTTTAAGTTTCAAACTTCTTTGATTAATGGTTTTAAGTGATACGGATTTGGCTGGAATCATAGCAATGTTGGAAGATGGAAGAAGTCAAGCTTATGTGGCCATGGAGTTTAAAATTCCCAGAACAACTGTCCCAAGGGTCTTTCATCACTAACAAGATACTAGAGTTTACTCGAAAAGGCATCAGGTTGCTATCGTGTCATATCTCAGAGAGAAAATAGTTTTATTGTTGTGAATGTACTCCGTAATCGACTTCAACTGCTATTGAGATCAAGCAATGACTTCAACAAGTTAGAAATGTTAATGTCAGTTTATGCTCTGTAAGGGGAAGAATTTCAGAAGCTGGAATACATGCTAGAAGGCCTGCCTCTGGTCCAAAACTCCTGATGGACAGAACAGCTCGGTTAAGTGTTGCAAGAAATCACATCTGGTCTGAGCAAGATTGTACTAAAATGTTAAGGTTTTGTTTGAGGTCTTCTAATGGCCGAGATTTTCACTTCAATGAAGCTATGGAGGTGTTGTTTGGACAGACATTTATATGAAAGGTCGCAGAAACTTGATCTTCATCGAGGGTTACCTAACAGCTGTGCGATAAATTGAAGATATATTATCAGAAGAAGTTGTTCTTTATATACCACCAATTGGTGATGATTTTAATTTTATGCATGGCAATGAAAGGCCACACACAACTAGGAACAAGCTTTTTGGAACCAGCTTTAATTCATTTGGCCACATGTAGTACCAACTTAAACCCTATCAACCATAATGGCGCTGTTGGAGGAAAATATTCCACAGCATTACATTCAAAACCTCATAAGGACATGTCGAAGGCAAGTAGTTAGGCCTCTCCTACTTAATGACCTGACCTTCTTCTCTCCAGGTTTTGTACCAATCTGCTGTCTCACCACAGGTCACTCAAGGATTGAAGATTATCTTCTTTAATGGCTGTGTTTAGCCAGAACATAAAGTCGATGAAAAAATTTAGGTTCTCTGTTCCAATTTATGGTTGGTGTCCCACAGGGTAGTGTCCTTGGTCCCATCTTGTACTCAACATACTCATCTGACCTATGTTAATTCACACTTTTGCTACCAGTGATTCTTTACACCCTTGTCCCAGATTTATTTTAAATTTGTTCATATCAATAATTTTGTTTGTAGTACATTTATAAAAATAAATAGTGTTGTAAAAAAAGCTTTAAGGATTTAACAGATAAAACTCAGTATTTTTAAAACCTACCAGAAATATAAATTTTTCTTTAATAAGGCTTTCTGATAACCAGAATTTTTATGAATTTGATCTTATTCATTGTAAATTTAATTATTTCATTATGCTTGACCGTAATATGGTAAGCTTATTATCCCATAATAAGGATGCATAATATAATAATCCAATATTGTAAATATGTTTCATATTTGTATTGATATACAAAGTTTTTTCAGTGAAGTGGAGAAAATATGCCAGTGAAACGCATGAGTTTTGCAATTATCTCATTTTGCAAGCAATGCTGCGTAATTCAATAAAAAAGTTCATAAAATCTGAGGAGCAGCTTATAGGTAATTTACTCAAAAGTTAGATCCTTCAATAGAAAAGTCAGTCGAAAAGTCAATGAAATTGTTTCTGAATAATTAGTTGAGAAGTTGTGTACCATTTGTAACCTGAACTAATTAGTCATTCAGGCAAGGATAATCAGAATGATTGGGAGAACGTAATATACTCCTGCTAAAACATGAAAAAAGCTAGTTTTACATCAAAGAAATGTTCCTTATTTATATAATATCAAACAGTTTGATTATTAAGACTTTATTAAGCAAGGATGTTGATGGCAAGGATCATCTAGATGCTTAGAAGAAGACAGACTCCGGCTAAAATCCATTTCGAGGCTTTCTGTTTGGTCTTAAGATTAAAAGTCCAGACATACGTTGGACCTCTAAGTTTTGTCTTGTACACCGGGCATTCGTATACACTCCTTAAATCCTGTTTATCAATTGTGATGGCTTTCATTTGAATGACTGGCATCAAAGGGTACAGTTCTTTAAGCTTGCTGTCGACAATAGTACCCATAGCACTATCCCAACGAGCACCTTCCATGTAAAGGCCGTTAATGTAGGCACCATCTCTTGGAGATGAACTAGAAACAGAATTTTTTTTTTCAAATTGGGTTTTTGATTTAAATTTTTATTGCTGAATTAAATTTATTACCTGATTTCTTCTTTGATCTTCTTTGTAACATCACATTGGAGGCACATTTTATCTAACGGCCATTCATTTTTCCTCGCTGTGTTCTGCATAATAGCTGTTAAGAATGACTGTGGATTGAAAAGTCCACCAAGCCAGACTGAACTTGGTAACTAAAAATTGTTTAATTGAAATTGTGTCTGAAGTATTCTTTTATTAAACGAGATTTTTTTTTACCAAGAAATCGCCGACCCAACCCTCCAGTTCTTTTAACCTTTGCTGAAGATCTGCATACCAGGCAGACAATGGCAAGTTAGATGGATAAGCCCTTTTACTCCAATTCTCTGGTACTTCATCCAAAAACAATGATTCTTGAAGGACTTCCATATCTCTTGAGATTGTCAGCTCACCCTAGTAAAGATCATTTAAATATTGACCCAAATTCATATTCTATCAATTTTAACACTCTTAAAAGATATGGTTATTATTGCTCTATTGATAATAATTTAACTCTAATTCAATGTAACAAAAGTTTGAGAGCATACTTTTAATCCTAAAGCAAGTTCTTTCAATGTTCTAGACATTTCATTCATTAGAATGTTCATTCGTTCGCACTCTTGGAAGGCCACTATTGTAAATGGACTCCTGTCTTCAGTTCTTGCCATCATATCGGCTATAGAAAATGGCTGTGGTAATTTGTCCAAAATGTCATCTATGATTCCTTTTACCTATTAAAAAAAAAAAAAAAAATTAAAAAGAAGTTTTGATTAACACTTGCTGAATTCATACTTTCTCTTCTTTGGTGATTCCTCCACTGCTCTCAGCTCCTGCATCTCTTGGCTGAAGCTCAAATATCGTTCGGAAAAGCGAATCCGCTTGCGTAGTCAACACTCCGATTTCAGCATTTGGATGTAAACCATACAAAATTGGGCTTTCAGAAGGAAGCATTGCATCAATGAATCGATGGTAGCCAATGTAATCTGAATTTGGAGGAGCTTGAAATCCAGGGGCATAGTATAAATCTCCCTCCATCTAGATGTAAGAAACCTTTGTAAGAAATGTACAATCAGTGTATAGAATGAAGTAGTTACAAGATCTGGATTCATATATTCTTTCAAAAATGATCTACACAGTCTTCTATCCCAGTCATCTGTGATATGTCCACCATACATAATCTCCCCAAATAAATACCTCAAATCTTCCCAAGGGACTTTACTGTTATTTTCTAGATAGTTATAAAGAATTTGGACGCTTATAATCAAGTCACCTATAGGAAGTATAATATGAAGCATTAAAAGAAACTGATTATTATATTAGATTCGAAGTCAAGGTAACCCACCAACATTGAACGGGTACTTTCTATTCCAGCCTGCTGGCCCAAACTTTCTCCTTTCAGCCACTACAGCATGAAAATAGCACAATGAGAAAAGGATCGCTTTAAATTCAGCTTCCTTTGAACACATTTCCAAAGTATCTTGTGAGAAGTTATCAAGAGCTTTGTGCAGATTATTGAACATTCCAGTTGGAGGCTCATTTGTTATTTTAATAGATGACTCCAACACTCCCTGGTTTCAATTAAAATAAGTTACTAATCGTTGAAATCCATGTCAGGAAAATCAAAAGTACCTGAGGAATTGCATGCATCGATGGGACAGGTGCTGGCTCACTACTGATGTACAGTCTAAAATCGGGATGTGGATTTTCTTGCGATGCTTCCATTTTTTTATCCAATGTAGGCAACCATCTTGCTACTAAATGCACATTCTAGAAAAATTAAATTAACATTGTGTATTTTTTTCATACATACATGAAAATATTTATAATGTTAGGCGATGAACCTGTAGATTGTCTAAGATCATCCTGGTCTATCCTTGTTCGTTTTGTCTGATGTGTTTCAATTCGACCTAACACACTGAAGATACATGCTATTTTACAGAGAAACTTGGTGAATTAGGAAGACCAGGATGATTGGAGATGATCAAGTTAAACATGTAAAATAAGATTCAACATGTCTGGTACGATGTGCATTGAAAAAGCATTGTATAAACGCTTAAATTGATATATTTGATTAAAATGAAAATGTGAAAATGAAATATTTAATTAAACATTAAAATATAATTAATAATTGAATATCAATACTTTAATGGATTAATAAATTATGCAAATTGGTTTTACCTGTAAGATTACCCAATGTCCTAGTTTTGCTCCATTTTCAATAGCCTTTTCTGCAATTGGCTCCTGGCCTTGCCCAAGGGAAATATTATGAAAGTTCTTCTTATCTGCTGTAAATCCGAGTCTTTTGCCAATCCTTTCTACATCCTATAATAAATGAAAATCTTGTTTAAAAAATGATATCTTAAAAAAGTAATAGTGTATTTACTCTTGTAGGGTCTACACCAGGAGATAGTATGAAAAAGACAGGTGTTGTAGCACTCGTTTCCAAATATGACTTTTCAAAGCTAACAGTTCTTGCTGTGACAAAATTACTGCCGAGTTTTTCTTCAATGAAGAATCTATATTCCAAAGTAAAAAGTTCTTAACTTTGACTCTTGAACTTAACTCATTTAACACTTGAAATTAACATGGAGATAATAAACTACCTCATTGCATATGACATTCTGTCCGGTCTGAGTGCTCTCATCATGCAAAGTTTCTGAAAAGCCGATTTGTTCTTCCAGTCTTGCGGGAATTTATCCCTCTCAGGGCATTCCCCTTCAACAAACTTTTTCCACCTTTTCATCGACCCTTCAATATCCTTATCCAAATTCCTAAAAAAGAAAATTTTTAAAATTCCAAAATTTGCTGAACTTTATGAAAATGTACTTGAATTCGTCCATAAGGGATAGGGCACGAACACCTCCCCATTGAACATTCGATAAAAAGTCACATGGTGATGACAAATTCGGTATATAAGGGCTACGAAGGAGGAAGTCCAGTTCATCTTGCTGTATCTCACCTTTTTTCGACAAAATCTGGACAACAAAAGTAGAATAAGACATAAGCCAAATAGTAATTAAAAAAAAAAATTATATGTACCTGAATACCCATCAAGGACATGAATGTCAATTTATCACATTCAAATAAAGCTCTAACTGTATACATGAAAACATTAAATGTAATTGTATCAGTGAGAAGATTGACTTTTAAATGTATATCATCAGATGGTTCACATTTTTCAATAGCATCGTGAAAAACTATGCTAAAAGCCTGAAAAATTTTAAAATGTTAACACAGTTTAACTTTTTCCCAAATATATTGGCTGAATTAACTCACTTTCAATGAGAATTGATACAGTGGATTGATTTTATGTAGTTCATTCATAATGAAGTACATAATGGAAGATCTTAAAGCGACAGGCCTATAAATTTCTCTTGCGATATCAATTTTTGAAGATGTCTGTTTAGCCTCAGTTACCTATTTTCATTTAAAAAATTATGTCATTAAATTAATAAATCTTCTCTAAGTATGAAATTATGTTGACTAATTTATTTAATGTTCAGATATTTATTTTATTGTAAATAATATATTTATTATAAATGCATGCGAAGAATGTAAACCTGAAATATTTCACACATTGAAAACTAATTAAAAGATAATAATTTACCTTTATGGCGATATCTTCTGAAGTCTTTTTAGTGGTTTCCAATCTCTCAACAAGAGTTCTGTCATTAAGGATGTCTGGACCAGCATTTGTTAGCCTTTGCAAAAGTTCATCCTCAAGGCTTTTGATGAGAATTTTGAAATTGTTCATTTGTTTTGTCAACGTACTCTATCGAATGAAAAAAAAATGTTAAGATTAAAAACACAATTTTTGAATATGGGCAATTTTTACTTTTAATATTTCCAGATCTGGCCTTTCAGCTTTGACCACTTCAGCCAACAACTGTTCCTCAAGACCATCTTTTGTAACTGTAAAATTAATAAGAGTAGTCTGAGCTTGGATTTCTGGCTGATAATGCGGATTTGCAAGTTTCGTTTGAAGAATCAGTCTAAATTTTTTGTGGTAGTCTATTTCTCTGTCTCCAATTTTGACTACCCTATAAGCAGACAGATATTATTATAAATGAAAAATATATTTTTTAATGTGTGGTGGTTAGTGACCGTTAATTGATAATTATTCAGAAATCGTGAGATTCGGTCTGGTGTGATATAGGTTTCAGCAAAACATTTTCTTTATCGTGCCAACATTTCGATCTTTATTGAGATCATCTTCAGGGCCTGGGATTTATAAACATTGTTTACATTTAACAAATACATTTAGGATGTGGAAAAGTGAATTTATACAATGCAAAATATATTTTTTATATTCAATCAAAGTATTTCTACTCACTCAAAGTGTTTGTCTTCTGTGTAATTGTGCCATTCTACACAGAAGACAAACACTTTGAGTGAGTAGAAATACTTTGATTGAATATAAAAAATATATTTTGCATTGTATAAATTCACTTTTTTCCACATCCTACATGTATTTGTTAAATGTAAACAATGTTTGTAAATCCCAGGCCCTGAAGATGATCTCAACAAAGATCGAAATGTTGGCACGATAAAGAAAATGTTTTTCTGAAACATACATCACACCAGACCGAATCTCACGATTTCTGAATAAATATTTTTTAATCATAAAGAAAAAATGGATTTATACTTACTTTCCTTTCCTTATAAAATTTCTACCAAGGAGATTATCCAACACAGGCTCAATTGTTTCTCCTAAGTTTTCGATCAGCATTGTTGCACCTTCAGTAATTGCATTTTCAATTCTGTCCAAATAGTTTTTAGTGCCAAGCCTTAAGACTCTCAGGTCTTTTCCAATTCTTTGTTTGATCCATTTTAACCCTTGTAGCTAAAGTGTAAATATACAGTTTACTTTAAATCATTCATTAGTTTCAATTCATTATTTTAATTGAGAAATTAATGGAGTTTAACTACCTGAGGATCGATCATAAGAGGCCACCTAGCACAGTGAGTGAGTATCGTAGCATTTTCTGCTGACATACGATCATTAGGAAGTCCCTCATTCTGCCACTGGGCTACTTGAGCATCATCAGAAAGCATAGCCATAGCATCAAGTTGGGGTGTTGATGGAATTTTAGGCTAAAAAAAATATTTTTTTTTTCTAAGGCAAACTGTCAGTTATTACGACGATTATTATTTACATTGAAACTATCAAAAATGTGCAACCACTGTTTTGTCATTAAGTCTTCTCGATATTTTCTGGTAAAACATCCCAAATATGAAATAAATGAAGCTATGATAAGTATATCCCCAGGGAATGTTATCAATTGCGAAGACAATCTACAATCAATGATTAAAGTTGTTAATTTATTGTGAAATTTTGTATTGGTCTGCGTGACAATGAACTATCTCTGATCATCCTTGTCTGCATAATTACGCTGGTTCTGTCTTTCAGGTGTGTTTTGGAATTATGCATTTTGGACACAACCTCGAGACTGACAATGAAGATAGCAAAATGCCTAAAATGATTCTTCCAGACAAAAGCAGCAATAACAGGCAGGCCATGACAATTAGAAATTATACTTTTATATTGTTTGTTATTTTATTATTCATAAGAACTTTATTTTTTAAATTTTTTATTATTTATTATTATTATTTATTTA